ATATATATTATTTTCTTTATTTTATTTTAAACCATTTAAATATATTTAATAATATAATTATTTAATTTTAAATAAATTATAATAAATTTATTTTATATAAAGTTTTTAAATATTTTAAAAATTATAAAATAATTAATCTTAAAATTAATATAAAATTTCATTATTTAGTTTTAATTTTTAATTTCTTTAATTTTATAAAGTTAGTTTTTAATTTAATAATCTATATATTTTAAGTTATATAAATTTTTAAATTTATAAAGTTATTAAATAAACTTTCTTAAAGTTTAATATTTATGAATATTTTTTAAATCCTTTATTATTAAAAATAAAAGGTTACTCTTTAACTTCTTTTTACTCTTTTAATATTAATTTTTAATTAATTAATTAATAAATATAATATTATTATCTATTTAACTTTTTATTTAAATATAAATATTTTATTAAAATAGTAAGTTTCTTTTTAAATTAATTATTATAATTAAATTAACTTATTCTAAATTATATTATAAATTAAAATAAAAGCTTCCTTAAAATTTATAAAGTATTTTATTAATAACTAGATTTATATCTCTCTTATAAATTTTATTCTTTTAATTAAATTTATATATTATAATATTTAAGCTTTATTAATACCTTTATTAAAAAATATTTAAAGATTTTATAAATATAAATAATAATCTTTTTATTAATTTATAATAGTTAATTATATAGAAATTAAAAGGTTTTATAACTCTTTATTATATTTTATTTTTAATTTAAGTTAAAATTAATTTTTAATTAATTTTTATAATATAAAACTTTTATTTTTATTAATTTGAATATTAAATATTTTATAATAAAATAATTAATATTTAAATAATTATAATAAAGTATTTTTATACTATCTTTTATATTATATTAATTTATATATTAGTTTAATTATTTATACTATTTAAATTATTTTTATAATTTTAAATTTTTTAAATTATAGTTAAATTTTATTACTTTTATATATTAGTTTATATAAGATACTTATATTATTAATAGTTATTAGTTTTTATTTTTATAATTTTTATTTACTTTAAAAGTACTTTTAATTAATATTATACTTTATAATAGTATATATATTTTATTTTAATATAAATTATTTAATTTATCTTTTATATATTATTTAAATAAGGTTATTTTTATTTTTAAACTATTTAGTTAATTCTTTAATTTTTAAAGAATTATTAAGATTTTTAAAAGATTTAATATTTATAAAATTATTATTAAAAGTAGTATACTTTTATTTTATTATTATAATTAACTAAATATTAATTAACTAATTTATTAAATATAATTTAAATTTATAAACTTTATTATTATAAATTTTAATATACTTTAATATTTATAAATGTTCTTTATTAACTATATTAATAAGTATTACTTAAAATATAAAAGTATAAACTTATTATAGTTATATAGTTATTAAATAATTTTAATATTTATTTTAACTTTATATTTAATAGTTTTTAATTTTATTAGATTTTATTTTATATATTCTTTATTATATTTTATAAATATTTTATTAATTATAACTACTTTTTTAATAAAATGTTTTACTTTAATATTATAATTTTAAATTAATTATTTTATAATATAAAAAACTTCTTTTAAAAGTTCTTAATTAACTTTTTATTTATTTAATTAAATTTATAAAATAATTAATTATAGTTATAAATTATATATTATAAAAGTTAATATTAATAATAAAGTAATTTAATATAAGTTATTTAAGTTACTAATTAAGTATATATTATTAGTTAATATTTTTATTTTAAAATATATCCTTTAATTAAGTCTTTTAATTTATCTAGTTATTTATATTAATTATATAAAGGTTAATTTTAATAACTATTTTTAAAAAGCTATTAAATCTTTTAATATATTTAAAAATAGTTTAAATAATATATTTAGAAAATTAAATATTATTAAAATATTTTTAATAGTTTATAATATTTTTATTTATAAAAGTTTAAATTTAAAATTATAAAAGTTTATTTAAATAAGTAGAGATTATTATACCCTTATAATAAAAGCTTATTTAAATAATTATAATATAAGCTATAATAAATTATTATTATTAAAATTATTTTATTAGTAACTATCTTTTAATATTAATAATATTAAAAGTATTAAAGTTAAAAATATTACCTATTTAAATAACTCTAATAAGCTTTAATTTAAATTTACTATTATTATAAATAGAAAATTATTAATAGTATTTTAAAAAGAAGTTAAATTATTTATATTAACTTTAACTTTTTAAGTATTAAATTATATATATATATATAAATATTTATATAATAACTTATTTATTAATAAAATAAAAGAAATAAATTTATTTAAAATAAATTTTATAATAATTAATCTATTTAATAATTTTATATAAATAAAATAAAGTTAGTATTTTAATTAACTTTATAGTTTTAATACTTTATATCTATAAAGTATATTATAAGCTCTTTATTATTTAAACCTTATTACTTTTAAATCTTTTAATAAAAGGTTTTACCTTTTAACTATTTTATATTAAAATAAATAGAGAATTATTTTACTTTTTTAAAGTTTATTAAATTCCTATTTAAAAGTATTTTAAAGTTTTTAATATTTTAAATATCTCTTTATATTAATAAACTATCCTTTATTATATTAAAATAATAATTATTATTTTTAATTAATAATTATTTTTAAATTTTTAAAAGCTTATTTTAATTCCTTTAATATATATAAATAAAGCTATATATATAATTAAATTAAAAAGTAAGCTTTTATTAATAAATATTAAAACCTATAGTTAGAAACTTATTATTAATAATTTAAATACTTAATAAATATAATTATTAAATATAAATATATATATAGATTAAATTTTCTATTTATATAAAAAATCTTGTTATAATTATTTATTAATAAATTAAAGTATAAGTAAGCTAATTAAGTACCTAATTATAGACTTAAGAAAGTACCTATATAAGATAAAGAGAAATAGTAAAAATCTCTTAATTTAGATATATTTAGAAGAGAAATAAAGAAGGATTAATTCCTCTAATTATTTAAATAAAGGGTAGGTAGGTATTTTTATATAAAGTGTCTATAGGTGTAGAAGCCCCTACTAACTTAATACCTATCCTATTTAAAAGATTTTTAGGCCTCTTATAGGTACTTAATTTATCTTTAAACTATTTAAGTACTCTATAAAGCCTTAGGGGGGATTGTAATAGTCTAGTATTATAACTAAGCTTATAAACTACTAGAATAACTAATTCTTTAAATTAGTTATTATAGTCTTTTAGTCGAGTGGTTTAATTTGTTAGTAGTAATTAGGTCTAACTATCTTATTATAAGTCTTTAAGAGCTAGTATCCACCTACCTAGCTCTAACGTCTACCTACCTAATAATTTCTATAAATTTATCTAATATTTTTTTTAGTTACTCCCTTATATTTATAAGTACTTTTTAAGTTAGCGTTAAAAGACTTTATAATATAATTTACTTCTTTAATTTTTAATATTTTAAATATAAACTTTTTTAAACTTCTTTTAATACCTTTTTATTTTTACCTTTTAACACTCTTTTAATACTCCTTTTAATTTATATACCTTTAAGGATTAACTTTTTATTTAAGTATTAATTAAGTATTTAAATATTAATTAAATATTAAAGAGTTAAAAAGTAAGAAGGTAAAAATAAAGATTATACTTTTTTTAACCTTTTAATACTTTTTTAACCTTTTAACTTACTTATTTTTAATTCTTTAATAGTTAGTTAATATTTAAATATTTAATTAATATTTAAATATTTATAAGTTAAAAGTATATTAAAAGATATTAAAAGGTATATTAAAAGTTATATTAAAAAGTATATTAAAAGGTATATTAAAAGAAGTTTATACTTTAAGTATTAAAAATTTAAGGAATTTAAATTAAGTATATTATTTTATATAAGCTTTATATATTAAAAGTTAGTATTAAGTAAGCTTATAAAAATTATAAAATAGGTGTATATTAGAGTTAGGTAGGTGAATACTAGCTTAAGTTAAAGTTTTTAAGTTTAAGATCTTACTTTTTAATATATAGGGTAAATATATCTAACTCTATTTATAAGCTTCGCTTTACTAACTCTTATAAGGCTCTTAACAACCCTCTAAGCCCCGGCACCCTAATAGAGTTCCTACCCTACTACATTAAAAAAGAAAAAAAGAGTCCTTATATAAAGTTAGTATAGTTCTTAACTATCTATTAATTACTATATTATATAATTAAAAGTTTTTTTATTAACTTTATTAATTATATAATAAGTAATCTTAAAGAGTTACTTATAAGTAGTAATTAATATTAATTATAATAGGTAAAGATATAATAATTTATATTAATTATATTAAAAATAACTTATAAATACCTTTTATTCTTTTAAAAATATTAACTTTTATAAAAGAATATTCAAACTTTTAATTTCTTATATTAAAAATATTATAACTTTTATATAAAAATAAAATAAAGGAAGTAAATTACTTAAAATAGAATATAAATATAATTTAAAAATTATAAAATTATAAATAAATTTAAAAATAAATAAATAAATAAATAAAGAATATATTTTATTAAATTTATTAATTATATAATAAAGAATGTTTAAAGATTATTTATAAATAATAATATATTATATATAATTAAAGTAAAATAATTTATTAAATTAATTAAATATTATTAATAAAAATAAAGTTATTAAAGTAATAAATATAGTATTATAATATAAATATAATATTAAAAAGATTTTAAAAATATTATTAAATAATAATACTTTTCTAATATCTTAAATGTTTCTATAGTGAAAAAAAGTGTTGGCTGACGATTCATTCACCATCAGCAAACCCCAGACACAGTCCTCATTCCAAGATCAATATATCTGCAGCTACGTCTAACATTCCGCTTTCTTTCACTCCTCTAGACGAGACCTTTGGAGCCGAAGTGCATGGAATGCCATGGCAAGAAACAATCCCAGACCCGATAATCCAGCAGATCAAGGATGCCGTCCACAAATATGGCGTGCTCATTTTTCGCGGCGCCAACCTCGATAACGACGAGCACATACGGTTCTCTAGACACTTCGGCGAGCTGGACGATGTCAAGGCCTTCATGAAGGCTGGCCGAAGAATGCGATTCCCCGAGCAGCCAGAAATATTTGATCTCTCGAACCTGGATGAGAATGACGACCTAATGAGCAACCCGGACTCGATGCGGGTGGCGGCGTACAAGGGCAACTTCCTGTGGCACGCAGACATGGCGTACAACCCCCGGAGGTGCTCTTACGCCATACTACGCGCGCTAGAGCTGCCCCCACCGGGAACTGGCGGAGAGACAGAGTTTCTGGACACTCGCAAGGCTTTCGAAGATCTGCCGCCGGAGAAGCAGGCCGAGCTCGAAAAGCTGGTGGTGAACAACTCGTTCTACCACCAGCGGAGACTGGCGGCGCCCGAGCATTACGCCGATCTTAACCCACTTGCGTCACCTATGTCGCGGTACCGGCTCGTGCCACTCCACGAACAGTCTGGACGGAAGAATCTATTCATCACCACATGGGTGCATCACTTTGACGGCAAGACCAAGGAGGAAAGCCTTCCCTTGGTCGACGAGCTGCTGGACTGGGTATCCAAGCCGGAGTACAAGCTCACGGTCCAGTGGCACAACAACGGCGACCTGCTCATGTGGGATAATAGGGCAGTCATCCACCGTGCGACGGGTGGCGGGTCGTATACCTACAAGTACAGGCGTGACGTGCGGAGGACTACGATCAAAGATGCCGGCGCGTCTGCGTATGGCGAGAACGGATTTGGGGCCTGTTGGCAGGTTGGTTTGTCCTGATCGTGCATACTTGTCGGAACAGAGGGAGGAAAGCTTCGCCTCCGGGCTTTCGGTGAAGAATTCGCAGCCCCTCCAGGCTCAGCCGGCTTCTCAGCGGTGAGGTGTGTGAAGACAGCTTTCCAATCGTAACATGCAATGGAATTTGTAACTCGAGTGTATGAATGAACGTCTTTACTCTCTAAGAATTCTATGACTACGGCCACGCATATTAATACCACTAATCGGCAGGTAGGCCAATCGGTAAATTTGCCACTCACGTCAACCACCAGCTCCTTCCCTCTCAACCGCTCAAGTACTACTCACAAGCCGCTTATAGTTTAATTCCTTTTCCCGTTGGCCAATTCAAGCCGCTTACCAAATTTAAATCGTTCCCAAGCGGGAGTTATACGGTTTGTTGGGAGAGAATTGTAGCGTTTTCTTTTGGAGTGGCAAATTTACTGCTGCTTTCCTAACAAACTGCATACTAACAGCTTAAAAGCGGTTTGATGGAACAAGCCGTTGGCGGTATTGATTTGTAACAAGCAGTATTGTGACTGAGAAAAGAGTGACTGGGGACATGCAGTAACGAAATGGCTCCCCATAAATAGCGCCATGCCCACGATGGAAACCATAAGCCTAGCCTGAGCTTCCTGTCGCAGTCGATATCTGATACAGTGCTTGTCAGTTAGATGTTGTGGAATACGTGCATCCGTCCCAGCACCCTCATCACTACGCCGCTGAGTCATTCCGCATGCGTATTAATATCGTGCCGTCAGAAATTGAAGACATCTTTGTTGCGCCGTTGCAAGATTCGGGCCCGTGAGTGGATTTCGTCGGCTCACTTTATTAGGCAGGGGGGCTGTCTTCGAAAATTATCCCGCGACACTGTTATAGTAACGCCTGGGTGTGGTGGGCTACTTGTGTCGACGATTCTAGTGCGGCGCCGTCGGGAGCGATGCCTTCCAGCCTTGTCTGTGCGGTACGAGGCCCAGCCACGTGCCCACGTACTGTATTCTCTTTCCACTATTATTGGCACTGTATTTCTTCAAACGCTGGGTCTTGAGCGTTTACCACTATATAAAGGCGCCACGTACATCTTACATGTATGGAGATTAAAAACGAAACCATATAGTAGCACCTACGCTCTGCTTACTCCAACCGTCCGTCCGTCCTGACGTCGGCGTAACCCTTCCCGAGGTCCCACACGGGCCTGCGGAGTCCGGGCCGGGCCGACTCTACCAGATACACGATTTCGATGTCGGTCATAAGCGAGAGCGTTGTGCACCGGGCGACCTCGATAACGCAGTATCTGGGGAGAGAGGCTTGGGAAGAGAGAGTGGTTTTCAACAGACGTTCTTGGTCCACGATGACAACACTCATACGCCCCGGCTCGTGATTAAATACCTAGCGCTGGAAGCAAGAGAGATGAAGATCCAGTTGGAGAGTCGAGGTTTCCTTCGTAAAATCGAAAATCAAGCCATCACAATGTCTCCGACCACTTGCCTTCATCGCGCACAGGAAACAGCCGGTGTTAGTGGAATCGCCTTCCCCGCTCCATCATAATGCTCATGAAGACTAACGGACCAGCTCGTGGATGCGGTGAGATCTTTGATTGTCACTTTTATAATTAGCTGCAGCCGATCAAGCAGCATCGACAAGAGCGACTGGCGAAAGCGACACGGCTGGCATCCAAGACCCTCAAGCTCGAAACGTGCTTGTAAGGTCGTACGAGCCCAAAGCACTTGCACAACAACTCAACTTCTCCTTGCCGAAGCAGGAAGGAAAGGGCCGAGCCGGTTTTGTGGAGACTGTCAAGGATGTCCTCGAGTACAGCGTCAACACGTGGGACCAAGGCTTTCTGGACAAGCTCTCCGCGAGCACCAATGCCGTATGGTGCAGCTAGGAAGCATGTTCTTCAGATTTGAGAAGCTGATTCAGGAATACAGGTTGGAGTCGCCTCGGAGCTACTACTCTCTGTCCTCAACGCACATGTCAGGCCCCCAATGTCCCATATATCGATCGATATAAGACTCGGCTCACTAATTCCAGAATACAAGTCTAGGTCCACGTGTATAAGGTCTCGCCCGTGCTTACAGTGGTTGAGAAGACGACGGCCCGAGAACTGGCGGCTCTCTTTGGCTTCAAAGGTGCTCGTGCGGGTGGAATCTGCTGTCAGGGAGGGTCAGCCTCGAACCTGACCTCGCTGGTCACAGCACGCAACGCGCTGTACCCAGACTGCCGGCTTCAGGGTAATAGAGATAAGGATTTCGTCGTCTACACTAGCGTCGGCGGCCACTACAGCGTCAAAATGGTAGCCCGTACTATAGGGCTAGGTTCGGCTACCGTCGTTAAAATCTTTGTCGACTTAGTGGGCCATATAAACCCAGTAGCGCTTAATAGTGCCATCTTGAAAATGGCTAAGACAGGAGACACTTGCTATTACCTCTACATCTTTTTTTCATGGCTGTGTGACTCGTTTATCGAGCCAAACCTCGGTCCCCGACCTTTCACTTTTCTGTTCAGTCCACACAACATTCACCAGGGGCCGCATAAGACCTGTTGGTTTCAAGGTGAAGACTGGATGCTCGGAGCTTGGTGAATAACTCGCTCGGGAGTGAACCCTTCACTTTTGAGAGCCTTCCTACTTAAACCTACGACTTGCTGCCATCCACGGCCATGAAGTTTCATACCTCTTCCCCACAACCACAAACAGGAGAGTTCCTGTTCCGAGTAGCAAGGAGTTGTTATCCTTTCTCCTTACCCCATCACCATTGGTGATCTCTTTAATCCTCCTTCTTACCTTCATCGTCGTTGGCGTACATCCTCGGCGTCCGTTTCCCTCTATCTCATCAACCTCCTACCGAATACCGGGGTCTACAAGACATCCTACCAGTCAGCACATCCACCATGACTCAGAAGATCGTCCAAACGACCGAGCACATGCTCTCGGTCGCCAGAGCCACCATCAAACAACAGGAGGAGGAAATTCGTCAGTTGAAGCTTGATGTGCGCCGACTTCAACAAGAGACGAAGACCAAGAAACAACCCACACCGCTTCTACGAGATCGTAATTCGCGCAGCAGTGAAGATAATAGGTAAGCATACTCTTACACGAGGAGCCAATCTATAGATTGCCTTGGGATCTATCATGGACTGTAGGTGCTGACCCTTTTCATCACAGATCTCAGACAGCGTCGGATTCCGCACCCTATGCCCGCCCGACAAGAGCGTCCCTGCTACGGCAATCAACACCGTCTACTTCGAGCGGAGCCTCCACCCCGGCTACATCTGTTTCCTCGTCGTCCTGCAGCTCCGCTACCACCAAACAGGCACCAAAGACCGTCGTCATTCAGGGAACGACTTACACATACAAGAATGGCAAGCTGGAAGCAAGTGGCCCTGGCTATCTTAGGTCTACCTACGCCTCAATCAACAAGTTCGGTGAGCACGAGCGCCGAAGAGAGTGGGACTACGGCGTATGCCGCCCACCTCCCATCGACTATTGGTGCTACCCTAGGATCACACCTCTCCCTGGCTCGACGGTTTGGTGCGATGAAGCGCTTCGACCACAGAAGTCGATGGAGATCTTGTCAGAGGAACAGCTTAAAGACAAACTCGAACGGAGACAGCTCGCGATACGGACACGACTATCTGACAACGCCTGGCTCTCGGAGCGCGCCAACAACGTGTGCATTGACCACGACGAGACGGGCGACATTCTACAGACAGCTGAGGACCTGGCAAAGTGGTGTTTATACCAATATTTGTGCACCCATCACCCTCGAAAAGCCCCGTTCTACTTCTCGGACCTCGACTTTGGCCGGGACGGCTTGAGAGACTTTTACTGGAGCAAGGCCTTCAACTACCGAGCCACCACAGATTCGACAGTCGTTCAACACCTGGAGTGTTTGATCCAGCTCAGGAATACAGTACATCACTTCCACGGAGGGTCTTGTGGTCTGGGACAAGTCGACATGCATCTCTCCACTGTACAGGAACTGGCAGTTCTTCTGTACGATGAAGAGAGCGCATTCACTGCCCGGGCTCTGAGGGATCGGCTTCGTCGGGGGGCTGAGAAGGTGGCGAGCGAGATCGAGACGATTGAACTCCTGAAGGCGCTGTCTTTTGATGAAGGCTGTACGTGGAGACTTCACCACATCGAGCTGTTCCGTAACGTTTGCAAAGCATACAAGCCAATAGATGAGGCGAATGCTCGCAAGAATTACTCCCCGGCAGTCGTCCACGGCGCCATGGAGTTTGCTGAGGGAAATCCCGACCTCATCTGGGACCAGGAGCCGAAACTGGATGCGAGCCTGGCAAGGGTGCGAAGGCTGGCGAGCGCTGGCAGCAGAAGTCAACAGAAGTCGGATTCAGAGGGTCGTCAGGGTCGTTTGAATAACGAGGCCATCCCGAAGCGTTGGAGGACTTTATCCACGAGCGGTCCTCGAGTGCTCCTTGAGAAGCCTGCCCGCACACAGGACAAAGCCCGCCGGGGAAGCTTCAGCATCTGGGAAGAGGACAAGTCCATTGAACGTCACGCGTGGATGAATTCTGAAGCATCTGTCAGGATGGGGACTTGGAAATTGGGATTGTGGATGTAGACGCTCTGAGTCTGGCACAAAATTGTCACTGACTTTGGCGGACCGGATACATGAAACTTTTGGCTCTGAGGTACACCCAGCAAGTCCCCCAATTTATTTTAATGAGTACATCAAAACGTCATGTTGTCGTGTTTGGCCCCATGCACCGCCATGTTTGCAACGCGCTACACCGCCGTCCTGATTCTTATCATGTGCCAGTGACTTTCAACAGCAGCTGTGATACTGTACAAGGCCGAAAGAATGGATTGATGAGCGTCTAAACATTAGGTACCTAGTGTGGGAACCTATAAGCTACAAATTTCGATTCGGCGGCCTTGGAACTTAGGTTCTGAAGTCGGGTGATACTGGCTTAGATATGGCCGTAACCTAGATGTGTAGTGGTCAACTTTTTCATCTGCTGAATTCGTGATAATTGACGCCGATAGTCACGGTTGGCACCAACGGCCAAGACTGGCGCCCTCAGGCCAAGTGATAGGCTGCAAGGCCGAGCAAGCCCTCACCAAGATTTAACCCCTCTCCAATCCTAATCACAACCCCGGGGATCCATGTAGCAGGTAACGTTCTATGCATGAAGGGTGCACTCCATCAGATAAGACGGAACAATGGGGTGGCATGTCCCAATTCCCAATCCAGATATATAGCCCAAAGGGACGAGCCGAGCAGGCCTAAGCGTGACGATCGTGTCTCTAGTGCAACTTTGAGCCCAAACCCAAATATTTGGGCCAACCGTCGGAACCGCCGCGGCCTCGGGGGACGTGCAGGGTCGTTCATTTCATTAAGCTTTGCCACGACTTAGACTTCCCTCGGGAATCTTGTTCGGGCCGCCCTCGCGTCACGACAATCTATTTATATCAGACGACTCCTGATATTCAAACTCTCACCTCACTTTTGAGGGCCGAGCGAGCAACTATAGAACTGGCTTTGCCGAGTTTTTTTTTTTTGCTGTTGGAATATCTCGGGCATCCTGCTGCTTCTTGGATGGCAATTGAGTAGTCACGCATCAAAATGAGGTGTCGACGGCAACGCGGACATGACTCGGGCCTGCCCTCTCTGGTCTCACTGGCGGCGGTCTTGAGCATACTATTCTGCCTTGTTTCCTCGGCCTGTGTGCCGGACGTGCACAGTAGCCTGCTTTCCGACCCTGCCATACTCCAGGATGAGGCCGTCACGGCAGCCTTTGCACAGGTCCAGCAGAACCTCTCCAGCCTGTTCACCAGCAACTCCTCCAGCGATGGCCTCAGTTTTGCAGTTGTAAGTCATAAACAACTACTCTTCGCCTCCTCCGAAACCAACCCGAGGATGGATACTAACAGCCCGCCAGGTCCACGCATCCGGGCCAGGCCTGGCATTCACCTTCAACCACGGCCGCCTGAGGATGAACGACACGTCCACCAGCCCAGACAACAGCATCACCAGCGACTCCATCTTCCGCCTGGCCTCCGTGTCAAAGAACCTAGCCGCCTTCTCCGCCCTGGCCATCCAGAACACGAGCCGCGCCATGGCGGACGCAGACCCCGGCGCGGGCATCCACCCCCTGAGCCTCGAGGCCCCCGTGCGCGCGCTGCTCCCGGCCTTCACCCTTCCCGAGCGGGACTGGCTCGCCGGCGGCGGGCGCGACATCACCCTGTCGATGCTGGGCACGCACACGTCGGGCCTGACGCGCGAGGGCTACTCGGCGGGCTTCAACATGGTCGCCGCGGCGGGGCGCGCCAGCGCCGAGTTCATCGGCGCCGAGTGGGCGTCCGTCTCGGCCGCCGACGTGCTGGCGTACCTCGGCACGCGGGGCCTCATGTTCGCTCCGGGCCAGCGCGCCGCCTACTCCAACGCCGGCTTCGCGGTCCTCGGCGCCGCGGTCGCGAGCTACCGGGGCGCGCTCCTCGGGGTGGAGGAGACATGGGCCGAGTACGTCCAGCGCGACATCTTCGGGCCCCTGGGGATGGGCAGCTCGTTCTTTGGCCCGCCGGCTGAAGAGGTCAGGCCGAGGCTCGCCGTGCCGGGGGTTAGCAACTGGGTTGACCTCGTCGTCGACGGGTATAACCCCGCCGGCGGGATGTGGTCCTCCGCGGCCGACCTGGCGGCGTACCTCCACCGCGTCTGGCTGGCGCCCACCCCGGAGCTGATCACGCCCGGCCAGCGCCGCCAGGCCCTGCAGCCGCGCATCGCCCTGCCCGACGGGGCGCAGCAGGTCGGCTTCGGGTGGGAGATCCACCTCATCGACAGGCCCGACAAGACGTACAGCGTGTACGGCAAGTCGGGAGACGCGGCGGGGAACCACGCGTGGGTCGACGTCGTGCCTAACCTGGGGTACGGGATCGTGGTGCTGTCGCAGGAGTCGGGCGACGACGGCAGGGCGCGGGTGGTCCCCGGCAGCGTCCGCGACGCCGTGCACGAGATCCTCATCCCGGCGTTCGAGGCTGCCATCTCGAGGGCCATGGCCCGCCGGTTCGCGGGGAACTATACCGTCGCGGCCGACGGGGACCTCATCGGGGACGAGGTCGCCACCACGGACCCCTCTGCAGGTCAGACGCAGTCGTACGGCCTCGTCGAGGTCGTCGGCGGGAGCATGTTCCTCCGCTCGCTGGTCGTCAACGGCACCGACGCGCTCGAGGGCCTCGACAGGCTCAGCTGGAAGGCCAACGCCACCAGCGGGGGCAGGTTCTTCTCCGTCCCCGGGGTCGGGTCGGGGCTGAACCCATCTGAGGCGGTCGGGGGTGCTGCGGCGCTCGCTGGGGGCGGCCAGGGGGAGGGGGTTACCCTCTGGACGGTGATTCCTGAGCTGGACGAGTGTGACTGGTTTGACTTTGGCGGGTATGTGGATCAGAACGGGTGGCTTCTCAGCCAGGTTGCGCTCGTGGAGAAGGACTGGGGCGGGGTGGAGCTGCATTATCCGCCTTTTGATATTGTGTTGATGAGGTCTGAGCCTGTGTGAGTAGGTAAATATTAAACAGGGCTTATATTTTGGCTTACGGGGGCTGGGCTGAGAGTGATGAACTCGTCCTGGCACATATGTATGACATCTTTTTTCCCACGCCACACCATTCTTCGACCCTCTCCCACTTAATCCGTGCAGCATCCAGCTGTTCCTTCAAACAGTATCTCTCGATTTTGTTCCATCCTTTGAATTGGAGGGTCAACGACATTTCGTCACTGGGAGGAGGCAACACAAAGCGTAACCCAATATGCGGGATCTCGCAACTCATGACCGACCCGTCGCACCTTTGAGATCGCTCTCCACATGCTTCCACGACGCGTTTGCGGTCCCAGGACCCGCGGGTAGGCCTTCCAATTATGGGTCCATAAATTGATAGCCACGTGCATGCCTTCGGACTTGTGCTGGATAAAACCAAATCCAAATATGACGATATACCTGTGATATTCAAGTCGGCGGGCCCATGTGCCGCACATCGCCAGGGAGACGATCCGCCACCATTGCTCCTCCTCCAGCAAGCTTCCCAATGGTCGAGCGGACCGCTGCTCGACCGCGCGAGGGCAAGGCCTATGGCTGCGGCGTGCAATGTCATCTTGAAATCCACATAGGTCGAGTCACAGAGGATATTTTGGATGATACCAATCATGGTCTCCTCATCCGGGGCTCCGAGGACGGATTTAATGATGTTGAAAGCTTCCAAGGTCTGTAGTGCTACCAGTGCAAGGTTCTTGTGCCTTTGTGCCGTCTTACCGTGCCTAATGTACCCTTCCAGTAGTGCATGGCTGTCGTATGTTCTCCAACCTCCTAGACACTCTGGCAATCGCATATATTCTTGGGGACTAGGTGATGACTCAAACATGGCGTCTAGAAAGACATGCGATGCCGGTTTATCGTAGTCGACTTGGATGTTGTCCGTTGCGACCAAGCCCAAGAGTCCATACACCCGGTCAGCGGGCCGGCTACTTTGATATTCAGAGAAGTTAATCAATATAGATGACAGCGGCCACCGTGCAAGATCAGCGCGCATTTCGGTTAGCTGGTCGATCGAGCTGATCGGGCGGATGTTGCAAAATCCGAGCGAGAAGAGAAGGATTGAACAGGCCAGCCGTTCCAGAGGGATGAAGCCATACCGGCAGGTCACACGCACTTGGCGGGCCACCACAACCTCCTGCACTATCCAGACGCGGGTCCAGTATGGGTTTTCCGTTATACCAAGTATGGTTTCTTGATCAAAAGATGCTCTCATCTCTTCTATCTTGGGCATTAGTTCTCTCGGCCTGTGACAGAGTAGGTCGTAACTTGGCATCAGTTCCTCTAGGAGTCGCTCCTCCTTCTCTTTCAGATTCAGAAAGATCAGAACGAGCTCTGCATGCCGATAGATGCGGCGCATGCGCGGAACTTGCTCTGAGATCTCTCTTGGGTCTTCCTGGTTTAGACAAAGCCGGTCGGTCCAGAAAAGCAAACCAAACTGCCTCTGCTCCCACGCGAGGTTGAGAAATTGCCACAGGTTCTCGTGCAGCGGAAAACGACGCCATCTGTCGTCTTGACCCTTGAGAAAGATCTGCCTTGTGGCTTGCGGATCCCCCCAGACGTATGACAGAGCCCGGTACGGCTTGTTCCTTTGTTTGTCTTCGTCGAGATGATAAATCTTACAGGCTATGCAGCCCTGCACCATTTCCGGGCAGATCTCTATTACGCGGATTGTCCTTCGGGTGTGCAGTGGCTGGAACTCGTATAGATCCTCGGCGTCCAGGACAATCCCGGTCTCGCTTGAACCGGGTCGTGCTACATCGTGCGAGAACTCCGACATTGCTCCAGATGGGCTTTTGTTCAGGCTTCCGTCCAGGCGAGAGGCCTCTGAGGCAATACGCGGAATAGAATATCAATCAATAGCCTGTTGCCGCTGCTAGTGTTTAGATGATGAACTCCAGGATTCGTTGATGTATTAGGCTTCGATGTGTTCCAAGCAAAGGTGAGCCACAGATTGTAGGAGGCAGCCCAAAGGTCCATGGGGTTCAGCTGGCGGTTGGAGACGCCCATAAATATAGGCAGCAGTGCCGAATAGAGAGCTCCTGCACAGCCCACATGTTTTTCCAGCCCCGAGCTTACTTAATGCACAAATTTTGTGGGCCACACTAGAGTGGCAGTGCTCAAGTGAGCCAGGTTTTCAGGCTCGTCTTCAAGTGCGTTCAGAACATCTGCGCCTGTTTAGGCAAAGCCTCTTCTGGACTCGAACTCCCATTGGGGTCTTAGAAGAGGCTTAGCAGGGTTACAAACTGTGCTCATTGAGGCTTTACCGCCAATTCAGTGCCGTGCCGTCATGTGTAAACTCCCAAGCGGTTTTTCAATTCATATAATTATACATCCAAACTGTATTTGGGGCCTTAATAGTCACAGTGCTGAACTCGTCACGTTAATGGAATTTCCCACATTCTACCACCCTTTCACACCTTTTTAAACCAAACTCACAGAGGACCATGAGTAATGATTACGGAACTTCCGCTCTTTGGTATAGACGACCCGTGCCGCTGTGTTTGGTCAGGCTTTACCGTTGGGTCCCCAGAGAACACGGAGTAATCCGCGAATACATATCTTCTTTGCGAATAGAAAAAAGCTTAATTATAGACTCGGTCATTATCTTTAAGATGATCGATATTGTTGCTAGGTAAGCTAGAGCTTGACGTGAACGAGGCAATATGGGATGGTTGCAGACCGCACGTCACGTCCACGGGTCCCGAGCTGAACAAAGCCCGGTGACGGCCCGTGGCTGTTGGACAAATCTGCGGGTCGTTGTTCCGCCAACATTATGCTGCCTCCTTGTCTGATCCCGCGGATGACCACTGATCTGTTGGAGCCTTCGGGAATGATGACACCTGGGCACCTGGGGACCCGCCGCCGTCCCTACTTTAAGCACAATGTGCCCAGCTCTCGAAACAAAAGGGGGCCACATCAACCAGAATCGGAAAGCCCCTTCGAACTTCTGTTGCTAAATCATCTTTGACCATGAAAGGACTTGATAAGAAAATTGCACTTCTCGCCCTAGTGGCCGACAATGCCTTGGCGGCGGGTGGGTTGAGATACGTGATGTATTATGATCAGTGAGATGGGGCGATTTCTTTTCTCTCTACTCACTGTCATATTTGCGCAACTCACAATGTTTGCAGGTATCACAATTTGTCCCTTCCGCAGCCGTCTCTTGTAACCGAGGTGACTCATGCTGTTGTGGCCTTCGCCACACCGGAGACTTTTCTTGACGCCGCGAATACATCAAGCTGGCAACCATTCGAAGCTGTCGGAAGTGTCAAGGGACGATTCTCGCCAAATGTCAAGGTGTGTCTGAGTATTGGTGGCTGGGGCAGTAATGTTGGCTTTGAGAAAGGCGTGTTGCCGGCGAACCAGGGCACTTACGCAACCAATGTCGCGAGTGTGCTTCAACGTCTTAATTTTGACTGTGTTGGTATGGTCAACATTCTTGAGATACACGGGTCGTTGATTTGGTTATATTGTTATACTGACACCTCCTTCCCTTGATAGATATTGACTGGGAATATCCTGGCGGCGGAGGCGCTGATTACAAACTCGATAATGCTGTGAGCACCCCTGAAGAACAAGTGAACAACTACCCATCATTCTTGGAGGGAATCAAGAAAGCTATTGGCGGGAAAGAGTTGAGCATCGCAGTACCGGGACTAGATGCAGACATGGGCGCGTTCACACCGGCTACCTGTCAAGCCATCGCGCCCTTCGTCGACTTTGTTAATGTGCGTCCATATTTCCCCACACATTAAATACCACGGCATGACCCAAAGCCTAACGCGACCGACAGGTGATGTCGTACGACTTGATGAACCGTCGCTCAGCGACGACACAGCACCACGCGTCCGTCACCGGTTCCAAAAAGGGCATGGAAGCGTACATCAAGAATGGCATACCAGCCGCCAAGCTGAACCTCGGCTTCCCATTCTATGCCAAGTGGTTCACGCTCCAAGCTGGAACCAAGTGCGGCAACCCAGTCGGATGTGCCGTTGGGCCGTTCGAGAACGCCGACGGGTCGGATAACGGATTTTCTGGGGTGTTTACGTTTGAGGACTTCAACCTCAAGAAGCCTCCAACTGATGCTGCTGTCTCTTCCAACGGAAAGTGTGGAATCGTCGATGGCAAGGACTTGAAATGCCCGGACGGAGCATGCTGTAGTTCTTCGATGTACTGGTAAGTACAAGTGGCGCGTCCTCAGCACAATTTGGCTGTCTTGGATAAGCTGACAGACATGAATTACCAGTGGCACCACGAAAAACTACTGCGGAGCTGGATGTCTCGCAGGATACGGGAAGTGCGAGGCACCCGTCACAACCGAGACGTTCCAACGGGTCCACCAGAGCGGCAAGACTGACGAAGCCGAGGGCGGGGTGTGGTTCATTGACGAACAGACCAACACGTTCTGGACTTGGGACACGCCAGAGATTATCGCCAGGAAGTTCACGGACATTGTGGCTCCGCTGCAGCTGGGTGGCATCATGGCTTGGAGTTTCGGTGAGGACAGCTACGACTATTCGCACATCAAGGCATTGCAGGACGGCTATAAGGGTGCCAAGCCTCTCACCAAGAGAACGAATGCCGAAGCCGAGACGTGGCCTACTACGTTGAGGTATGCTGGGCGCTCTGGCCGTAATGCTGTGGACCTATAATAAACACCAGAATTGACCCGTTCTTCTTTTCGTTTTTCTCTCCCATTCGTTTTTTTCAAGATAAGCTCTTTTGGATTATTTTCTTAATTATAAATTCATTTGCTATGTTGTCAATCTCTGTGCACCCACAACTCTTGTTTTATCTCCTGGTCATGAAGTTCGATCGACTTTGCGTGTGAGCTTCATGTCCGTCATGGCACGGTGAGATCCACACTCATTCAACCCCTTCCTCAAATATCGCCATGTCAAGAATGCAGTCATAAAGTAACTGACTGTAACAACCTTCCCCATAAAACCTGTTTCCGTGTTTGAAATCTTGGATTGCATTCATAACCACTCCATTCAGCGGGATTCCAGCCACTCAAAACAGCAGGTAACCCTCCTTCTCAAACCTCTGTACTTTCTTTTTTCATGCTGTCTTCTTTGGTTGCCTTGGACGCAGGTGGGCCGCCCTCACGGTGGCCTCGTGAGATACTTACAACAGCAGAACAACATCCTCCAGACCCCTCTCTAAGCTCACTGCGAAAGCGTCAGTTTAATTTCCCTTGCGGGGTTTAGGACGGATGATGGTCAGATACCCGTAAACAGATTTCAAGGGTGCCGCGCGTGCCGCTCATCGTGCTACGTAGACACAGTGACAACATTGAATGCTCGAGCCCCTGCTCAAGTGAGGCAAGCTCTCCAGCGTAACAAGGAAGACCCCATTCAGTTTCGTCTTCCTCTGCTTATCCTAATACTCATAGAAGCTGGGTCTTTGAGCGTATACTACTGCGTGAAGGGACCGTTTGCCTTCGGGATGTATACGTATTACGAAATCCACTTAAACAATGCATGTCATGTAAAACAATGGAGAAGTCATTTCGCCTGCCCAACCAATACTCACAGCTTCTCGTCAATCTGGGAGAGGAGATCCCGATAGGAAAGAGCTTTTTCAGGCTGTTGAAATCTCACCCCTTCCGCCTCCCAAGGAACACCGCCTTGGGACTCGATAGCCACACCCCCATGCGTTTCTCCGTCTCGACCCGCTCAATCATCTCCTGGAGTTCGTTCCCCAGGACTGGATCGACGCCCAACATACGCAGCGTAAGTTCCTCCACAGACGCCACATACACATCATTCCAAAACATGCCCATGGCCGGGGCATCGCGGTACAGCACCCTCCGCACCTCCTCGAACCCCTCGTCCTCGATCGTCCGCTCCAGCGTGTCCAGCCAGTGTCGAGACCCGAGCAGCAGCCTTGATCCGTCCGACGTGCTCAACGAGTCGTTCATAACGTGGTACAGGGGCTGCACCCCGGGGAACTCGTCCGCGGGCGGGATAGAATTCCAGTCAGAGCCGTGCATGACCCTCGCCTCTGGGGTATAGCGCTCCTCCCACTGCAGGTATCCCCCGGGCCTCAGGAGCTGGGCGACATTTGCGAGGATGCGGGCCGGTTGGGCGTCCTTGATGACCACGCCGATGAGGCGCATGTGCACCACGTCAAAGATGCCCCGGAGCTCAGCCGGCGGCGGGGTGTAGAGGTCCCATTCATGGTAGGTGGCGTTTGGAGGTGTGAGATTTGGAGGGGGGAGCTGGTCGAGGCTGATGTCTAGGCCGTGGAGCTGTGTAGTGGAGGGGAGCTGGCGAGACAGATCAGAGAGCCATATTCTATGCTTTGGTCAGACAGTGGACAGCACTTGAGATGAACAAGCCCTCTCAGGGAACTTGGACGATGAATGACTCCCATACCCTGTACCTGTTGCCACGTCCGCAATGCGTGCATCAGGTTCAAGTTGCGGTATATCTGGGTGAAGGTGGAAACGAAACGTGTCTTGCCAGAGGTAGTACTGATAATGAAGTCTGTGGTAAAATATTAGGTCAGCTTGGGTTGCATCACGCCGAGACCATGGTCGAAGATCACCTCGAACTCGCGTTTGCATTGCGCTGGAACACGTATCCGTCGCTCTCGTTGGAAGTCATTGTCCGACGATTTCGGCAGCTCATGGGGTTTCCAACCTTCAACACGTCCGGTCTACTGGCTCCAGGCATCAGAGCTCAGTCCACTTCCGCTTTACATTGACCGTGCGAGGTGAGTCGGCAATAGGGAAGATCTGACCATCACCCACCATGCATCCACCAATCCCGGGAACTCACGCTTGAGTCGCATTCGTCATCCCCCGCTCTCAGGTTGCCGGTAGATACTTGTGATGACCAACGTAAACAAGGGGTTGACGTGCATTCCGTTGCGACCCATTGATTCCTAGGCATTCTCCCGGCTGGATATAAAGTCAGAGCTTATTAAGGGCAGGCCCTTCGTCTCTTCCATGCTCCTTAAGTGGCTCTCGGGTCGAGCGAGATTGGAGACTCTGACTCTACGCTATCAGGCCTGTGGCTGTTGCTGTACGTTGCTGCTGAGCCTTCTTGTGCCCTGTGCCGCCCTTTTCCTTCTTGATTGGCCTGGTTGATAACCTCGTCACGTTGCTCCCGCGCCCATACCAGCCTGTTGCGGAAGGCCGCCAGGCCTGCGCGAAAGTTAACGGCCTTTTCATGCACAAGCTACGAGTCAATCAGGCTTGTAATGTACTGGGAATCAAGTTCTGGTGGCTGCAAATGTGGCTCCTGCCCGGGCTCCTGTGTCGGCATTTCCGGACCGGCGGCTGCGACGGTGTACGGCATATATCCAGAGCACGCCACTGACACTTGGGAATGAATGTTATAATTCGATAAAAAAGTGAAGACAGTACTAGACGGGCTGTGAACAATGAAAAACCGTATTACTATCATCTTTCTCCATGACCAGACCTCCATCGACCTAATCGTCTGGTATTCATCCATCAACTGCTCTGTGCAGGAACTTCAGATTCAGGGCACCTGGAGCTGCTGTGAACTGATCTCTTAGGTCAGCAAACAGCCTCTGGCCTCTTTCCTTGTCTGCGAACTCAACGCGGAACCTGCTGATCAATAAAGCAATGACAAAACGCATCTCACTCATGGCCAATGCCTTTCCCACACAATTAAAACGTCCCTGAGAGAAAGGTGCAAACCCTCGCGAGTCTATGATCATGTCTGGGCGTGAAGTCCAGCGCTCAGGTATCCAACTTGCGGCGCACTTATATGAGGACTCAAGACGAGCGAGCGAGTACCTTGGTGCAACAATGGTGACGCCTCCTGGTATATAAGTCCCACCGATTGTCATCCCTGCTGCGGGTGTTTGCCGATAACCGCCGGTAGGTACCGGTGGGTGAAGACGCAAGGTTTCATTGATGACCGCAGTAAGATACTCACAACGTTGTAGCTCGGTGCGGTTATGAATATCAGTGCCCTGAAGCTCATTGAACAACTTGTTTTGCCGCAATGGGTCCCGGGCGAGCTCGTAAAATGCGAAAACCAGTGTTGGAGCAATAGTATCACTATTTTAACAGTTTAGCCAATGCATGTTGAGACGTAGAATAGTCTCCAGAGCTTGAAATAGAAAATTGAAGTACCTTCCAGCAATGATTATAGTGACGGCATCCCCGTTCAGCCAATCGCGATCAGCTTCTAGTGAGCCCTTCTTCAATGAAGCATTTATGAGCCAGTGAGACACATCCAGAGAGTCGACTTCCATCTGTAAAACGTGCCATGGCGTCAGCGGGCGCGGTCAGGCAACCTTGGAAGACAAGAGAGGGCAACACCTACCTTTATCCGTTCCCCCATCCGCTCTTTGCACCATTCCATCATTGACAGCCAATCCCGTACAACAAACATCCATGGTGTGACATAGAAGGCTATCTGAGCAAGCCAAGGCACCGGGCTAAAGGGTCCTAGCAAGGCCATTGCACTTCTGAGTAGCCTTACTGCTGGGTGCCACCCTTCATCCCCGAGCATATTAAACGATCGTGCAAAGGCAAACTCCCCCATAACGTCAAATGTGAACCAGTAAAACCAGTCAGAAACATTGACAGGGTTATCACCATTAGCTAGTTCTGCGATGCGAGCTGCCAAAGTCTCTGCAAATTCCACAACGCGAGCCTCGTAGACCTTCATTGCCTGGCTGCTGAAACCTGAGTCCCAGATCCGGCGCCGAATATCATGGTCCTTTTTGCTTCTTGTTGTATTTAAAGCGATCTCAGGAAGAAGAAAGTCATACCATACGGCTTTTGTACACTGGTTGCCTGGTCCATCCACCGCAGGCGGGACAGCTGGGTCGATGATTGTGAGTTCCTCAGGGCCTGTCCGTATGATCGGCCCATACTGTTTGTGTAAATCCTCAAGCACCAAGTAGTTCTGACCGGTACGGCACTTCCATACATGCCACAATTTGGTTGCTCCAGCTGCCCATGGACCCTGGAAATGTCGTAGTCGGTGGAAGTACTTGCGGTATATGATGATACTAGTGAATAAACCGCACATATACGTGGAGATTATGTGTGCCGTAGTTGACATGCTGGACATGGTGTCGGCACGGACATAGCGTAGTAGACAAAAGATAGCTGTAGCCAGGAGAGAATAGAAGTAGAACAGAGTGGGCGCCTGCATGTGCCATTCTCCTCGCATAAAGATTCCCAAATGGGAAATGACTCCAAATATGAAGCATAATGCTCCCAGGTTCCAAGATGGCACAGAATCAAGATACATGACTTTGAGATATTCAAAAAAGCACAAGGGGTGACTAGAAGAAAGATTGATGAAGGGTATGTAGCTGCAGAGGCTTGTGTGAGGTAGGAACAAGTAGGGGTCGAGTCTGGTGCAAACTAGATTGCAAACTTGTATTCCAAGCGTCGAGACAATGATACAAGAACACTGTCACTGAGCAGATGAGTAGAAACAAAGATGAGTGAAAGTAGTACCAATCTTTGGAGTGACGGATATCACGATGTCAGCGAAATATCTTGTTGGGTTAAGATCTCCCAGAGATTGTTGGGGGCCGGGGGCTGAATTCGACTGCAATGAAATTATCCACAAGGATAATTACCCTATCGTAGCATGAAACGTCCCTGTAAGGTCTCCGATCCAGCCCTCGTCCCTCTGATGACCAGGAGATACTTCTAAAGTGAGATACTAGCGTTCCACACACAGTCCAAAGGGTATGGATGAGTACCCACCTAGGCAGCACACCTGCGTGGTCAGACCGGGTACAGCTGTGCCTTCACCCGGCGTCGGATAATGGTCCACTTGGGCAACAAATGCAACTATGAATTGGGAACGCTATCCCGATCAAGTCCGTCGCTGATAAGAACAGGCTTCCCGATGTCGCCGAAGAAAATATAAAATTCATCACGGAAAATAACCGACGTTTGTTTGAAGATACCTCGGCTGCTTTTAAATGTTCCCATACCAGCAACCACACAACAGCGAATTACAACCAATCCCAAGACTTGCGTCAAGTTCATGTTATTCTCGAAGCTACAAACTAGGGTATCATCATGTCTGGAAAAGTCGTGAAGTCGGTATGTGGATAATGATTCCTTTCCTTTGAAGATACTGATTGACTGGGGAAGCCACTGCAGGATATTACCTCAATAAGCACAATATGTTATCATGCATACTCTGTCTGGCTGTTCACACTCAGCGACCTCAAAACCATTGTGGTGCCTCAGACCATGTTTGGTATATTTAATGGCCTTGCTCTTCACGGGAAAGAGGGTCTGGAAAGTGGAATCTCAAGACCGGCACTCCTGTTGACAGTTGCCCGACTACCAGTTGTTGCCTTCTGGGTCTGGATCAACCTGCTTCCTTTCGCCATCGATAATCAACGGCAAGACGCGGCAATTCTGGAGGACAAGCACAACAAGCCTTGGCGTACGATGCCCTCTGGCCGGATGACGCCAACCCATGCGAAAACACTGATGTTTGTCTTATATCCAGCAGCGTTTTTGGCTAGTCTTTATTTGGGTGGGCTCCGCCAATGCTTGTCCCTAATGGTATTAGGTTACCTGTACAACGATCTGCGTCTGGCAGACCGGAGCTGGATCAGCCGCAATGTGATCAACGCACTTGGGTTCTGCTGTTTCGCTTCTGGTGCATTGGAAGTCACACTCGATGCACCGATCCAGGTTATACCGCTGCCTACCGAATATCGACGTGTTATCGAGTGGCTTGGCATAATTGCCGCCGTGGTCTTTTCCACGGTACAGACCCAGGATATGGCGGATCAGGAAGGAGACCTCAAGCGCAACCGTAAGTCTATGCCTCTTTCGGTTGGAGATGGCGCAGCCCGCTGCTTCACAGCGGTAATGATGTCTTTCTGGACCGTGGTCTGTCCTCTGTACTGGATGGTCGGCAACGGCCCGCGCTTGGTGGTGTGGGGGCTAGGCTTCGGGATTGCATGCCGCACTTTGATCCTTCGCAGCTTGGCAGCTGACAAGTCGACCTTTCGGCTGTGGAACGTATGGATGGCTGCGCTTTATGCCTTGCCTTTGGTGGCGGCTGTGTGACTGCTAGGTGCAGCTTGGTCCACAGGTCATTACGCGGCCAAGCGGCGCAGATCCGGCGGCAGCTCCTGACCGGGGTTGGCTGCCCATGGACCTCAGCCTTATTACCGCTATTTAATTTGTCGGAATTCGTCAGTGGAAGATGCTGGGTGACGGGGTTTGACCTAGGTATGGAATTGTGAGGTAATCTGGATACGGATATGCGCACTGTTCAGATTTCTACCATTTTGCAAGCCAGTATGTAGAACATTTCTAAGGTTCACAAGCACAGAACATTATCTCCCGCAAGTCGCCCTGCCGATACGGAGCCAAATTCCAATTTGAAAGATGAACCCCGAGCATGCAAGTTGGTGGCCTGCCAAGCCAGCCTGCATGCGTCTGCTGCAACCGTTATATCTGAAGTCACACCACCGCCAACGAGGAGGGGCACAATCTGTTTTTAGTGGCACAGTTTGTCGCTCCTTCGCCGTTGCGCCCCGAGGCAGCTGTATTTGACAAGTCACAGTGGGCTGCGGTTGTGAAACGTATCATCAGGAAAATGTTGGTTCGCCTGCACGAATGATACTGCTGCAGCCAGTCAGCAGATCACTCCTGCACGGCCCAGCCAGGGTATTTCCTGCTCAATCAGGTCTTTCCAAGCGATTGGGGGCTAAACAATGTTATGCAAGTAAGCGGTGAGTCAGAAGTGGGGGTATTTTCATGTGTTCTCAAATCCACCGTGTCATTCCAACTTATATACCTGTCGAAATGCAAGGCGTCCCCGTCCCCACAGAGGCAGATCATGATGGTCAGCTTGTTGTTCTTTGTTGACACCTCGATCTAGAAATCCAGCTCAAGATGCCCAAGCCAGTTTTTGTTCTGCTCCACGGTGCCTGGCACACTCCCCGCTGCTGGGACCGGCTCATTGCTCAGCTCGACGCTGCTGGCTATGCCTCAGTTGCTCCGGCCCTGCCATCTTCAGGATCCAACCCACCTGTCCCAGACTGGTCCCAGGATATTGAGACCATACGCAACACTGTTTCTAGCCTTATTCAGGAGCATGATGTTGTTGTCGTTACCCACAGCTTTAGTGGTATGACCGGCGGAACTGCACTGGAAGGTTTAGACAAAGAAGCGTCATTATCTAAGGGGTTGAAGGGTGGTGTTGTTAGATTGGTGTATATTGCCGCTTTTCTTGTTCCTGAGGGATTTCAACACTCACCAAAAGGCACTCGGGATAACATGGTGCCCCAGATGAAGACCAATCTTGAAGTATGTGAAACGTCTTCCTTGTATGAGCAAACTTACTTACAATAATAGACTGGGGTAATCACTGTTGCTCCTGAGGATGCGAAGGATATATTCTATCAGGATCTCGATGATGCGACTGTTGCTGAGCTTGCAAAGGACTTGCAACCACAGAGCTTTGCTTCATTTTGGTAAGGGCCGTTGCTTGTTATTCCTCCCACCTTCAAACAGCTCGAGGGCCAGGTATAATCCGGCTTCACGAAAGAGACTAACAAGAGAGATCGCTGAAATGATGTTTTCACACCCATTATCTGCCCATGAATGTGTGGTCTGACAAGTACTACAGGAGCACAACTACCTATGCTGCATGGCGTATAATTCCCACAACTTATATCCTCTGTATGGGCGACAAGCCCAGCACCGTAGCGGCCATCGAGTACCTCATTGAGACAGCGAAGGGGAGTGGGAAGCACAAGATCGACAATGTCATCAGGCATGATGTTGGGCACTCTCCATTTGTAAGCCAGCCTGAATGGCTTGCTAAGGCGCTGATCGAGGAGGCGAATAGGGAGGCTTGAGTCTTAGGCAGGCAAGGCCCATCGCAACGAGAAGTACTACTATCATTGCAATCGTAGTATGTTTTTGAAGATCAGGTGTATCAGAAACGATGAATACAAGATTATCGTCAATCAAAGTTAATCCTAGTTATGTGTAACTCAAGCGCTGAACCCAATCACTTTAGTTTGAGATCCAGTTCGTCCAAGTTGTCTCTTACTTTGGTAAATGGATGGCCTGCTTGCTCCTTCCGCCTCCACTGCAATTGTTGTTGAGTACCAACCTCCATTCAAAATCTACTTCTGGAGGTGAAACTCACAAGTCTTTGTCATGGCTACTAGCTTGTTTATCTACGAAAAACAATTGGCACCTTTTGGCATAACCTAATTCCAAGTGTTTATTGTTTGTGTTGTGTAGAAAGATGTTGTTAGTGCTGCTCTTACTTTGAACATCAGCCAACCAGTGTGGCGCAAAGTCAGATGCCGTGAGTTCCCACTGTGTTCACCAAACTCAAACTGAATCAGGCTGACGTTGCCCAATGACTGTGAGACGCCCGACATTGTAAGCAAGACTTTGTCTGTGCTTGAACACCTCAGAGATCAACTCTCTGCAGCGGTCACCCGAGCCGTTGTTCATAGGATCTAAAACCTTGTAACTGACCTCCTCAGAGGCCATTAGCGCCGTGTCTAGTTGGAAAGGGAGGAGCTCCAATGGGAATGGTCTATTGTCAGTGGTAATATTCACGAGTCCATTATTGTTGAAGAAATCGGGCAGCCTGATTGGCCAACTGAAGGAAGGTCAGCAGTGATCGGAAATTTCATGCCTCCCTTGCCCATATTCACGTACTCGTCAGCTGCCCAGTTGGGCCTTGTCCCACCCAGAGTGCCAATCATTGCTAAAAGCGGAGTCAGGCTGTCTGGTACATTCTCCCCCTGCTCTGTCCGCACAATCTTCCAGTGGCTGTAATTGATTTCGCCCCATGAGATCCAACCACCAGGCTCTGTGTGACACTACTTGTCAGCACCAGCAAATCAATTCGGTTGTCCCATTCCTGAGAGCTGACTCACTTAATAGCCCCAGTAGGTTCCGGATGATTGGTTCGGGATCATTGTTATGAACAGCCAGGTGGAAGAGCTGAACATGAACGATATCGTATGTTCCAAGCAACTGCTGCGGCAAATCTGCCAAGCAATCGAGATTATGCACATGGACGTTGGGCGGCAACCATTCCTTCGGCGGGCACTGTGTCAGATCGATATCGAAGCCATCGATGCACGCTGATTTAGGGAGGTGATTTGCGAGGTCAACAAGCCAGATCCTATCTTTCCGGTTAGCACAGCCGAGATTGCACTATGTGGGTGCACAGTAAGTAAAGCTGACCCGGTGCCAACACCTATCTCGGCGACACGCAGATTCTCGGTGTGGGTTGGGATCTGTGGGTGCAGGGAATACCCCCCCTGTTTCCACAAGAAATACTGCAAATTTAGTCTAGCCGTCAAATGTGTTATCATTAGTGCAATGCTCTGGTGCCTAGTACACAGGAATCGGCGGCAATACTACTCCGTACCTCGCATTCGCCGAAAAATTCCGTCCGAGGATGTAGTCTTCCTGCTCTCCCATTGTGCCAGGTAGCTCGGTGGCGTGGGGGCGTGATAACGCGTGCGTGTGGCACAAGCTGGTTCAAATTTAAAATCGAAGGCGACGTGATACAGAAGCCTAGGGAATGATGGAGTGATCAGGCAGCATCAGCCAAACCAAGACACTGTGGGAGGGGAACTGATCTTAAGTATTCCCAAGGGTTCATCTACAACTATGCTGTCAACATCGATTCTCCGTCACACCAACACGAGAGCGTCTTAATTTACTACGGCGCACTCCTTACCAGTTCACACCTTTATCCGATCATCTCCACCGCATGAACCACACAAGCGAGTCTGTATGCAAAAGGTGATCGGGCAAGAGGGGTAATTGGGCAAGGTTTCTGTCCATAGTACCTCCGCGCGGGCCTGAAGCTTGACTGGGGTGCTGTGAATCAAGGCACAGTTGCCCTATATCAAATTTGGCAGGTGTTATTTGCTGAGGGAGAGACATGCCCAACACATGCATACACATGCATACACATGCGCGCGTAAATTATGCAGCCGGGTGCCAGGTCGTGCCAAGTCCGCCACTTCGCACTCGGAAGTCAGCAAAGAATTCTGGCTCGCGTAATACCATCAGGAAACGGAGCGGGGAGGATCAGGACTGAGATGAGGCCATCTTCATGCAGGATGTCATCTTCCTTGCAGGGTGTCATCTTCCTTTCCTGTTGGTGATTTATACCAATGACGTGTGGCCATGACCTGCAGCATTGGGTGTCACAGCATTGGTGGGTTACTCAAGAATCGTTGCACAAGGAGGAAGAGGATGTAGGCACCTGGGACCAACAGCCGCCGGCGAAGCCGTGGCGTTTGGATGTGGCGGGCCATTGGGTACCGGGGCATCGGGTCTATACCTGCAGTACATCAATGTAACCAAGGTCAAAGGCAGGATTCCGTGAGCTCTGGATACATGTAGCAACCTTTAGGACAGTGCGAGTAAAGCAGGATTTATGCAACCAAGATCACCGTGGTATACGGGGTATCTAAGAGGCCCCCAAAGTATGTAAATAGGTCAATCAATGTAACCGCACTGCATACTTCCGACGGAACTTCGGGCCAACAAGGCTGTCTGTCAGCTCCAGGCCGGATTGGGAGCCCGAAGTCGCATCGTCCATGGTAAGGGACCTCTGGATAATTCAACGATTCATGCAGATTTACTTGTACGCTTTTCTCCTCATGAGATGCCTCTCAAACTCAAGCTCAATGCGCATTGCAATACCCGACATCTGAGCACTTCTCATTCCCTTCGCACTCCGCACTCATCCCCAGCCAAGCCCGAACATGGCACCATATTCCGTTGACATGGTGTTTCCCACCGCAATCCTGGCCATGAACTCTCTTGGCCTCGGACTTTCTTTCATGGCCGTCGTGGTTCGGCTTTGTGCCCGGCACGCTAGAAACATAAGATGGAGGCTGGCTGACTACACAATCATCGTTTCCTGGGTATGTCTGAAGACCATGGGTGAAAATGAGTGAATATTGACGAAGATAACATTCAGATCTTTACTTTTGGCTTGGTGGTTAGCGAGAATTACATCGTCGTCAAAGGCGGCGTTGGTCAGCAACTTGAAATGGTAGACATGGAAGAGCTGCTATTCGCACAGAAGGTAACTGTCTCGGCCGCATCCACATCATTTCATCGTCTGATTGGCAATATCTTAGCAATTTCTCGTCCTTGGGGTTTGCGGCTCGTTGGCAGTGACTTTTGTCAAAATCTCTTTGCTGGATTTCTTCCTGTCCATCTTCTCCATACGCAAAAGCTTCCGCCTTGCGGCTTACACTCTCATGGCGATGACCATAGGCTATGGCATCTCATTCACCATCGCGACACTGGCAAGCTGCCAACCATTTGAGGCAAACTGGGACAAATTGAACAATCCTGGTTACAAGTGTATCAACACGTCGGTGTTTTACGTGGCACAGGGGGCTATTGGAGCTGCTCTGGACATTTCCATTTTGCTCATGCCGATTCCAATTGTGTGGTCCATGAAAGCCAAGACACAAAGAAAGATTGGGCTAACTTTCCTCTTTACTATTGGTATCTCGTAAGAAACTTTCACCTCCGATGAACGCAAGATTATGTGAAATTTGGAGCTACAAGGACTAACGCGACAACAGGATCTGCGTCATTTCTTTATTCCGTTTATACTACAACACCCGATCGACCTGGATGGTGACCCATTTCACTGAGTACGCGGGTATCGCCGCCATCTTGGGTGCATTGGAGGCCAACCTCTCGATCATCTGCGCGTGCCTCCCAGCATTCCCATCACTCCTGAAACCACTCATTGAGAAGCTGAGATCCAATCTTAGCTCCAACAAGTCGGGTAGCTTTCTGGGCCTGTTCTACAAATTCTCATCCCGTCGAACGAGAGGTCCTACCACTGGATCAATCAAGCTGACATCCTCGGCTGAGGCTTTGGGACCAGGGCATTCTTCGGCGCCCACAGACCCAGAGAATGGGTACAATAGGCCAAAGAATGTTGATTATACTAGCAGACTCTATCCACTGAGTGAAACATCAGCAAGTCGTGGGAGTATCGAAGGCGCCATGTTTTGGCCGAAGGCAGGTCAAGTAGGCGTGCAAACAATCACCACGGCAGAGTCGGTGGAACTGGAAAGACTCGGGGGAAGGATGGAGACTTGGGGGAATGTTCGTCCATGAATCCCTCATGATTGGTGATTCTCTGCTCTTTTGGTACGAGCTTTGAGTTATTAAGCATCAAACAAATTTTTGTATATGTACGTACATGTACAAAACTAAAGAAGAAGTCCAAAACCCTTTCCTTATAAACTAAGTTAGCTGGAAAGAAGTTGCTTATATTCATACTTTACACTCGCTAGTGACTTAGAATATAATAACTTCATGAGTAATAAATTCGGATATCGTGTGCCCAAGCCAGGCCAGTGCTCCGGAATCATGGGACCTTTTACTAGATGTCGCCACGGACCTGGGCGAAAAAGACCTCCAGCACCAGACACAAAGTCAGAATCAAGGAAGACAAGTTAGATGCAATCTTACAGCTCCTATACAAACTGCGTATTTCATAGCAGTGACCGTGTCCACATTGCTAACGTTGTTCCAATCGTAGCACTTCGCCCAGAGCCATGATATCCACGCACGCGTCGAGTGGGATGCCCAGACCGTGGCGCTATGGGACAACCGCGTTTCTGCGCACACAGCCATCTCAGACTGTGATATGAGTGACGAAAGGGAGCGTCGGCACCAGTGATTCCGCATCAAGATTTTGGCGGGGGTTCTTAAAGACGGGTGTCAATGGCCTCAAGTCCGAATGGGACTAGGGCTCCGACACAGCACAGGCACTGATGATCGAGTGGGATGGAAGTCTACCTCATATTGAGAAATGCTTCTATCTGTGTCCATTGGCTTCGTCGAGACCGAGGTATTCTTTTGCCATCAAATTCGAGTTCGAAGAACTGTCTACGACTGTTCCCGCACAGTCCCAATCACTGAAGCTCCCAAGTTTCTTTCGTTACCATATCACGCCTCCAGCCCTTCTTGCTCTTTTTGCATCTCTGGTATCCCTCAGAAGATTAATGTTCTTCCACGAAAGCACGCATAAGAAAGCGAATCCTGCGATGAACAGAGCTGCGATGAGCAGATTCTGCAGGTATTCTTCGTAGGCTGCTACCAAAACATTCCGGGTCGTACTCCCCAGTGGGTACTGCTTCTGTTTCTCCAGAAAGGCGAGCGGCTCGGGGATGAGATCCTCGCTGTCGGCGGGAAGAAGGGTCCATAGACCATACGTCCATACCGTCGTGGCGGCGGTAGAGCCGATGCCTACGGCTATTGAAACGAACGTGCCCCAAATACCAAGGGCCATGGCGACGTTCTCGTGGTCGACGAAAGCCATGATCGCCAGTTGGCTGAGAAGGAGGAGCGCACTCTCCGCGCTCCCGACAAGTATCTGGGAAACCGTCCAGGCCCATCCTCCGTGGAAGTGGAAAATATGGGCAATGGTCATAGTTAACAGGCAGGCACCGGAACACACGGCCAGAGACCTGTACTTCCCTGTCTGCTGAACGTAGCTAAGGGTTTGTTAGATGTCGGTTCCTGACAGGGTTGATACAACAAGACTGCAGGGACAACTTACAGCCCAAATAATGGTGCCGAGAACGCGAAGGCTAGAATTTGTGTGGTGGAAACCCAGTCGGCGTCAGCCATTGTTTGGTTTCCCACAACTTGAAGATACGAGCTGACATGAGAGCTCCAGCACGCGATGGATGCGGCCGTCAACGTGGCCACCCCGCAACCTCCAACGAAATTCGAATCCTTAATCAAGGACTTGGGAAAATAAGTGGCGGGACCCAAGTAGTACTCCCAGAGATAAAGGAGCGAAATGCTAAAGAATCCGAGAACGAGCAGGGCCGAGAAGATCCCCGCTGACCAGCCCTCCTGGGTCCCAGGAACATGGTTGGGCGCGAGTAGAAGCAGGCTGATCCCAGTTATTGCAAGAATGACGCCTGGAATATCTAGTGCAACCACGAATCGCCTCAGGGCGTCGAGGACTCTGGGCTTTTCTTCGGTGCCGGTGGTCGAATTGGTGTCACCCTGTTCCTCTTTGTACGAGGCGATGGAGCGAGCTCGGGGAAATAGAAGAGTCAGGGTGAAGCAAACGGCGCACATAGTGATAGCGCAGATACCCAAGGCCTCTTCCCTGTGGATCCGCGATTCGAGCAACTCAAGTTGTGCAATGTGTGGTGCTGCCAAAGTCCTCAAGATAAGAGGGATTGTATAGATGCCGTAGATAAGACCTTTTGCACCTTTCAGTTAGCAAATGCTGATAATATTTCAACTCAGCGATTCTATGCGTCATCAGAAACTCTAGATCCAGTGCCGCCTTTTCTTTGATTCTCTTTTTCCCCGTGTTTTCTTTTCTTCGGCCGACTGGAGCTAGAAAGCAGCGAGTGATTGGTGGGAAGCGCTTCTGCAGAGTATGAACAGGAAAAGATCATACCTCTGTTCTTGATCGAGGTCATATCCGCTAGAATGACTGTCAAGATGAAGTCCATGCCGCTCGAACCGATTCCGTAGAGTATAGAGCCAGTGGTTGCCCCTGCTAGGGTTGAAGCCTGCTGCAGGATGAGCACACCCAGCTGGGCCGCAATCCACGGCAGATTAAAGCCCGATGCACGAGGACTTGAGTCGATGATTTTGGCCATGGGGAGCCGGAGAACGCCACTCGATATTCCAATAACGACAGGTAAGACGGATAGGACACTGCGACCAGAACCGGAGGAATCGGAAAGTATGAGGCCTGGCATTAGGCCGAGCACAACCGCGTCGATGAGGAGTAGCAAGATTCTGTGGCACAAGATGCTGCATGTGGTGTCAGTTCCGTCGAGCTCTCCATAAGACTGGCCCAGGCTGACTTCGAGTGATATCAGTACTTACAGAACGAAAGCTGCCCACAGCAGGTTCTTCGACTTGAACACAACCATAGCGGGAGACTTCTCCGTTCCTGCATTTGTCTCCTCGCTGTCTTCCTCGCAAGAAGTCATCCTGGCACCCTCTGGCTCATCCATGTTGATGCAGGTTTCAAGCGACATGATCTTTAGCGATTGACAGAGTCAGGTGGAGTGATGTGCGAGTTTGGAAAACAGTGCAGCGTTTCTGTTTGATGTCTGCAGCCAGACAGGATCATAACAGTGTAATGAAGGAGGCAGAGAGTTCCGTTGAATGGCGGCGCTGATGGAACAAATATGTGTAATTAGACTTGGTCCTTGTCATTTATATTTGATTCGATTCTCTGCCTTGAAAGTGGCTGATTGTGCGTGACGTGGAACGGCGCTGGAGCCATCACAGGATCGCCTGGCACAAGCGTCAACTGGTGGCTACTGCTCGAGGTGGCTACTGCCCAAGCAGAGTCTAGCGGGGGCGCAGCGCAGACGTCGACTGCGTCCGGTCTTGAAAGCACGAAAGAGCGGACACCCGACGCTCCTGCGTTTGTTGAAGGTGACTTCATCATTGCAAGCATGTGGTCAACTGGTAGAAGCGCCCAACCAGGTGATTAGGGCGCACCTGGAATACCTTGCTGGGCCCCTTTCCGGGCAGAGGTAGGTACCTATCGAGTTTGATCCACGGGTCGACAACTGCCGACCTAGCATCGATAAAGAAGCCATGCTCATTCATTCGTATTCGTCCTCCCAAAGCCCAATGCTGAGAGAGGGCTGAGGCCTAGAATCGACATCAGGTTTGCGACGATGGGCTCAACAGGATCGACGAAGGAGGATCCAGTGAAGTCATGACGGTGACTACTACAATGCGTTGCTCTTCACCTTCCTTCGTTTGAGAGATTCAACTCGCAACATATAAAAATCCACGAGTTTTATTCCCATCCACGACTTGTACGGTAGGCAGTCGACCCTATGCTTCACGTCTGCAGTAGATCCTCCGTCCGGGGACGTGGCGGTGACTAATCGTTCGTGAACTGGCGATACTGACTTAACATTGCAACCGCGATATTTGGTGTGATTCTGTTATCCTGCTCACTCGGCTCAACGCCCAGCTCGGCGGTCGTGTTCTCCACTCGGCCATACCACATCTCGGCTCACTCCTCTCCTCTTCCACATTCCCGACCCCAATGTTTTCCTTTAACCCCCTTCAACTCTTCTATCAGCACCCTCCTTGACCGCCATGCCCGCCCCATCTGCTGCCACAAGCCCAGCGTCAAGATACTGCATTGCACCCTCGCAGTAAACACCACAGGAAGCCAGTTTCCCGTCGTCGTCCCATCGCCAAGCTACAGGGTGACCCGAGCCCCACGCGCCGAGCTTCGAGTGAGCACCAAGCCGCTGGACCTCGTCACGCCCGAGCTCGACCGTCCCCTGGGCCCTGGGGCCAACGCTGTCACTCCGCCTCTTCGCACTCTCCTCTTCTCGGGCACAGGAACGGCCGCACTGCTGACGGGGTCTCAAGCTCAGTCTCGACGTTTCCTTGACTCGTCCAGTCCGAGTTCTTGAGCTTCGGAGGTGGTGCCGCTGACTTCCTCCCGTGGAGACCGAAGACAGGCAGGACCGCGTTGCCGGCACGGAATTGGCTGCTACATTGGTGTCGCTGGGGCTGTCATCGGATACAGAGCTTCTGGCTTCTTTACCTGCCCGCTAGTTCATCCCCGTCTTCGTTCGAGCCGTGTCTTGATCGGATCCTCATTTGTTTACCACACTCCCTGCTCACCCCCCGCCCGCCCCATATTCGACCTGTCGACTTGTGGACGATCCGACCGACAAGAGTCGAGGCTGCTCCTGGCTGGCTTTCGCTAAATTTCTGCCAGGGAGGGCAGGAATCCTGTGTGTGCTTGTGTCTTCAGACGCTCGTCTCCCGCAGGGGACCTCGGGAATCTATCCCGAGAAGGATGCCTTGTGGAGGCATCGACAGCAGCCACTCGTTCAGTGCTCTTACAGCATCGCACCATTTGATGGCCTGGTATGTACTAATGCAAGTCTGCTGTCTATAATAGTACCAGCCATGGCAGTGGCCCAACCTGTCACCATCAACATCCGGAGACAGGTGATCGTCGAGTCCCGAGAAGACGACGCCCTCCAACCCGAACCATCCGAACGCGTGTCTTGTGCCTTCCACTCGTCGATGACCATCTTGTTCGATTCTTCCTCCAATACAGCCTTCTTCAAGCTCCAATCCCCCATTGTCCTGCTGGTCCCATCCTCCCAGACCGATCATTATGATACCTTGCGATCCAACGTGCATCTGTGCATCCGCCCCGAACATATCAGCTCGCTCGTGCATGGCCGACCGCCATTGCCAGACAGACTTGCCCCACTCTACAAGAAGCTCGCAGGACAGGAAACAATCCGTCTACAATTCACGCTGTCTGAACCGCCGGAATGGGTCGTCCCAAACACCGGAACCTTGATCCCCAAGGCGCAAGAGCATGCCCAACTGCTCGCGGCCTTCCAGCGGCTTGCCTCCGCCCAGTTTGTGACAATCTACATGCCGAGCAACGCATTAGTAGAGGCAAAAGCCTTGTCCCTCTGCCAAGCCGCATCCACAAGCGGGCAACTGCATTCGAGCCCTCAGCATGCCGATATTCATCGCTGGTACCCAAGTCCGGGAGGCAAGATCGTCGCGCAAGATGACATTGCGCATATTCTCTCTGCAGATCGGCCTACTGAAAGCCCACCCTCGTATGATGACCTGGGTTCCTCGTCACAAGGCCTACAGGATGACTCCGCGTCCCGCAAGAGACAACGAACGAGCCCTGGAGGGCAGGAGAAGCCCTCGGACGACTACGAGGCACTGGGTTTAATAGACAAAGCTGGTCAGATGGCGGTTCGCCTGAGAGACCTGATCCTGGAAGCCGAGAGGAAGGAAGCCCTGCTCAAAGAGAGGATAGGAGAGGCAGACCAGAGGCTGTCCCAGCTGGCTGAGACAACGGCTGAGGACAAGGAGGCGCAAGTAGAGGAGCTCAAGCAGTATATAGATGACCGCTTGGAAGAGACACGTGCAGAGATCCGCGAATTTATTGATGACCATTTCGACGAGCTCAGCGTCGATGTCGTTCTCAAGGCCGAGATGGAGGACTACGTTGACGAGGCGATCAGGGCCGCTGAAGATGATCTCCGGGAAAAGCTGAGCGGCAGTGGGGTCAGAGTGATATTTAATGACTAGATGACCAGCGATTTATCATTGATTTTAACTCCCTCAACACTGCCGTTGACTGCGAGCCTTGTTGGACCACTCCGAGGCGCATACCGGATCATCCAGTGCTGCCTGCTCATGCTGAAGTGGCCCTGCTTGCCAACCAAGAATCTCTCCTTGCTTCGCTTTCATGCCGGTGAGCAGCCCGGGTTCTCGATGATGGTCTGCGCCAGCAGCTGAGGAACATAGGTAATCTACCCCGAGCCATAGTGGACAGAAGCCTCACTTTCTCACCTGTCCAAGCACGAGACATAAGGCCCAGCCCAGCCCGCTTACTTAGAGATGTACTACAGAGCGGCAGCAACCCGTCATCTTGAGAAGCTGGGTATGAACTTATACAGAATCGAAGGCTAGAAGGCTAGTTCGTTCATGGAAACTTCTAGGGACGGAGATTGTGATCCGGCCCGCAAGATCTGCGTGAACCTGCCGAGGACGTTTGTAGATGTCGAACTTTCGCCTGCTACTAGCTCATCCACTAAAAAGTACTGTAATGATTGGGCGGAGAGTTTGACGCCTTCAGGTGTAGTTAATCCTTTCGAAGCCCCTATGTACTTAGGCCATCACCCTTGGGCTAGTTGTGCGGACGATTCTAACCAACGGCGCCGTCCAGACAGTACTACTTTGCCTTGTCTGTGCGCCACAAGGCTGAGTAAGGCCACGTGTGTCTATCGTATTTTTATCACGCTATCGTTATTCTATATTCTTTAACGCTAATGCTTAGATATATTAGCTTATATTTAGCACGGGTCAGGCCAGGACCCGGGAAATAAAACTTGTCTTGATAGCGGCTCGTACCTGGTCACTGACCAGTATCATAGAATCGGTCTTCGAGTTCCGACATTTCATCTATGAAAGAGACCTTATACTATATTTGAACCAAGAAACGCTAGCCTTGTAAATGCGACAGTCTCCACAGCCTCATCGCGTGTGCCCAGATGCCACTCGCACCGGCAACATCGTAGGTAGGGTCCAAAGCAGCACTTTCATATCTCTGATCGCTGGGATCCATTTGTTTTTCTCAACGCTATTTTTGCCTCGCATCGTGCCACTTATGGAGTCCAGCGCCAGAACGTCACATGAGCGCCATTTGCCTCCTATGGAAATCTCTAAACCCCGAAGATCAGCTCTATACAAGAGATGGCGATAGGCCGCATATGTTCATTTGAAGGAGTGTCTGAAAACTTGGGCACTGTAATCAGGGACCCCAATTCACATCTTAAACCACGCGTGTGCCAACACCTCCTCGATCGACAAGCGTTCCTCAGGGTCCCAGCGGAAGAGCCTATGCAGAAGATCCGCCATCATGGCCTGCTCGTTTGTATGGGTGGTCAAGGATTTTTCCACCTCTCCCTTCTGGTCCCCGTCCTGTATGATGGTCTGCATAGGCTTTCTCAAGGCCACCTCTAGTGACCAATCCTCGTGATCTCCTTGTCGAAGCCACACCTCTTGATCATTAAAGAAGTCCCCCCGTGCCTCCCACCGATCCCACAACTCTTTAGGTGGTTTCCCAAAGAAACGAACCATTTCTGCCAAGAGCTCGTCCTTATCGAAGATCATGTAGAAGAGAGCAAGCTGTTGCCGGACCTCGAACAACGTGCAACCGAGTGCCCAGAGGTCACAGGCCGGAGAAATAGCGTTCTCTTGCTCTAGAAGCACCTCGGGCGGGAGGTAATTTTCAGGGGTGCCCAGATGCTCCGGAGGCGAAGATATCGGAAAAGACTCGCCGAAGTCGATAACACAGATCTGGTCGGTGAGGTACCTGTCAAGTAATTTGGAGAGGTTGGCGGGAATTGTGAGATAACGTGGCGAGGACGTTGGAAGTTCCTTCCCAGACTCTGTGCACACATAAGTCTTCTCAGGTGTTCCAATAAGCAATAATAATTCATCCTCAGAAAGCCGATCAAAGCTGGCTAGTCTTGTGAGGATGTTTGATGGTCGGAAGTCTATACTATTGTTAGTTTCTGACTAGTTGAGGACTTCATAGAATGATAGGGTAATATTTACCTCCATGGCAAATCTTATTGTCATGTAGAAATTTCATAGCTAGGGCACATTGATGGGCCATCTTCCGTAGAATAGGTACAGGATCTTTCAGGTCCAACCAGAGCCTGGGTGAAACACAGGGGCCAAGTACTGGGAGTACGATACATTGGTGCTCCCCATTCGGCCCAGTAATTGAGAAAGAATCCAAGGGAACACCGATACATTCAGCGCCAGGAGAGATTTGATTCAGTCCAGTCAAGGCAAGGTCTGGAAGAGCTTCCGGTTTGATATCTGCCGTCATAACCTTAACTGCAACGTATCCTAAATTATTCGAGTCTCGGCAAAGCCATACGGTTCCGAAGCCACCATGGCCTAGCTTGTGAATAACCCGGTACTTGTTGCATTCGCCTAGTATGTCACCGAGATGGACTGGATGAAATCCGCCATCCTGGTAGTCTTCTAAGGGTTCGAGACCTTCGTTGATCCCATCTAAATATGTGCCGAGGGAAGTCGCCGGTGCGTGATCAAGATCTCCATCGTAATCGAAGTATGTGTCATCGGGATTTATGTCGTCGGAGTCATTCATCCTCTCCTCAACGGGGCTGGACTCCTTGACATTGGACATGGTTTTCAAGTTGGATAGTCGGTTGCCAGTGGCTGCAGCAATGCCACGCGCAACAGGATGGGCAAAGGGCCAAAACTTCCAATTTGAAGGTCCCAGATTAGGAGTTGGGGTTTCAATAAGATGATCTGCCAGTGGTTTGAATGGCGCGAAGGGAGGGCCCTAGAACTTGGATTGCGGAAGGTGCTTGGGTACTTCAATGTTGACAGCCAGATACGGCCGTTTGGCCAACAGCCGCGTCTGCCAAGGACCTGTTGGTGGTCAAGACCATGTGGTTTCGTTTTTAATCCCTATATATATAAAATATATATAGTGTCTTTATATAATAGTAAATATTTAAGACCTAGTATTTAAAGAAATATAGTATTAATAATAGTGGAAAGAAAATATAGTATATTTATAGATATATAGTTAAGCTTTATACTATATAAATAAAGCTAGAAGGTATTACTCTTAATAGTATTATATTAGAATTATTAATATAAGTAGCTTAAAGGTTAATAGTTAGTAAAGTAGTTATATAGTAAGATTAAAATAGTTTTAAAATAACCCTTATAAGAAGAAGAATCCTATAATGTAAAACTTAATAAACTAACTCTTCCCTATTAATATATTTAATAGTTATTTAAATTTACCTTTATTAAGTAAGTTAGTATAGTCTCTATTTTAAATATATAGCTATTAATAGAATAATAATATTATAATAATAAATTTATTTAAAAGCTTTTATATAAATTTTATAAAAATTAAAACTTTTTAAAAAGTTAAGTAGAGTTTATTTATTATATATTAAATAAATATTATATAAGGAAAGTAAAAATTTAAATATTTAAAAACTAAATCTTCCTTTTTTAAATATATTATTTTATTATTAAAGATTTATTTACTTTTATATAACATATAAGGAATATAGTAAAAGAGGGAGCTTTATAAGGAAAGTTAGTAACTTTATTATATATAAATAAATTTAAGGGTATATATTAAATAATTATTAACTTTATACTTAAAGTATAAGCTAATAGTTAGTCTAAAAGTTAAAAAGATAATAAATAGATAAATATATAGTTAAATAAAAAATATAATGTGGCCGAAGCCGGTCAAGACTATATCTGGCCGCAGATTGGGAGTAGTGTGTGCGCGTGGGTGACTGGGACCCCACTTGCTTGCTGCTTATTTATTAGTCATCCAGTGTGGCCCATTCGCCCCTGACTGAACTGCAATTGACGTGTTGAGGATAGTTGCCTTGTCTCTGTTTCCCCCTGTCGTGAAAATGCTAAATTCTTACTGCCTTAAACTCCATTGAATCAACTTCTGTTGATTCATTTTCAACATGGCCGCCTCCCGTTAGGCGTCTCAAGTGCTTTATATAGCCATGAAGACAAAGATCTAGCTATCGAGGGGGGGTGGTAATATCGCAATCTATACAGTCCTTGCGTTCTTTCTATAATTCTAAGATGCTTCAGCACATGAGAGCAAGGCTTTAGAAGCTCTGTATCTTGAGTCAACCGACCTCCTCGGCCGAGAGTTCGCCTGCTACTACGTAACGTAGGACCCCCTTTCCAGCCGATTCCCTGGCTTACATGGTACATTTAGGAGGAAACATTCGTCTGGCTAATCGGCAACAGCTAGCCCCAGGGCCTAGACTCAGCCGTATGGAGATTCCGGAGACACATTGCCCAAAATGTTTAGGTTGGATGCTTCTCACCGAGAGGCGGGTGGGTTGTTGTGGGTGACGGTCCAGCCCGTCTGCCCGTCCATGATTCAATGGGTCAGAACCGCTTTGCAGTGACTGGGAAGCCCCGGTTAATTCTCGACCCATGCCGGGCCACAATGCCCATTTTTGGACCACCACGGGAACCCAATGTCCGTCAAGAATCCGAAAAGGGCATTTGAAACGGTTTACCTAAAAACGTTGACTCAGGGGAGCGGTCATCAGTCCTAGTTCTTTGACATGATATTCTACAGCTAGCAAAGCCGTTAGGGCCCCTATTGTGAGGCTTGTACTAGGACTTAGAAGTACCGGAGCTAGCTGTCATATATCGGCAGTTGCTCGAGCTGATATGCACGATATGCTGCACTCCTCATCAAGCATTGAGGCTGAGTCGCATCATTGTCCCCGCCTGCAGCATTGCAAGAACGATAGTGGATATCTGGGTGGATGTTTCGAGGAGTGTTCTCCACTAAAATGGCCTTAATTCCAGTCCTTAACTTTAAACGGGAATTAGTTTCAAACAACCCGTTCTCCACTTCACAATGTCCACCGGCACTACCGAACACCGAACACGGTCAAAAGTACCAGGACAGCAGCCACAGCAGGGACCGGAGGGCGCGCGGATAATGCCCGGCACTCGCGCTTGACATTGCGGCACATTCTCTCATTCGTGGACAAGGCGATTTTCCCGGGCAGGCCACTTCCTTGTTCTCCCACGACGACAGGCCATTACATGGGGCCGAGATGGTCAACAACATCTTTCGAGGGCGGTCGGCCAAGAAGATAAAATGTCCGGCAGCCCCAAGACTTTGTGGGGGTCTGATTCTCGGCATCCTTCACTTCGCTCCTGACTTCTACGCAAGAACAACTTCCACTCATTCAAACGTCTCTCGTTAATCCATCATCCATCATGCACTACTCAGGACTCCTCCAGACGGCCGCCGCCGCGGCCATGGTCGCCGTTGCCCGCGCCGACAACTGGGGCGGTTCAGTCTCCCTCGGCCCAACCACCTCGACCATCGTCAAGGCTGTTACGACGCTCATTCCCGGTGTGGCTCCTTCAACCCAGAGCGGCGTACTGTTCCTCTGGCCCGGCATGTCCAACGGCACTGGCGACCTTGTGCAAGCGACCCTTGAGTCGTGGTCCGATAACTCGTGGTGTGGTGCTGCCAAGGGCCAGTGGTGTGTTCGTGCCTCCCTCTTCGGCTCCTTTGGCCAGCTCGACGGCGACGCCAGCCCTGTGTCTGGCGACCAAAAGGTCAAGATCGTCTACGAGCTGCTCTCGGATAACGACACCTGGCGCCAGACCGTCACCGACGCCGACACTGGCAAGCAGCTCAGCACATTTGAACACAAGTCCGGCCCCTTCATGAGGGGCTACGGCACCGGCACCGAGTGCAACGCGGGCTGCAGCCCCACTGTTGCCGAGCAGCGGTACATCGATACTGAGATCACCCTCGCCGGATCTGACCCCAACTTTGGAAAGACCATTTCCACCGCGCAGAAGGCCACCTACTCGGGTCTCTCGAACAGCCAGAACGGCAAAGTCTGGACTATCAAGGAGATTGTTGTGCCCAAGATGGTTTAGAAAGGACAATCCACTGGTGGCAATCCATCTGGCGCTTACTACTTCAAGGGTATATAATTCATCACATATATGAAAAAAAACACATAAATGCAAATACAAGCAAAAGCGCCAATACGCCATTCTCCAGCCATCTTTTTTCCATCCCCCAACCTGTCAAGATCAAGTCGCTTCTGATTCTCAATGCAGAGGCAAAACTCTGAAAGTCTGACCATGGGCCGATAACGAACATTTCGATCTGTCTCTAATATGCCAGCAAACCTAGGTAGCAAGTGCACGTCGGCATGAATAGCGGTCCGAAAATCCAGCTCAACGCTGACTTGTCCGAGCCATCGACGAATCCTTTCTTGTCGGAAACGGTATATGTTTGAAATACTTCCGTTTGCAGGGAAAGACGGCAGGCACCGATATCGATGGCCCGGTGACCGAGGTGGGTCAGCTCCCAGTCGATCACGAAGAGCCGAGGGAATTTAGCCATGACGTAGATCTCCCCATTTGACATTGAAGTAACATTCTGATGTATGGCATATAAACCTGTTAGTTCTCTCAGACTAGTATCATTTGATTATCAATGATGACCTACTTACCCAACCAGAAGTCCCCGTGTATCAGCCCCCTGCTGCCATAATCTCCTAGTAGCGGCCCATTAAGCTCAAACTCTGCGTTCATTGCAACCTTGATGCTTTCCAACACGTCCAAGTGTCCTCCCACGAGCCCTGGGTAGGTTTCAAGTATTCCAAGAAAACTCTCGTAGGTGATCTTACGTTTCAACATTCTCGCCACTGTATTCTGATCGATGGTAGCTCGCAGTTGGGCCTGCTCTGGCTTTGACGTTCAATGGCGAAAGTGGCGAAGCCAATAACCAGTCTTATAACCCACAGATGCAGGAGTGCTGCCCGGGAGTATTTCCTTGACAAGTGACGTGATGAATTCATCGTGTCCGAGCAATCTCTCAGACCCTGCGTATTAGTCTTTCGCTCAAGCAAGTAGACTGGGAGGCGTGGTGGCCTCACCACAGGATGTGAGGGACTAATGGTGCACGAGGAATCTGCGAGCGCTCGAAGAATGGGCCTTTCACAAGCCTAGACAAAGCAGATGACATCAGAATACCACCTAATACTACTGAACAGCGTTGGCGTTGACCATATACATCGTGCAACATCTAGCAGTAAATGTGGGTTTCCATGCGGTTAACGACCATCACACTTTCAGTCAGACCTCGGGATGCTTGCGGCTCAAAAATTAGTGGGTAGCAAGACTCTTCTTATGTTCAATATGTAGAGCGACTGTGGTTACGATGCTGACGAGATACATGTTCTACCCTAGGGTACAAGAAGATCTTCATTAAAAACTGTGAACGGAGAGATCTAAACCTCAACAGTCCCACACTGAGAACCCTGAGGTCTTGCACACAATTACTACCTGGGTAGGCTTATTTCCTGGAGCCTGTGATAGTGTAACTACAATGACAGACAGGAAGACCTTCATTGAGTGTTGACCTTGCAGTATCACCCAAAATGATTTAGTTCAAGTCATATGAGTGGCGTCTTGTTGAAGTCCGTCCGGCAGTACCAATTGGTCCAACATTGTAAGGCCCCACCAAGCAGTATCAAATCCTGTGTTACCCGTTGTAAATGCCTGCCTGTTGTTATTTTTAGGCGTGCTCCGTATTTAACCCCAGAGCACCCAACTACGCAGGATTCAAATCCTGTCGGTCCAGCTCGCAGGTCAGTGCTGTGCCTGGGCTCGGTGGAGAGTAACATTTGCGCCAGGCTTGACCAAGGCAAGTGGCGGTTTAGTAGATGCACGCCGCCTCGAAGCGAGCCGCAGGTCGGTCACCACGGTCCACAGTCTCCTACAATTCTTTCCACTGGTGATTGATGAGCCGAGTATACATGACTCGTTGACGTTGGTACGTTGTAGACTGAAGAGCTCAGAGTATCATATCGAACTCAATTGCTCATGGGTCGCATAAACGATTTGCATGTAGCTGGGCTTTGACAGATAGTCAGAGCCCCGTACATCTTATAATAAAACCAACTTCATGTAATTGCATAGAATACAGTGCTCGGTGATTTGCATCACTAACACTTCCAGTAACAGCGCCCTGCTTTCTGAAAGTTAAACGTGCATATGCAGGAGTCGTTTAGGAAGCGGCCAGGGTGCCGCCCCACGTCGACCAAATTCACGGCCGCCATCTCGTACTCCTTCTTGGATGGAATCCATCCTTTCCAACGAACATAAGATGGACTCGGAATGATCCCAACTCCTGACAAAATTGCTCTTGATCATCGCATTTTACCACTCGCACCATCTTTCTGTTCTCCCGTGCTGTGGAGTCTCCGCAGGTTCCGGAGTCTCACAAAAATTGTGGCCCGCGCATAATTACCAGTAGTTGGACACCTAGCTACTAGTACTTCTTACCCGGGCAGCAAAAGCCTTACGACGAATACAACATGGAAGCTCCTAAGGTAGGACCAGTCCATACAAATGAATATATTTCACGCCGATTCCTGACGACATGCCAGCACTCCCGAGTTCACGACTTCTTTTCGGGTGTCTTCCATCCACATCATCGAGAAGCACCTCCACAGCCCAAAGACCACAAGCAGGTCAATGGTGCTATCGTTGAGAAGACACTGGCACGTTCTCCGCCAGTCAAAATTCATGAAGGCTTTGATGCTGGGCCTCCCGCTACCCAGGATGATAAGACTCCCTCACAGCATAGCACAGTCGAAACAACCCCCGAGCAGGAGGCCGAGGTCGTCCACTCACCTGATACCAAGGTCTCGAGCACCGCGTATGACGAAGCCTGGTCGCGGCTGAGCGAAGAAGACAGGGCAAATCTGTCCGACGAGACCACGGTCAGAGCATTGTTTGAGAGACTTGATGAGACTGACCAACAACATCAGTCAAACTCTTGGCTCAAGAGGGGCAAAATGGCTGCCGGTCTGCAGTACGTCAGCAGCATCTGCGGGTGGATTAACCTCGTCGCGTCTTGGATCCCAGAGCCAAGCTTGGGTGCTGTGTTAGGCCTCATCAAAGGCTTTGTTGCTGTAAGAAAGAACAAAATGTCCTCCCTCATCTCTAGTAGGGTGATCTGCACTTTGACTGATCATGCACAATCGGCATAGATGGCCGTAAGCATATGCGGCGCATACGATAGCCTCACAGGCCACATTCGAGAGTTGCTGGACCGCATCCCAGTCATTGAACGGTGCAACTCAGTGCTCTGGTCTAACAGTGCTTCCTTTGACATCCACAATGTACGTTAAGATTACCCTAAGATTCGAGTTATGGCACGTGACAGTTGACGATCGACAAGATTTTGGTGGCTTGCTATTCGACCTTACTCGCTTTCTACAGTAAGGTGATGGCCTTCTTGCAACAGGAGAGTCGCATCAAACGGATGTTGGAGACTTTTCATTCTGAGATTCCAGGGATCCTTGCAAATTTCAATGGCCACGCCGAAAAGCTGTCGAGGATGATGGAAGTCGAGACACTTGTGACAGTGAGGAAGATCTTGGATCAACAAACAGAGAGCTTCGGTGCGTAGACCATGATGAAAAATCCTTTCGGCAGTCCTGACGAAGAGGAAGCCCTCGTACCATCACTTTCACTGACTGATTCCGTCTCATAGTCGATGACAACTTGTACAATCGGCACCACATCGGCAACCGTGACGGCAGCGAAGACGATCGATCCGATGAAGCTTGCCGTTGGCTCATTTCTGAGGAGCAGTTCGAAGACTGGGCATACGGGCCTCACGGCGTCTTAACCATGTATGGAGTCGCTGGCTGCGGCAAGACATCGATGGCAGCCTTTGTTACGAAGTATCTACGCGAGGAAGCAAGAGCCCCCGTCCTGACATATTACTGCACGCAACAGGAGAACGATGAGCTACGACTCATCCTCTGCAGCCTGACCTATCAGCTACTGCAAGCCAAGCCGGGATTGAAGGAAAACTTCAAAGACTGGTTCGAGAAGCGACAAGCCGTGACTCTAGAGAAGCCATCCGACAAGCCAGCCGTCCTCTCAGAGTTCTTCTTCAGCTCGCTTCAAGCTTCCAGGGAGCAGGTGTTCGTCGTTCTCGATGGCCTTGATGAGTGCGAGGAGGATGTTCGAGGAGCGCTTCTCGTCATGTTCAGGAAGCTCGTGTCCAAGGGTGCTCTGGTCAAGGTATTCCTGTCTTCGCGACAGAGAGACGACATCCTCCAGACCTTGATCAGCCCTGAGGAAACGGAAGAAAAGTCCGTGACAGGGCCATCGCCCCAGATACCTCTTTTCCACATCGAGATGAACCCTACCGCGGAGCGCGACCGCGTCCTGGCCCGACACCTGGCTGCCAAGCCCCTCCGACACATCCAGGACAGCAAGGTGCGGGAGAACGCCATAGAGCAGCTGGCTAAGCGCGCCGGAGGTTCAGCCATCTGGCTGCACATGGCAATGGCGTCACTGGCCGGCGCCAAGAACGAGCACCGCATCGAGAAGTGTCTGCAGTTTCTCGAGACGGATCCAAAGCTCGTTGACTGGTACGAACAACTCTTCAAGGATGCCGAGGCGGCTACGTGCAACGACCGTGAGATCCTGGAGCGAGCCCTGGAAACCTTGGCCGTGGCCCGAAGGCCCCTGACCGTTGACGAGCTCGCCAGGGCAGCCAACATAGACGACCCCGAGAATGGAGACAGTCTGGCTCTTCTCAACGAGGCGGCGGAGGAGATTGATTTCCTGAGTCTCGTTCGCCCGTTTGTGGCTACACTGCACGAGACCACGGATGGGAAAGATGTGCGGGTCCGTCTTGTGCACCAGTCGCTGCTGGAACTGCTTCTCACTGCCCGGCCGTCCGAGTGGGAAGAGATGGCGAGAGCCAAGAAGAACAAGAAAGTAACCGACAAGGAAAAAGAACAGCGTCGCAGCGAGCTGAACAAGGATCTGATGCGGAGGTGTGTTAAATATCTCCTTTTGGATGACCTGGAGGATGCGCCGTCCGGCGAGGGTGACAGCACAGCGGCAGTCGCCAGTCCAGATATCAACCAAGAGGACGACGAGCCATGTGATGGTTATGGTACCAGTGACATGTTCGCGGAGCCCGTGACCCAGAAGAGGACTCGAACCCGGGCTCAGATCTCGCACTTACATTTCTACGAATACGCCGCGCTACATTGGTTCGTTCATTTTGCCGCATGTGGGAAAGAGGCCACAGAAGACCTCAAAGAAGATGCGATGAAACTTCTGGACGTTAACGCCAGCGGATGCAAAGATTGGGTAGCCTTCGTCCGGACCGAAACGGAGGCCCAAGGAGAGAGGTTCCCAAATTCTTCTCAACCTGCCACCTTAGCAGCCTACTTCGGCCTGATCGAAACCCTCGCTGGCATCGTCACTAACAACAGCACCATATCTCAGCCTACAAAAGACGAGGCACTCTTCTGGGCGTCCCGCGGAGGCTACGAGGACATTGTCAAGCTTCTCCTCCGAAACGGCGCCGATCCAAATCCCCATATCGTCGACGAGCACACCGCCCTGACAGTCGCGGCACATCGTGGGCATCAGGGTTGCGTCCAAGCCTTGTTGGCTGATAAGCGGACAGACATCAATGCGAAGGGCACAAGGAGCCGCACAGCGCTCTCGTTCGCCGCCGCCAACGGCCACGAGGAGATATGCATGGCTCTCATGCAGCGAGAGGACTACAGGCTCGACGACGCAGACTGGAAGGGGATGACTCCGCTCTTCTATGCGGCCGGCTCTGAACATGTGGCTATCGTCAAGGCCCTTGTCGCACTTCCCCGTGTCAATGTCAACCATCGGGAAAATTCCGGGCGAACGACCCTGAGCCGCGCAGCTGAGGGGGGTTCCGTCGCACCTCTCAAGCAGCTTCTCGAAACAGAGGGCATCGATGTCAACCTAGCTGACAATGATGGCTCGACGCCGCTCATGTGGGCTGCTACTATGGGAAACGCAGCTGGTGCTAATCTGTTGCTGGAGCACCCGTACATCGATAAAGCCGCGGTGAACTCGAAAGACAGGAAGAACGCTATCCATTTCGCATGTCAGTCGGGCATACAAGAGATGCTACAATGTCTTTTGAAGCACGGCTGCCCCGGGATCGACGATCCAGACGTTGACGGCTGGACACCGATGATGTGGGCCATCGAGAAAAGCCCGGAGTGCGTCTCGACTTTGATTGCGACAGGCCAAGTCGACCTCCAGCACCGTGATAAAGAGGGCAGGAGTGTTCTGTCCCAGGCGGTTCAGTGGGGGCCCTCTGTCGAAGTCATCAGGATCCTTCTGCATCATGGCGCCGATCCGGAGGCGGCGGATGGGGATGGGCAGACGCCGCTGGACGTGGCGATGAAGAGAGGAGCCCCTGTTGGCTTCGCGATGGCGGACGAGCTCTCGTCCTGGATCAACAGGAAGCGAGGTGATCATGGTCAGTCTGTCCGTGATACTGAGTAGCTAGCATTGATCAATTACGACACCTTGAGTATGGGGAAAATAATACGTGAAGGTGGTGTGAGACCGTGTCGCAGCGTGCTTTGATCGACGTGTTATTCACCCCGGGGCAACAACCCTCAATCGTTCTGGCCTTACAGATGCGGGAAGGTGATTGACACTCTCGCACGTGAGACTGGCAAGTTGGACGCCCAGGGTCCTCTGCTCCCACCGCGTAAGACGTGCAGGTGTACCCATCAAAATGGACATGTTGGTGACCAATTCGGGCTTAGGCTCGACCACTGCAGGCTAGAATCCATACAGTGAACACACTGCACGTTGGTTCCATCAAGCGAGACTCTAAAATTTGTCCTTTTGCGATAAGTAGATACTTGATTAAATACCCGGGGATGCCGCCGCCGCCCCTCTGTTCATCAACGGAGCTCCTCTGCCTGCAACAAATCGCGTGATCCATGACAGCCCGATTGGTATCGCAGCATCGTCAGCATCAACTCGGAACTCTCCACGATACAAATTTCTGCCATGTCTGAACGGCGTGTTAAACGAATGGTGCCCGAGGAGACTGAAAATGGTCCCGTCGCACGGGCGTAAGTCATCTGGCATCTTGTCCTACCTGAGAGCACATGTCATCCAGATCCAACCAGTCTCGCTGACACTAGGCATGCATGCAGTCTTGAAGGCGCCATCACAACGCGTCCTCTGACTGGGAAGGACATCCCACCGGGTCGCGATCACATGTATGAATGCGTGTTTCAACTAGATCACCCTGTCTTCGAGCGGCTGAAGGGCCAGAAGATGCCTCTCCATTTCCATTCCTCTCAGCACGAATACATGCAGGTACTCGAGGGTCGACTGCTTTACGAAGTCGAAGGCAAGGAGATGGTGTTGAAACCGGAGGATGGCGAGGTCTGCATCAAGCCATGGACTCACCACCGGATTCTGCCGACGCCTCCTACGGATGGCCCTTCGGGAAGACGCACTGTGTTCAAGCTCTCGAGCTCCGATTCGGATCAGGTTTTCAAGCTTGACGACATCTTTTACGAGAACTGGTACTCGTATCAGGAGGAATTCATTGTTCACGGCGGAAGCATCAGTCTTCTCCAAATCCTAGTCGTGAGTTTGATGGGTTACCTACCCAGATGTCTTTTCAAGTTGTTCACAAGTCTAATATCGACTGTTTGTCACTGGTAGATGTATGACGCTGGTGGCTCGTATCTGTCGCTACCTAGGTGGATACCATTTGGGAAAGCAATATCCTACTACATCCTGGGCATCGGTATGGGTAGATATCTGGCGGCTGCATTGGGGTATCAGCCATATTATCGGGAGTGGACAACCAAATGGGATGAAGCCTGTAGGAAGATGGAGACCACTTTGTTCCAGCGGCGGTTTGCGAGGAAATAGTAATTCGTGGCGCCTTTCTCGGGTCGCCACGAGAGAAGCCATATCAAAAATGGTAACCAATATCAATCCATCTCTGTTTGATTGTCCTGAGTGTCATTTATGACCACCTGGGCATACCGTGCCCAGGTAGCTGCCCAGTAGGCGGAGTAGCCAAAAACAAAAACATACAGCACCGGGTATTCGCTGGTCGTCACCGACCCAACTACTAATCCAGCGATTACAGACTTGACTAAGGGAGAGCGGACGGGATCCCGTATTTTCCTGTATCTATGGCCGTATGTGCTTGGTGGAGTGGTGTGGTGGATTATATGTGGAACGGGTTTGACTCGGTGAGCCGGGTTGACACATCATATCCATACTGCACTGTCGCATTTGGTAAAGCTGGTATGTCTTATTAGATATCATGGTATCTAATGAATCACACTCTGAAAATTCAATTGAATCCTATAGAAATCATGTGGCAAATCGTGCTGGCATGCTTTCCTGGGAGTCCAACTCTGGAGGAGCGCTTGATAAGAGATCGGATATTGGCGCACCCATTTCTGGCTGTCACACATCTTGTGTTTACTAAGCAGCTATCCAGATAATAGGATCACAGCATTTCAAAGTCTTCATGACTTTAAGGGATGAATTTTCATCATAGTGTTTAGGGAACCAGAAGGAAGGCCCCAGGGTCGTGTCATACCTACTGACCCTACGTGTAGCACTCTACTACCGCTCCGGGGTTCACCTTTCTGCCCTATCGGCCCTTTTAGAGAGAAGAAGTCGCCTTTAACTGATATAGGCTATATGCTTAGTCATTAAGGGTCTTTGATTGCCAAAAATGGGTGCGCGCATATACAGTCTCCTTGATAAAGCTGCTGCCTGCTCCGTAAGTGGAAACCACGTGCATAAATGTCACGTTCTTTATCTTCCACTTTCATAAACCGAAAGTTCGTATTGCGGTGCTATTCACGTACTGCGGGTCCCTCACCCACACTGGCTAGCAAAATAGCACAGCTCGCACAACAGTAGATGGCGTCGTACGGGGCAATACGAGGAAGTCTAGCCGGCATTATGCGGAAATATATTTTGAGAAACAGGACTTGAGTTGATAAGACCTCCTGTTGACGAGTCCTTTGACGAGTCTTTCGTCAATGATTAGCCCCAATCATACCTAGGCAACTATCTTCTTTAGAGGCGGCCGCTTTGGCGCTAGGCTTTGGCCAATGCCAGTGAGGTGCGCCACACGATGTACGTCAGTAGATGTAGTGCAACCCATCCAGAGATCTGGGTCATCGAAGATCCGCGATGGTTTCACGAGAAACGGCCGCTGAGGGGTATATAGATTATGTTCGGTACTGGAACACCCCAACATTTCCTACTCCCGCCTCGTCCTCGTCCTGGTGGGCTACCAGTATGAAAAATGCTGACATGGCGGGCCTGTGAACAATATACACCCGATATTCGAGTATCGGAAGGATTTTGCCCTCACCACCTGAACTTATCACTTGTAGTAGGGTGCAATTGAAAACAAAATTTGAAACATCATGATCGGAACCCCTGTAGTGGCGTGGCTAGCACTCGAGGGCAGCTGCATTTTGTCTCACGGAACCAGCTGCGTTTACGATCTGTGCTTGAGATTATGTTTAAAGAATCTGTCTTTCAAGGTACTCCGTACACAGCCATTCATCGTATCCAGGTACTTAGGCAACACTTTAGTCTCTTTGCCGGACCAAGAGAAGCGTATCTCTGGTGCTACTTCGGGCACTTTCCATGTCTGGCGATCCCGAGGTCCGAGTCGTTGGTGGCAACATTGAATTGCTGCAGCCATACAGAAGACACGGTTAATCCATCCAGTGCAATCTGTGATGCATCACCCCTCGTTACTCTTGCACCTGGGCAGTCTAGGAGCCGGTTATTCTTCCTCGGATTGTCTAGACCCCGGAAAAAGTGGCGCCATCACCAAGAAACCCCATCGCGCTATGCTGGTCCAAGTTGTGCCTACCTAGGTACCCCAGCTGCTCTACTAGCCGATAGGGACGTAGTAGTCTTGGCCCCGGATGGACCCCTGGATTATTCACCTGGGTCCCCGCGCTGGTGTTTCGCAAAGCCCAAATGATTCCATGCGTGTTGACGGTGGGCTACCCTGGGTTGATCTCGGCGTATGATCGTCGAGGCCCACCTCCGAGCTCAGGGACTTCTCAGGGTCCTTTAAGTCGCCAATGTGCCATCTTCAATTTCATCGTCACTTCTCTCACGCAACCAAATACTCTCGTGATCCAAGACCCAGACATTCAAGTTCTTTTCCTCAGGCTCGTACAATTTGAAAATGGCGGAATATAAGCTGAATGACTTCGAGGTATGTCGGATTTTCGCGTGCTGTACAGCTCTTGTTCTTGTTTCTAACTCGTGCGCCAGACGTTTCGCAATCTCATAGCCGGTGAGCTCAGCGGAACGGGTAAGACTATTCGTGCAGTCAACCCCAGCAACGAAGAGGAGCTTGCCGAGGTGCCAGTCTCGACGCAAGAAGACGTTGACCGTGCTGTCGAGAGTGCGAAGGCGGCATTCCCATCATGGAGCAGCCTCTCTCAGGATGAGCGGGCGGCATACCTGGCCAAGTTTGCAGATGCCGTTGACGCAAACGCACAAGAACTATCGGCACTGCTAGGAAAGGAGACCGGCAAGCCACGACAGGCAGCGGGCATGGAGTTGTTCATCCTCACCGCGCAGCTGCGCGAGACCATCAAGCTCCGCTTGACTGAGGAGTTGATCGAGGATTCGGACGAGGTTGGTCTTCCCAAGTCACCCATGTTCTGCATCTGCCGTTCCATTCCTGTATTTTCTTCTTCTTCCGTGAGCTTCGCTAATGCATCGGGACCTAAAGAAAAGCGTCGTGATTCGTCACGTTCCCATTGGCGTTGGTGTCGGTATCGTCCCGTGGAACTTTCCCATGCTGCTCGGAGTTGTCAAGCTCGTATCCTCGCTCCTCGTCGGCAACGTCTTCATCTGGAAGCCTTCGCCATTCAGTCCCTATACTGCACTAAAGCTGGGAGAGCTTGGCGCCAAAATCTTCCCCAAGGGCGTGTTCAGCGTTCTCAGTGGCGACGAAAGTCTTGGACCAATGTTCACGTCGCACCCGGATGTGGGCAAGATCAGTTTCACCGGATCTGTCGCCACTGGCAAAAAGGTGATGGCAGCCTGTGCTCCCACCTTGAAGCGTGTGACCCTCGAGCTGGGAGGCAACGACGCGGCCATTATCTGCCCTGATGTCGATATCGCAGCTATTGTGCCCAAGGTATGGAAAGTCCCTGACGCCGTGCCCGTGTTGGATCCACGCTGACAACTGGTGGTTGCTGAACAGGTTGCCACTGTGGCTCTCATGAACACCGGCCAGGTTTGCCTGTGCGTCAAGCGTGTATACGTGCACGAGGACATCTACGACGAGTTCCTCAAGGCTTTCGTGGAATTTGTCAAAACCCTGAAGAGAGGTGGCCCCGAAGATGCCGAGGCTTTCATCGGATCAACCCAGAACGGCATGCAGTATGCCAAGCTGCAGGACCTGTACCGCCACATCTCCAAAGAGGGGTGGAAGGTCGTCCTCGGTGGCGAGCCCTCGGAATCTGACAAGGGCAAGGGCTTTTACATGCCGACCACTGTGATAGACAACCCTCCCGAAGACTCAAAGCTTGTGACTGAGGAGCAGTTTGGGCCTATTGTCCCGCTCTTGAAGTGGGCGGATGAGGAGGATGTCCTGCGCCGTGCTAATGTGTCCTTGATGGGCCTTGGGGGCTCTGTCTGGAGCAAGGACCTGAAACGAGCTGAGCGCATGACGCGGCGTCTGGAGGCTGGTACCGTCTGGGTCAACACTCATTTCGAGGTTGGCCCGCACGCTTCGTTTGGAGGTCACAAGGAGAGCGGTATTGGTGTCGAATCTGGGATCGGCGGCTTGAAGGGATGGTGCAATCCCCAGACGGTCTGGGTGAAGAAGAATTAGTGGCCCAGTAGAGTGCTGAGATGTTCCACCGGGCGTCTATACCCTGAACGATTAATGAAAACACAGCCGTAATTATTAAGCGCCAAAGGTCTGTACCACTTGAAATGAAACCGGTGACAATGAAGACTGCACAATATTTCGCGCGCCCGTTCTCTTATCCACTTCAAGCCGCGGCTCTGCCCAGTTTCACTGTCGTCCAAATCCTGGGAAGTTAAATCCAGGAACATTAATATCGAAGAGATTCGAGAAGTCGAATCCAGCCAAAAGCTGGGGGTCAAATGCCGAGGCCTCGTTGAGCACCGAGTATGAAGATGATTCAGTACCAGGTGGAATTTGCTCTTGGAAGAAGTCCCCGCCGGTTGCAATGTCTTCTACTCGTCATGAAACGTCTAATCAGTGCCTTGCTCACAGACGTCTTCCCAATGACATTGCCCAATCAACACCGAGTATGCAGCGAAGTACGTACCTCTGTTAGGAAGTTCGACGCCTTGCGACATTTGTACTGGAGCTTGGTTCCCGGGCTCTTCTGCTGCTGCATCTGGTAGCATTGGTCTTGACGCCTCATCACGCACAAACTGATTGGCGATGTGAGCAAAGCCAGAGAAGAGACTACAAGGCACTGAGCCTCCTGTTGCATATTCAAAGCGGCTGAAATATCCCGCAATGGTGTCCAGCAGAGCGAGGTCGGTTTCCGTGTCTGGGCGAGAAGGTCTCTGGATCACCATGTCGAAGAGAACGAACATTGCCGAAAGTGGAACAGAAGCTAATATCCTGTTCTGAAATGAGCACTCCCGTTCTAGGCCTCAAAAGGTCCGGCGCAAATACTCCTCGTGCACTTACCATAGTGGCGTATATGGACGTATATCGATGCATCTGGTTAGTTGAGCAACCGCCCTTGCGCTTTCCATCAAATCGTTTTCTGCTGCTCTCACTTTTGCATCATCTGCCTCGCTCTTCGAGGCCTTTCTGCTCAAATATAGGGCCAGCCTACCTAGAGCGATTCCTAGATTATGATAAGCAAAGTGCAGCCTCAGGCAACCCTCACTCATCCGGGTCCCAGTGGTAAGTGAGCCTGGCCTGATTTCATCTGGGATCGAGCACCTCCAGGCCTCTAGATCTGACTTCATGGCGTCAATGTGTATTGCATATTGGTCGACGGAATTCAAATTCGCGGTCACAGAAAAAAGCCTCTCGTAAGCCTTGGAAAATAATCGCCCTAGTCGTAGGGCAGAAACGAACATGTCGAAATCAGTTTTGAGGTGTTCTTCCCCCGTTGGGATGATAGGACAGCTAACGTCGTGATCGGCGATTGACTAATTCCCTATGTTGTTGGTATACGTCGATGACAGTGTGCCTTGCAGCCAATGAGCAGGGGTAGTTTTATTGGGACGACCTACAGAAGAACTTCCGTGCATGAACGTGATACCTTTTTCGAGGAAATATATCACCCAAAATGTCCTGTAGCAAGTCGCTTCGTCCTCTTTAGCGTTTACCATAGGACGGTGATAGTCCAATGACTGAGCCATTCTTGCAGCTTCCATTGTCAGAAAGTCGCCTATTCCTAACGACGCTGCGTTGGCGCCGAATATTGCCTGCGAAATGAACAGGTGTTAATGGTATCTTTTCCGTTCAGTAGTTTTCAATCGCCACTTGCCATCGCTGTGAGTGCCTACAAGACGGGTGAATGATTAGCTAGGGGAGTATTTGGCTGATTCCAGAGTTTTCCACAAACCTGTAGGTTGAGTAGAGCCGCAGGTGGGAATACGATATCCTGTACCAGGCTTAGGGCGACTCTGAAGTAACTCCAAGCCTCACCTTGGCCCAATGCAAAGGAGCTGTCTTCCCCGACATGCTGACAACCGAGTGCGAGCACGCTGTGATAAAGTGCCCGAAATGCCGGTCTCGAGTCCCTCGTTTCGACGCTCAGGAAGCGGGATTCGAAAGTTCCCCTATCCAGGAAAGGATACAGAGGGTGGACATGCTCAAAGTAAGATTCAACATAAGACCTTAATTTGGCCTCCGAAAATGCGTCCCCGGGAGGGGTTGGTCCTGTTTCCCCGACCACTGGTGTCGCACCCTCTGATGCGCCGTTGATTCTATCATTGACAACGTTAGATATGCTTCTGATAAGATCAAGCAATTTGTTGTGGCCTAAGCGCTGGGAGATGCGGCAGATGTGGCCCTCGGAGAAATAGGCCAAGTTTGAGCTGGTCACTGAACGGCGGTCAGCCACTGTACCTCCACAAGTGCTCCGGGGCTCCTTTGGCTCCCTCGTTGAAGAGCCCGCTCAGATGTCACGTGCCAGTGAGTGCTTACAGTGATACCCATGAGTCTTGGAGACACTCGTCAGCACGTATTCAATCCTACCGATGAGATAGTCACCCACCTTGAACACACTCTGAGCATCATTGACGGGATGGACGCCGGCGAGTGATGGATTCTGCAAGATCTGGTCGATAAAAAACTCAGACGACGAGGTCGGTTTCGTGTGATCGTCTTTTGTTGAAGTCAGTGAATAATAATGCATTTGAAAGGCGACGCTGCTTGCGATAGCATTGTTCCTTACTTGGGTGGACGGCCTCGACCACTGATGAACCAGTCGAAGCTCCTGGCGTGAGTTGCTGGGGTTGTCTGATTGCCCGCCTTGTTTTGGAGAAATGGCATGGAGCTTTTCGTTTCTGAAGAAACTGTCAGCCTCCAAGACATCAAGATCATCGCCCCTTACGGTGGGGTAGGATGGGGCAGAGACTCGTCAACATACTATGCAGCTTGCGCAGGATGATGATCCGGCCACGACTGGTTTCGTCAGCCCCTGAAGTCTGTTCACATGTCGTTGGCGGGCCGTCGGGTGCTTACCTATGCACCGAACTTTCCTCTCCTTGCACAGGTTGCAGGTTCTTGACAATCTCGGCGAAAGCCCGGGGAGCCCTTGATCGGTCATCGTGATTCGCGCACTACTTGTCTGCCAGTTAGTTGTGTCGTTGGGAGGGGACAGCTCAGCTTTGAAACCGAGAACCGAGGGCAAAAATTAGCGTCGGCCGAAGCGGCGGGAAGAACGGGAAGCTAATTCATGGTCGGATTTCGGATGGTGGAGCAGTAGGGTTTCAGCGAGTCAACGTTGATGCACGCAGGGGTCCCTGACTAGCCAACTGAATTAAGCACCGCTCCACGCGCCGACGCCCAGAGTTAGGGGGTAGCATTCTGAGTTGTTTACATCACGGCCGGAGACTGGCACGCTATCCGTTCCGGCCATAGTGGGCCTACCGGTGAGGATGTATGGGGACGGACGGGGACTTAGAAGGATACCGAAAGAGAAGTGTGAGTATCCCCGTGGCCGAGGACCGAATGTAGACGGCGTCATTTATTCCCAGTTTTGAAGCCCTCAGATATTTAAGATCAAGAACATGTCGATGTATCGTTGAGAGTTGAACATCATCCATCACAACAACATCAATCCACTCTCTGCTTTTGAGATAATACAATTCATCCGCCATCCATAACTTTAACCTTAATAACCTCATTCAAACCCTGAAGTCTAAGTTCTATCAACATGTCGACAGCTACAGTCAATGTGACTCTTGGTGAAGCCCTGCCGGAGGCACAGCTTCATCTTCAGTCTGGTTCTGGACTTACAAACGCTCTCGTCGCGCTTGTCCCTCTCGCTGCCTTGCTTTACCTCATACGACAATGGGCTCTCCCGAAACCCATCCCCGGCATTCCCTACAAGCCAGATTCTGTCAAATCTATGCTAGGTGACTTCCAGGCCATCGGCAAATATCTGGCGTCAGCGAACGTCACCTATTTTGATTGGATCGAGAAGCAAGCCAAAGACCTCAACTCTCCGATTATCCAAGTCTTCCCGAGGCCTTTCGGCAAGCCCACTGTGGTGGTCAGCGACTTTAATGAGGCGCAGGACATTCTCATGCGACGAGGCAAGGAGTTTGATAGGTCATACGTCAGCGCCGAGATCTTCACGGGCATCATCCCGGACCACCACATTGTGCATAAGACAGACTCCGCCTGGAAGAGCCAGAGACGACTGTTACAGGACTTGATGAGCCCAGGCTTCCTCGAAGGCGTAGCCGCGCCGGTCCTCTACCAGACAGTATCCGATTTTGTGCGCATGTGGGAGCTGAAAGCCCAGGCAGCACAGCGCAGACCTTTCAAGGCTTCGGAGGATATTTACTACACGGCACTCGACTCCGTCCATGGATTCGCTTTTGGTCAAGATTTTAAGCACAATGCCAACCAGCCCACGCTGGAGTACCTCGAGCGCACAGTGTCAGAAGCTACCAATGCGCCAGACAATGGCGGCAGTATCGACGAGCCCATCGACTTCCCTCGACAGGAGATGGACGTAGTCATCAAGTCATTCCTGAGGATAATTGACATGTTCGCTGAAGTCCAGGGCAGCCCTATTGCAAAGCTCAAGTGGCCCATCCTGAACAGATTGCCATCGTTTGTTAAGGCAAAGGAGATCAGACAGGAAACCATTCGCAAGGAAATTCAAGGTGCATTGGAAAGGACCGAGACACACCCGGATCCCAAGACAGTGCGCTCGGCTGTGGATCACATGGTGCGCAGGGAACTCATCCTGGCAGAAAAGGAGGGCCGTCCCGCAAACTGTTTCTCACCAGCAATATTTGACGAGGTGAGTTAACCTTAAGTCATTATGCTTATCCAGACGCTAATCTCTATACTATTCACAGATCTTCGGATTCGTCGTTGCCGGCCATGACACCACCTCTACAACGATATCTTGGGGTGTCAAGTTCTTGGCGGACAACCCAAGGGCTCAGGATCGCCTCCGTGCCGCCATGCAGGAAGGATTTTCGGCTGCCAAGGAAGAAGGGCGTCCCCCCACGGTGCACGAGATCATCTCAACCAACATCCCTTACCTCGATGCCTCTCAAGAGGAGATACTCCGCTGCGCGGGCACGAGCCAAACTACTGATAGGGAAGCTATGATGGACACTGAGATTCTCGGCCACAAGATCCCCAAGGGAACCATCGTCATCATGCCCATAGATGGCGCTAGCGTCAAGACGCCTGCCTTCAACATTGAAGAGAGCAGCCGACACAGGAGCAGCCAGGAAGCCATCAAGTCGGGCAGGGCGCGACGTTACTGGGATGCCGCGGACGTCAGCGAATTCAAGCCTGAGCGATGGCTGTCTGAGAATGGCGAGTTCGACGCTACCTCTGGACCTGCCATGGCCTTTTCTCTGGGCACACGAAGCTGCTTTGGAAAGAGGCTTGCGAACATCCAGCTGCGCATGCTGCTGACTCTCATCGTGTGGAACTTTGAGCTTCAGAAGTGCCCCGAGAAATTGTCTGGCTACGGACACAAGATGGGGCTCACCACCGAGCCTATGGACTGCTATGTGAGGCTGAGGAAGATTGAGCTGTAGAGGCTGGGACAGAAGATGTATGATACTTGCATTAAGACAGGGCGTTTGCTGGGGGATTCTTTTCTTTTGTGGTTTCGTTTCTACCATACACACGGTTTCTTTTGTCTGCATCAGAGAAGGGGCGTTTAGACATTTGCATAGAGTCTTCTCCTTGTATCACAGATTGAACCAAAAGTTTCACATAGACTATTTACTACCTTGAGGTTTTATCCAGACGACTCAGTTAAGATCCATTTTCACCGAGCCTGAACTCCAGATGTCTACAGCCAGGTTTGCTTCCGTTGATCACACTCGACACCTGGCCGAGCCCTAGGTACTGTGGAACCCTAAGGGCCAACATTCTTCAACTGTGTCAGGCCCATTTAAGGTTCAAAATATTGATGGGGCCAAGACGCGAACCTTGGCCCTGCCAGTGGAAGAAAGGCCCCATATTAGGGGATAAGCATTAGGACCACTTGCACTCATATTGTCCAGCCAAAACCAGGTGTGAGTGCGGCTGTTTACAGGCTACGGGCCGACTCATTAACTTTACCCCAGCCGCCCCATACGTCACTAGATTTGCCTCAAGTGCTTTCAGTCGACATTTCGCCGCGAGCGATGAGCGCACTATTACTATTAATCATGACTGCCCAGACAATCGAGGCTTCCATGGACCCTGTTGATCAATGGCCCGGTCATCACTACCTAGTTAGGTACCATCGCGGGCTTCGCTCAAACACTGGTGGCAACACCGCATTGCCTGAGAGCCACGCATGATCGCCATGTATAGTGCAGTCGTCGTAAAAATACCTAGGTATGGCGCTGACGGCGGTTATAGACGTTATTCAAGGAGACGACCACTTCAAAAACCAAGAAAGTTACTCCGTCAGGCAAGCCTCAAGCCGGTTAGTCCGGTGGTATAGTCGATAGGCTGGGTAATATGAAATTCTATTTGTGTGTAGCAGTCTATTATCATAACAAGGAATCGTGGCCTTGGCTACAAATAGCACGGGAGGTTTCCCACACGTCTCAAACGTCCCTGTCAGCCAGGCTTTGGTAGATTGCATGTTCAGGTGCCAAGACCGCATTCACAAGGCTCTTATCTCAGCCGGTTTGTGAACATCACCTCAGATGGTTCCATCTCCCCTTGTCTGAACCGGCATACTGATCGAAATATAGGTGATATTATGCAGCTTGGCACTGAAGGTCAAAAGTCCAAGAGATGCTCGGAGCGCAATTGTGCAGCGACACGTGTGCACAGGCTTTGGTCAAGCTTTCGGGATCCCTGATGCCCACAAGGGTAACATCAGTTGGTGTCGATTCGCGGGCCATTAGCTGCGTGTGTAGCCCTATTTTACACCTGTGGGATGTCTCACATCCCTGCTCCGGTGCCGAACGCCCGAGCAGAAGTAGCCGCGCATAGTGCCAAGCATCATGGGCTAGGCCCAGAATCGTCGGAACCGGCCAAGATCTGAACTAAATGCACAATATTAGCACCTGCCTCAGACTTTAATCTTCGGTTGGGCAGATGGCTGAAGCTAAGTGCGGCCCAGCCTGGGTAGTCGTCAGCAATACATCGTCGACATTCTTGGTAGGAGGCGAATTCGCATCATTTGGTGTTGTGACCCAACTTGGCCGGCTGGCCAAAAGTGTGATGCACACATGCTTTTTTTTTTGCCTCCCCAGCACCGATTGAGCCTACGCGCGGAGCCCTCTGTTTTGAGTCATTCAGAACAATGTCCGAAACCCAGCGCGCTTCGCCGTGGCCATATTGAGTGAGCTATTTAGACCTGGCTCTGCACAAGTAGGTACGTTGTAGTATGTGCAGTCATCTATTAGCCAGCTCAGTGCTCCATGCCTCTCTAATTCCATCGTCATGTTTCTTCCTAGTGGCTCCCGTTCGTCTGGCGGAAACCTGGCCCGGCTGTTGTCTCTTTACTTTACTGCTTCTACGCTGGCACAAAGCGTGTCACTGCCCTCTAACGTCGCTGTCGACCTGGTCTTCCCTCGCAACGACACCTACAACCCGGCTGACCGATTCCCCGTCGTTTTTGCCCTCCAAGGCGCCAGTGCTGCGTGGACTTTTGGGTTCTTCTTTGAATGGCGGATCCGACGAGCCCAAGGTTGTGAGGGCGAATGCGGAATTGTTGATACCGGGCGGTTATCGGTCGATCAGGGCGAATTTGGCTCAGTGTCGTTTGGTTCGGAGGACTACTATCTCTATACGGACGAGTCGGCTTCGTTGAGTGCGAACTGGGGGTTGGGTGTTGCAGCTGGTGACTTCGAAGGAGCGTACAGCCTGGAATGGGACTTCGGCTTCCTCAGGAATTGTTCGGATGAAGGCGGGGCTTTGCAGTCAGAAGGGGGACGGACCGACTTTTCCGGAAGCAACACCTTCAGTGTGATACCTGGGGCGAGTCCGGATATCCGGACACAACTAAAGGAATGTCCAATATCTGGAGGGGCGATAGGCATCCAGGCAGACTTGAATGGCTGCCCGAGCCTTGGCGCAACAGCAGTCGAGTCCGACCCTTGCGTCGTCGAAGTCCCGGACGATATCGTTTCGAATGTGGTCGCTCAGATGGCCGCGAGCGGATCCCCAGAACAACCTGGCGCACCCCCGATACCTGGCGTTCCACTGCCAGGCGGACCACCTGGGGTTACCACAATCATCGGCTACCCGAGCGATGATCCAGAGACCCAGACAACGCCTGAACGAAGCCCTCCTACGCCTCTCTCTTCGGATCTCGATGCGTCTCGCGCGTCGGATCTTACCTCACCGACTCGAGTCGTCCCGACCACCGCCTCCAGCGTGATTTCTCCAACCGGGGGTCCACCATCTGCTTCAGGGAGCGGTCAGGCTAGCGGTAGGGCGAGTGCGAGTCCGACAACTGTCGTGGTAAGCGAATCATCAAACGCCAAGGAGAGCATTTGGCGGGTCCCTGTAGTCGCTCTGCTATCAAGCATGGCTGTATGTTTGCTGTAGGTTGTGTTCAGGATCTGGGGCTTGTCTGCAACTAACTGATGAGGTCCTTTCCGGTGTTCAACTTTGGGTTCAGGATGTATTTATCCACTGAGACTGCACATGGTACACTAACTATTAATAATCAAATACCCTCGAGATTCTCCTTGATACTTTGTTCGAGGGTCTTGTACCCATCCTGGCCATACCACTCCCTCAGCAGTTTCGCGCCCAATTCGTTGGGCACCTTGGTGAGATCTCGCAGCTCATTGGGGTCAGTCTTCATCTTGGACGCGTCGACATCCGGCCTGACCTTCTTGATGGTCTCGATACATTCACTGATGTTGAAGGGATACGAAAATGCGAAGATACGCTCATTCTTGAGAGACTCATCTAGCACCGCGGCACAGAGGTGCAGCCTTGCGTCGTCGACTACATCGACAAAGTATTCTAGGGTGACTGTTAGTTGGACCTCCGGCCCACTTCAATTCGAGGGAGACTCACGTGGGGCCGGGGGCCACGACAAGGTCCCCTCCTTGAACAGCTCGATTGGCATTGCCCCCGTAGCACCAGCAGAGCCCAGGACACGTCCGAAGTTGGTGTCTGGAAGCACGGCATTGGCGACAAAGGATGGTTTCTCCTTCTTCACAAAGTCCCAGAGCGCCCTTTCACCTTGGGTCTTACTGGCCGCATACACAACGTAAGAGTAGGCGCTTGGCCCGACGGCAGTGCCCTTGGTCTTGGCCGCCTCCACGGCCTCGTCGTCCCACGTTTCCGTGGTTACGACGATACCCTCGACGCCTGGCTTTGGCAGTAACGCCGCGGTAGCCGAGCTTGTCAGCGTGAAGCGCTTGACGCTGGGCTCCTTGGCTGCGGCCCGCAGGAAGTGCTCGGTGCCGGCGACGACGGTGCTGATGACAAAGTCGGCATCTTCGCTGAAGGTCGTGTCCGAGGCGGCGTGGATGATGCTGTCGACCCCCTTGACTGCGGCGTCGATCTCATCCGACGGGTGGGAGTAGTCCGAGACCACGGCTGTGCTGTAGTTTGGGTGGCCGTCATGCTGTGCGACCGTGGCCTTGCATTTCTCGCTCGTGCGGGCTGTCCCGCGCACGCGGTAGCCGAGACTCAGTGCCTCCCGAACAATGTTGGAGCCGATGTAGCCGGATGCCCCGGTGACGAGGATGAGGGTGGAGGACGGGGCGAGAGCGGGCTCCCGGAGCAGCTTAATTTGCGACGCCATTGAATGGTTATTTGGAAAACATTGAAGTCAGGCGGCTGTGGCTTTATCAATGCCAATATTGCACAGAACGAACGCGGAATTCTATTTCCAGCAGGCTACATTTGTAATATCACGGCGGAGTGAAGCAAGATAAGAGTCTACCCTGTCTACTTAAGTACCCAGTCAAGCTCATGACGCAGCGGAGCCCAGAAGGTCCGGGACCCTTGGACGCGATGCCACCAGACCCAGCGTAGTGCCATCAACGATGGGGATTATACGCTCCTCGCCATCGCTAAGACAAGCGCTTGAAGCGCTCCAGAGGGTGATATTTGGCTGGTCTTATTGGTAAGCTCCAACAAATTTGGTGCGGCACTGGTAAGGCCAATCAACCAATGCAATCCCTGAATCTCGAGCCAACCTGCATGATCTGGGGCCAGGGGTCCACTCGCCAGGTGGCATCCTTCTAACGCGGAGCGCTGCCAAATATGAATGACGAGTTGGACTTACTAATAGGTCAGTTAATGCCATGGCTCGCTACAGACAGCTGTCCAAGGCAAGCTATGCCTGGAATCATCCCGGTTACCATGGCGATAAGTAATTTAGGACTCACATCAATGCGTCGAACCCGGGACGGGCATGTTCTTATGGGAAGTCATGAGTTTCAAGGTGTGAACAAGAAGAGGGGGAAATGATGTAAAACATTGCACTTATTTTACGTCCAGATGTAAGCACTGGCCTTCCCGTAGGGCCGGTACAGGCTGGGTTTGAATCTGACCCCGGGTCAGGGGACAGTCGTTTAAGAACAAGCTACCGTAGTCTCGCCGCCGAAGCACTTGCTCGGGTGGGACTAGGGACCTCGGGACTCTCGCACATTGCGGGATTACATTCCCGGGAAACCCTCAATGTCTTCATAAATCCTACAGCCTCTGCAATTAATCATATGAAGGCTTGAGCTGGTGAGAGTTGCCGATGACGTATATCGTGAACACGTCCACGACGATATTTCGAGACGGTGAACCTGACCATTGGGAGACTTCAACGGGCATCAATCCATACCAAGACAGAACTAGTTGTATTTGAAAACATGGAGATGATTTGTGCAATCGATTTGTAGAAGATTAACACAAGAATGGTATAATTTGACCGATAAGAGCAATATTGCCAGTTCTGGGCCAGAGTCTCCCCATTTGTATCCTTGCTGTCGACCTACAGACTCGCATTTGGAGCCATCATGGTACCCCAAACGTAATTCTCAGTTATTGCATGGTCTCGACGAAACCAATTAGACTTTGAAAACGACAAAACTCAAGTTGGGCAGTGAAAGGATGAATGCTCCCCCAGTGCTGTGGTGAAGCGGACCCAAGTCGCTGTCAGTTGTAGACAGCGAGCGGTGTTTCTATTCAAATGCTGCCAGATTGGAGCTGAGAAGTCTCCAGGTATGATAATTGATAGAGGGTGTTATTATTTGCAGGTCAGCATCGAAGCCCGGCAAGGTCGGCGTCCACTGTTTGTCGCGTATGTGTGCCAGGATAGGGGCGCCGGTTCCCAATTCCCCGATGACTCTGTCGGAAGTTCGCTCTACATGTCATTCTCAAATTTGGTAAACACGCAATGGAGTGAGTACACAGAACACGGTTGGCTTGTCCATTTCACTGTGCATGACTCGGAAAGCTGGATGAGGTTCAAGAGAAACGATGTGATTGTACTCCCGGCCCGTCAATGAAGTCAGTTCCGGATGCATTATTCATGAGGCGCCTAACTAGGTAATATATCGGACCATCTACTCAAACTTGAAACTCGTCCACAACTCTTGATACTGTCATCAGTCTTCTTGCTCGTCAAAAACGTGAAAATTGCTATCGATCGCGCAGATCCTCATCAGCTTATGCTGGGCAAAGAGGAACTTTGATGACCTGGTCGACCTCCAAGGAGCCTGGGTCCACGCCCTGGTTGACAGAAAGCAAGGAGTCCAGCGTGATGCCCAGCTTTGACGAGATGAGGAAAAATGTATCTCCGGCGACGATGGTATAGGTGCCGTTCATCTCGGCAGATGGTACGACGCAGGTGGCTGTGCCGGCCGACGCCCGGCAGCTCTGGTTGTCCACCTCCGCCTCGCATACCTCGGTGGGGATGATCAAGACCTGGTCGGCGAGGATGAAGTCGGGGTTGGTTATACCGTTGGCATTGGCGATATTGCAGACTCCCGAGTCGAACTGGAGGGCGATCTTCTCAAGCGTGTCTCCGGCGGCTACCGTGTAGTTTGTCGACGGGCCGTCGACACATGTGCTGTTGTCGTCTCGGCGGAACTTCGGCACGGCATCGCCGCCTCGGTTTGTGACGTCTGTGGTGCACGACTCCAATGTGCCGATGCTGGTGTCGTTGAAGTGGAATTCAACTGGGGTTGCGGTCGCGCAGCTCGATCGCTTGGCGAGGAAATGGTGACCTGAGCCGGACGGGAACGCTGTGGCCAGCGCGGCCATGGAGATGGCGGAGAAAACCGCGAAACGCATTTTGACAGTGTTGGTGAATGTCTTGGGTGATGAACTTGTTCTGAGGACTTCGATCGTAGGGGTCAAAGCGAATGAATGCTGCTGTTGTTCAACGAGAGACTGTGAAGAAAAGACTGTGAAAGAAGCCAATGACTTGAACATTCATCAAGCGGTTGGAGGAGGCAGCTCTCTCAATTATATACATAAGCTTCTAATGATGCTTAGAGTGAGGCCCCTTTTTCTGCTGAGCATCAACGAGCATGATGCTCGGCTTTGGCAAGTTAGAGGCTATTTTCAGTCACAAACCACGGACAGTTTACCTCCCCGTGCGGATTTTGCGGCCTCCTCTGAGAAACCGTGTCTAATTGACTTTCTTAGGCTATCCTGTTTCAGGGAAAACCTTATGCTGCGGTCTCCTGCCAAGTGCGCATGAAGACGAGATGCCGGTCTTTACCCGATGCGTTCGAGCGCCCCATTCCTAGCCCCGAAGGCGCTCAATGTCTTCGACACAAGCCGAACCGGATCTCCCGATTGCAAGGCGCAGTGTCAGCGTTTCAGACATACCAGCCATGAAGGGGGCATCTTACAGAACGAGCAGCCTGAGTACAGCGCTCCCGTTTGGACCACATACTCCTGTCTCAGCGCCCCTGGAAAGTATGAATATGAAAATGGAGAACAACTCCGCCGCATGGTAAAGGAGCACCATTGCAAGCTGTCGTCTCTCCTGTAAGAGATTTTTAGAAGAGGTCCCGTTTTTCCTCGGAAGACACGGAAAGGTTAATAATCCATGCCATGGGAAGACGCCGCATCAACAATACCAACCACCAGATTTACACTGCAAGAGCTGAGTACAAATCAAGTCCCTTGAGGGCCGTGAGGGCTGCCAAATTGACGCCGACACCGTCCTGGACTGTTTCGTGATGTTCGACAAAGACATGGGGCTGCTGATCTTGCGGCTCGTCGGGGTTGAGCACGAGTTCACGGGTGCGAAAGACAGTCGCTCTGGGACCAAGGTCACCAGCCTCGGGTCTGTACTGCGGCGGCATGGTAGTGAGTATCATGAGAACTGTCAACCAAGGTTGGGAGATGACAGAAGAAGAAAGGGTAATTTCAGCAGTGCAAAGAAGAACGTGAGGAGCTTCCACAAATTAGCCCAAGCCCAGAGTCGTTGGGGATGCGTTTTTCTTTTCTTTGGTCGAACCCCGCTGACACTGTATCTATCACTTGATAGACTTCTTGACGGACCGAATCGTCTACCACATATCGTGGAGTATGTTCAGCATGTGAGGAAGAGCATCGGCCTTGCTGGTTGGAAGCATCCCTCACTACATCGCACTTGCAGTTGCTGGCTGTCTCTTGCGTGTGCCGCACTGTGCACGGCGTGGCATAGTTCTTGCGTGTGCCGCACTGTGCACGGCGTGGCATAGTTCCCGAGCCAATAGTGCCAAACTCAATAAGCACTCCGATGCGATACTCTGCAGGTCAGGGTATGAAGCTTCGATATTCGAGATTGTGCATTGTCCGGTTGACGAAGTGTGGCTCGACGTGCGTTCCGAGTCTTGGGTGGTTTTGGTTGAAGGAGATGCCCTTGGGCAAGAGTCCTGAGCCTGGGCAGCTCAGCAGAGGACGTCCTTGGCCGTAGTGATGGAGACGAGTTTCCGGGCGCCCAAGGTCCTGGGTATCGTTGCCTCATGTTTGATGGGTGCACATGCGAGGCGAAGTTGAAATCGGAAACTCCTGGATGGTGTTGTGGATGGCAGTTGGGCTCGAGTGCAGAAGGGAGCCAGAATTATCCCGAGGTCCTCACATGAGAATGTGGAAAGGGCCGGAGGATGACTGGCCAAAGTTTGCACACAAAGGGCCATCATCTGCGGCATTTCATCCACCGTAAGTGGCCCAAGGAGTGTGGCTTAGTCCCGACATTGCTGGATAAGTGGTTGTGGAACCGAAACAGCGGGTGAGCAGGCGAGGCCACTGTTTTGATTAATAGGCGGTGTGGCCGGGTTGAAAAGGAGAAAGCCCCCCTGAATGAGGTGATCGAGGTCCTGCATATCCCCATGGTGGCTTCAAATGTTATCCCTTATGCTGACAATGGGTAGTAGTCTACACTAAAGTATGAGCCAGTGCATACTGAAGTCCAGACGTTCCATAGAACATCTCTTCCAAGATCTTGGAACGATGAGGTGGAGAGAAGGTGATCTCGGTTGGGTGATCTCTTGCAAGCATGGACCGCCGACGAGGTTTCCCCGGCTGCCCAGGCGATGGGAGGGCCACGGGCTGGTCTTTGGTGGCCATGTTACCCCTGAGGCCTACCCACAAGTGGAAATTGACAACCTCGCCGCAGCATTCTGAATCAGGGATACAGTTGTCTGGCCTGGCCGTGGCACCATCTGCAGGTTCCAACAAAGGTCCCTGCCGTTCAGGGAATCAAGGTGGCTGTGTGGCTCGAAACAAAAAATGGGCCAAGGTGCACAGCGGCGGTTCAGTGCATCACCAGAGGGCGAACCATTGAATTTTATGTCAGTTTTTCACGGCGCGCAAATCTCTGAACTGACATCATAACCCGGCACTTCTGGGCGTTCGGGGCGGTCTGGGCGTCAGATCCCTGGAACTCTACGGGGTTGATTGGAGGTCTACGCGGCCCTCACAGCCATACGGCCAGGCACGGCCAACCGGGTGTGGGCCCGGGACCCGGAGATTTTCACGAAAATAGTAAATCCCGACCCACCGTAATCAAAGGCCCCCAGAGGGCCCAGGGAGGTCTCGACTTGGTCGACTTGGACAATGATGGCAGACGGTCCACTCATCACCACTCATTGCGGTCCACGCCGCCAGATACGAGATCACTCGGCGCCGGGAGATCAACAAATGCCCTGTTTTCGATCACCAAACGGAAAGACCTTTAAACATGGCCGATCCAGCCTTCTTCTCCTGGGCTGGGGAAACGGCCACTCCTTCCTCACCCATCTCTGGATCATCGCTCTTTCAAGATTCGCGGGTGTCACTCTTTTAACAACTCCCCAGCCAAAGGCTTCAGTATTATTTAATAATTCCCTGTTACTGTTCTCCCTGTCCTCAACTTGAAGCTCTCGCCACTTCCGCCGCCCTGTACAAGACACCCTATAACCAGCCCACCCGGACAACAACGTATCAAGTCGACAATATGGTCTGCACCAGGAAATCCAAGGCTATCGCCGCAGCGGCCACCGCCGCCAGCTCGTACTACGGCGGTTTCAATGCCACAGCCCCGTCTGCCACCCCAGTCCCATCGTCTGCCTCGGGCTCCTTTGCCGGGGGTGCCCCTCCTATGGCTGCCGCCGTCGACACAAACAACAAGGCCGCCGCCGTCACCGCCGCCAACTCGGGCATTAAGGGCTTCAACTACGGCGCCTTCTTCCTGAACCAGCAGGCCAAGGTCCAGAACGACTTCGAGTACGAGTTCACAAAAGCCCAGAACCTCATCAACACATCCGGGTGGAACAGCGCCCGTCTGTACACGACTGGTGAGTTACTCCGTAGATGGGTCATCATCAGCCTCAAACCCCCCACTTTGTCTCTCTCGCGACGTCGATCTCCCGCACTGTGGACGTCGATCTCGTGACAGGTCATGCAAATGTCTCAAAAAAAAATGTGTGAGGCTAACCGGCATGTGCAGTCCAACATGGAACTGCCACCGACCCCATCTCGGCAATTCCCGCCGCCATCGCAACCAAGACCACCCTCCTGCTTGGCATGTGGGTGTCCGGCAGCACGACGGCCATCGACAACGAGATCACTGCTCTGAAGTCCGCCATCTCCACCTACGGCTCCGCCTTCACCGACCTCGTGGTGGGCATCTCAGTTGGATCCGAGGACCTGTACCGTGCTGCCCAGGGCGACGCACTCAGCCCGGGTGTCGATGCCGAGGAGCTCATCGGCTACATCGGCAAGGTCCGCGAGGCCATCGTCGGCACGCCGCTGGCCAACATCCCCGTGGGCCACGTAGACACGTACGACAGCTTCGAGAACGGCACCAACACCGCGGTCATCGACGCAATTGACTGGATTGGCTTCGATGGATACCCCTACTGGGAGAAGGCCAACGCCAACTCGATCGAGGCCGCCCACGACCTCTTCTACACGGGCCTGAACAAGACTAAGGCCATCTCCAAGGGCAAGCCCGTCTACGTGACCGAGACCGGCTGGCCCATCGAGGGCGACGACCAGGGCCAGGCCGTCGCCGGCGCCGAGAACGCCCGCACCTACTGGAAGGACATCGCCTGCACGCTCGTCGACGCCAAGATCAACCTCTGGTGGTACGACCTGCAGGAGTCGCAGAACGGCCAGGCCAACCCTGACTTTGGCATCTTCCCCGCCGGTGACCTCAACCAGGTCCAGCAGAGCTACGACCTTTCTTGCCCATAAGCTAGCAAGGCAGCAGGGGACTCGTAATAGGAAAGAAAGCCTTTGTAAATAAAACCAAAAGAAAGAAAAAAACGCTTGTGTGTGAGACGGTATCTGATGTTGAGGGGACCGAGTCTGGTACGCCTGTAACAACTAATTCAAGAACCATACACTTGATTACTTCTATCCCAAAACCTGATTATAACTTCAGATCGAATGTGGCCGTGGATTCGTGTGTGATTTCGCTTCTATTCCGTATACATCCGAGGACATACATGGCGCCTTCATACGGTGCGTGGATTTGTGTAGATGGTAAATTCTGTCTATGCTTGCTTCGTATTTGTGTGGCGGGCTACTTAGGTACCTAGGCATTTGGGATCGCCCCCGTGTCAGAGCCTGTGTGCCCCTATCCATAACCTTCTCACCGCCTGTTGAATTGTCCACAGCCTGGGCATTCCCTGCCCTGTGGATGGCGTAGCCTGCAATGCCTCATCCAGTGGACGGCATCAGGAAGTCTGTAGACGCTGCCCCCCAAACCGCAACCACACGGCTAGCTGAGGAATCACAATGGAATGCTCCGGTGCCCAGGAGTCTAGCTGGCGCCCATCACTTAGATGGCATGCCCAGTTCCCGATACGCCTATTCGCTTCTCCCCCAGCGCGGATTGGTGACGTTGCGAGGGCATTTCAAGTTGTCGATGATGATTTCAACTCGGGGCCCCAAGCTCGTAGGGACACACACAACATCCATGAACGAAGTTGGTTGTAGGCGTCGACTCGTGGCAATGTCACTACACTCAGACGCGACGGAGCTGTTTCCGTCCTTGCACGGCATAGATGGGGCACAAGCAGAGTGGAAGCGCAATGTGACGAACACGAGCAATGCAATATATGTACTCGAAATAACTCACAGGCAGGGTCTCCCCCGCCTTATCTACACGTCCTTGAGGTGCCTCCTGAACCCGACCAGCTGGCCCATCTCGGTCCAGAAGCCCAGGGGCGGGTTCTTAAACCTGGCCTCGTAGGCGTCGGTGATGGGCCTCTCCCAGACCAGGTCGGCCTCGTACGGGCTGATGAACTTGGTCTTGTGCCACAGCTTCCAGCCGATAAACAGCACGGGGAAGAGGATGACCATGGTGTAGTAGGTGAAGAAGGTGCCGACGTCCCAGGGCTTGAAGCTGCTGTAGCCGTAGGTGAAGACGACGGCGGTCTCGAAGGCGAGGGCGATGTAGGCGCCGTAGGGCTGGAAGTAGCCGTAGTAGGGGAAGGACTTGCGGTCGACGCCCTGGGCGACGCAGGCGCGGTAGAAGAAGACGTATGTCAGGGACATGACGATGTAGTCGATGATGCCGCCCGCGGTGATGAGGCTGACGAACCAGTTCAGCACGACGTTGGAGCCCGACGAGAGCGACAGGAAGGCCAGGAAGGGGAAGCACATGACCACGATGAAGCAGTAGATGGGCACGCCCCTCTTGGTCATCTTGCGCAGGAAGCGGGGCGCGCGGCCCTCGAGCGACATGCCGTACAGGTTACGCACGGCGGCGTAGGTGTATGTGTTGCCGGCGGAGAAGATGGAGGTGACCATCAGCGCGTTGGTGATGTGGGGCAGCACGTCGACGCCCATGTTCTTCCTGTAGAATTTATTACGTGATTAGCGGGAGCTTTAATAAGGCTGGCGGCTGAGTTGGAGGAGGTGGAGAGGTTGTGAGAACCCCGCCCCCCAGCTTTTTTATGGGTCCGGTCCGGGGAAAGGGAGATAGATGGGGGGAGGACGGGACGAAACGTGGGGATGGTGAGGGCAAGTCAATTCAGGGAGACTTAAGACGTACATGGCAATGACATAGGGAGAAGCAGCGGCACCGGCAGCAGTATCCGTGCCCTCCTTGATGCCCGTCAGGGTTGGGTCGTTGGCGGGGAGGATAATGCCGACACACAGGGCGCCGAGGATGAAGAAGATACCGAATCTCCAGTACACGGTGCGGAAGGCGGTCTTGATATAGGTCCTGGGTCGCTTGGCCTCGGCAGCCACCATGGCGATATACTCGGGGCCGACAATGGTGAAGGAGGCAGACCAGAGGGCGGCGAGGAAACCCTCAAAACGGCCGAGGCTGCCCGTCGACATGTACTCCTTGAAAGGCTCAGGCTCGTTCCAGTGACGGAAGCCGAACGCGTCGTGTTGGGGGTTACCGCCACACATGGTCACCAGCGTGAAGGAGAAGAGCAAGAAGATCAGAATGACCTTGCCGCCAGAGAGCCAGAACTCGGCCTCTCCGAATCCTCCGACTGCGATGACATTGATAAGACTAGCACACGAGGACATTTAGCTTCACGAATCTCAAGTCCGGGGGGTTGGGAAGGGCGGCGCAGGTAGGGCTCTCTCGGTCGATCTCGGGGACACTCCGGGCAGCGATCAATCACTATCCACTTCATGCAAGCATCTTCATCACTCGGACCATCACCATGCTCACGCTCACGCTCACGTTCACACTCATACTCATACCCGGCATTGATCGAGAGTTGTTTAGGCAAGGAGGGAGGGAGTGGGAGGAGGGGCAAGTCTCACGCATAGAGGACGATACAAACTGTGATGACAGCAGCAGCAGGGATATCGTCACGCCAGAAGCCCAGGACCAAGTTGAGGGCCGTAATCTCGAACGGGATAAGCAGGGCCTCGTAGAGGAAGAAGTTCCACCCGACAGCGAAGCCGAGGGCGTCGTCAGCCCATTTACCGGCCATACGGATGAAGCCGCCAGAGACGGGGTGCAGGGTGGCCATCTCGGCCATGCAGTTGTTCACGAGACCGAGTATGCAGCTGTAGATCAGGTACGCGAGGAAGAGGGATCCGGCGCCGCCCTCGTAGAGGCCGGTGCCGATGCTGACGAAGAGGGCGGTCCCGACGGAGCCACCGATGGCGATCAGCTGGATCTGGCGGTTGGCCAGCCGCCGGTGCAGGCCGTCGGCGCTGCCACTCAGGACCTCGCCCGAGTCGAGGTCGGACGTGCGTGAGGGCGCGGCCTCGACGTCGTCGAGCTTTTGCGACTTCTCGTGGTCTGAGGAACTCATGTTTGCGGTTGTGGTTGTCGCAGGCTTGTCAGTCGCAGCTGAGGTCGTTTGCGCCCGCGGTGGGGGGAAGCAGGTGGCGGCAGTTGGTCTGGTTGGCCGACAGTGGTGGTGTTTGCGATGATGTTGTTGGTGGAGGGGGTGTTTGTCGACGTTGTTCGCGGCGGTTAGATCAGACTGGGCCTGCTCAAGACAACTCACTCAACCGGGGTAGACAACCAGGCCAAACGGAAGAACACTGGCAAGGGGGAAAAGAAAAGTAGTGACTCGAGACTTGAGTAACTCGAGATGATCGAGGTGAAGGCTAGATTATAACGCGGGCAGGTAGTCTGGGGACAGGGCCGTGTCTTATACCATCCCGGCTAGCTGGATCCATCCCATGCATTTCTCTACGCTAACAAAAAGCGAATTCAGCTTGATTTTCATCAGGTTCGCCGCCTCTGGCCCTCGCAGTCGCCGCACCACTCGCTCGGGAGGTTCGAGCATGGGGGGCAGGCTGGGGAGAGGCAGCAGAGTATGTACTCCGTACTCCGCACATCAGTATTGCAAGGGTCTGCAGTAGAACAGCAGCCAAAGCCGTGCTAATCCCTGCTGGTCGTTGATGAGACGAAGGTAGAAGGGACCGTCGTCATTGGGCCAGGCGAATGGGCCAAGGCCGTGTGCAGGGTTCGAGGATGGGCTCGGATGGGGCAAGGAATGCAGGCTTATCACAGGGTTAATAACTGAGAAAGTCTATATGTACCACAGTACTAAGTACTCGACAATCCTGGCGTTGGACGCCTGAGGACTCGGCGCAGGCCTGGCGCAGGACCGGCGGGATCTGGCTTGGGGATGGCTGCGTTACCGCGTGCCGCAATAGACCAATTGATGCGGCCACTTGCTCGCGGGTGGGGCGTCGAGCGCCGTCCAGACGCATGCCGTTAGCCTGCCTAACACTCATGTGCGCATGGTCTGTCAGCTCTGGATTAGTCCTTTTAATTTCTACACACCAGCCATCCCAAGCCCATCTCCATCTACATCCGGCGTGGTTGGCTCGACCGTTCGTGCGAGCCCAGAAGGACTTGAAGAGGGATTTTTCCCACGCCACCACCGACCCGACACCCCAAGGTGCATGCACAGTCCCCAAGCCTGCTCCCTGCCCCTGACAAAGGATGAGGCCACACGATGGACACGTGAGTCGAGCAGTCGGATACATTGCGAGTCCCCTGCGGGCCTGTCAAGCATGTCTACGGGGAAAATGTGGGTGTGTTTGGACGTTTGTCTGCAGGAGCCCTGAACAGCCCTGGAGAGCCCACGGGGTTTTAGTCGTGGGTACCTGGGTACGTATTAATACGACCAGGAACTGTTGGAACCTGCATGCACGACGTCTCTATCTATGTGGGGCACCGTCATGGTATTGTTGCGCTCGCTTCCAGTCCCCCATCCTGCACTCTCCAACGCCCTCTCCACTGGGCCGTTGGTCCCTCAACCAACTACCCTATCCTGCAGTCCTTCAGTATTCCTGTCGTGTATTCATAGTATCAAAAACATCCACCGGTCTGGCCATCAGGACAGCAGGATAGCAACAGCCACAATCTTGTCGACCGTGGAAAAAAGCTTTGCCAAATTGCTTGTCCAAGGGCCAGGCAGACGGCCAAACGGCCAGGGAACTCGGCACTCAGGCACTGTGAAATGCATGGCGGTCTAACCTCGGACCATGGCCATTGGTGGCTCTGCGTCGAGGGTTCCAAAATAAGCTAAATGTCTGTCGCTCTTCGCCGCCCCAGGCTATACCCAGTAAGCCTCTCCTCTCTCTGCTCCCCTCCCCAGCACCGCGCGTGTCGAGGCCTCCCCTCCCCGGCTCTGCGCCTTTTCTCCTCGTTTCCGCATCTTCATGCTCTCTACTCGGCCATTCAGCCCTGGCGGCTTGTCTTGCCGGAGTGTCAGGCTGTAGTAACGTTTACCGCACGTTGGTATTGTGGCTGCCGGATCGTCTGTGACACCAGTCCATTCGGGTCCTTTTGCAGGAAAATTGTCTTGTCCTCTTCCGACCGGGGCAACACCAGTGCCACGGCCATGACGTGGGCCAAGTGAATCCTTCTCCACCAACCTGCATGCGGCGCCCCATCAGCACCCCACTCGGTTGACTCAGCCAGAGTCAGCCCTGGAAAAAAGCCCCTCGGCGAGAGACCAGCTCGACGGTCCTGACGGCAAAGACGGCCGGCCAGTCTGCCTGTCTGGCAGCTGCCCGCCCAATCTATCTAATCTCTACACAGGATCCCCTCGGGGTTCGGTGAGATAGCACCCGTCGCCCTGTGTCACTTTAGCTGCCGAAGATGTGAAGCACCATGCAAACCTTAGATAGGGAAGCATCCGTCTATCGATACCAGTAGATTGTTAGGTAGTAATAGCGAGATATTCATCTCTACAATCCGCCTGACAGCAACTGCGTTGTCCAGATTCAGCAAAAAGACCTCCATCAGCCAAGGGAGAATGCAGCACCAACCGGTGAAGACGAGGAACAGGAGCAAGAAAATTACGCAAGAAAATGACCCCGAAAAAAAGTTCAAATGTTGAGATGTGACAGCCTGTACATCTACATGTACAGCAGGTACCAGCATCCATGTTTACATTACGGATTACGTGTGTCTGCAGTGGCGTTCTGGACTTGCACCGCGCTTAGCCGAGGTCAACCACATGGGCTCAGGGTTGCGATGTGTGGCCCACTATTTCGCGCCTCTTGTCTGGATTGACGTCTCGGGACGAGCGTGTCAAACTTGACGACTGTGGCAATGGCCTCATATTGCCTCGCCCCTCTTTCCCCGTGGGCCGAAAGATGAAAGGAGTTTGCGAGCTCTGATTCTCATCAACCTTTCAGCATCATGAGTCCTTGGTGATGGCGATCTGGCAGCGGCTGCAAGGCGGACTGATACTACCCCAGGTCAATACGGGATATCATTCACCTACCGGTGATGGCTGTATGCACGTCATGATAGGCCTGCATGCAGGTGTGGTTACAATGTACGCCCACATCTGTGACTTTGGAATAGACTCAACCCGAACACATGGCAGACTACAGGCATGGGCAGCGGAGCCTCCCGCCCACCTGGGCAAGCCCGCTGCCTTTCCCTTTCTAGACGCAGATCGTGGCCAACATTGCAGGTATCGGTATGCACTCCGGGTCAAGGGCGCCTGCCAGGGCCTCCCAGATAAGCCTGACCTCCTGCTGCATACTTACACGTGGTCGGCGCTGACCCCCAAGCTGCCTGGGTCATTATGACTATTACGCCGCAGCGGCTCTGGATCGGTCATGGGTGGGGTCAAGACGCTCCTCACCCGAGAAACAATTTATTCTTTTCTGCACTAGTTCTTAATACCCGACCGGGCGACGGGCCGTCATATTGTTGAGCGCAAGGCGAGTGAGGCTTTTCCTCCTTAAGCGAGTGACGAAATTACGTGCTGACCGTCCGGACTTTGTGATGCACTTGCCTCGGGACGCTTTCAGCCGGAATCCAGTCGACCTGAGGCTTCCAAGGCTGCCAAAAGGCTTTTCACAGTATGAGGAGGCATGCCCGTGGTCAAATGTGGCTATACTGAAATGCCACAGGTGGTGTAACAAGAAGCACTTGAGCTTGACGCGCCGTGTATGTCCTCGGACGTATATGGAATAGAAGCAAAACCACACTTGAGCTTGAACAAGGGCTGTGAGTTGCTGACTTGGCTTAACTGCCTCTGCATTTTGTTACTGCCATTATTGATAGCGATATATGACCGAAGGTAAAGAGTCTTGATTCATAAAGAACCCCCAAGGCTTATAATATCTGCAATTGTTGCCAGCTTTGTGGAGGCACTGCTGCCTGGTCTATCCAAGCTTTCTTCACCTCCACCTGGTCCACATCCGAATTGTTCATCACACCTTCAGCACAACCTTTTAATGACCGGGGACTCCATCAACTCCTGCCACTTGACACAGTAACTAAGAAAACGGATATTTGCAGGGCAAAAAACGGATAGTACAGGGCAAAAAACGGATGGTACAGGGTAACTTTTTTATAAAAATAAAACTTTATACTATAACATTAAAAGAGATTTAATTCTAATTAATAAAAAATAACTTATAATATAGTAGAAAAAATAAGCTATTTAAAGGTATTATTTTTAAAGTTTTAACTTTAATATTTATATAGTTATATATTATTATAAAGATAAATGATAGGTACTTATAGTATATAGAAAAAGAATAAATTCTTAGAGCTTTAATACTAGTGGAATAAGTAGGGAAGTACTCCTTTTAAGTATAATAAAGCTTTATATATTAAAACTAAACCTAAAATTAACTTAAAGTTAACTTAGTTTAATTTTAATATATATTAAATACCTACTTAATATATAAAAGCTATTATTCTTAATAATATAATAGTTAGAATCTTTTAATTAAATTAAAAGCTATTAGTTTAACCTTAAAGGTTATTATAATTTTCTTTTTTTATTTAACTATTTTTTTATTTTTAATTTTAACTATAAGTAGTCTTATAAAGAGAGCTATAAGTGGCCTTATAAAATATATTAATTTAATTAGTTATTAAGGATAGGTTAGAATTACTTTTATAGTAACTTAATTTAAAGGAATTAATTAGTAAAAAGGGGGTTAATAGGTAGTACTAGCTAGTAGGGAGGTGAGACTTTTAGTAAAAAAGAGTATTAATCTTAAAGTAAGGTATATATATTATAGGTAATTAATATAGAGATTATTATTAAAAAGTAATTATTATTATTATATTATAGTTACTATTTAATAGGTACTTATAGTATATAGTAAAAGAATAAATTCTTAGAGCTTTAATATTAGTGGAATAAGTGAGGAAGTACTCCTTTTAAGTATAGTGGAGCTCTATATATTGAAACTAAGCTTAAAATCGGCCTAAAGTTAGCCCGGTCTAATTTTAATATATATTAATAAATATTCTTTTATTAAAATATAATTTAAAAATATAATAATAATTTCTAATACCTCTATCCCTAATATATAATATTAATTAAATAATAATAAATGGTAAAGAATCTTTAAAAAGATATTTATAGATACTACTTATAAAAATTAAAAAAATGAAAAAGTTGCCTTGTACCATCCGTTTTTTGCCCTGCAAATATCCGTTCTCGTAACTAATATCTACCAGAACATTAATTAAGGCAGGATTATGGAGTCTCCATGCCACACCTTGATTTGATACCCTCCCAGGGATCCTTTTTCGAATTGCAAGTACTGTAGTAACCTACAATCATACCCATCAAGTTTTAATTTTGAGTTAAAAACTTAAGTATGATACTAGCCATATGTGTTAAGGAGCTAGAGTTGCCTCATACCATGTCCGATAATATGCCTGAGCTCAGATTCTGCACCTTAGCTTCCTGCCCACGTCTCAATCTTTCCTTGATACTAGCCATCGGCCCCAGGAGTGCCCAGTTCCTTGAAGCTTCAGTATACCCAAGCTCCATGATATAGGATAAAATGAACACAACCGCTACTAAGGGAAGTGAGACAGCAAAATAGACCCAGAACATTGAGTTTCCCGGCAAGTAAGAGTCAGCCATGCTAAACACGGACGCCGAGAACGACATGGGGAGGAATAACAGACCCAGGGTGGTGAGGGTCTTCATGCTTCGAGCCTCGCGACCAGCCCGAGCCGCCTCCTGGAGCGACAAATCCGCCGACCTTGACATGGAGCGGTTGCCCGCCAAGCTGCCCAGCGCCGAGATGGCGTCGGCGAGACCTTGCGTGCGCCGTCCGAGCTCGCGGTACCTGCGCAAAAGGTACTGGAAATCCGCGGTGCTGTGGGACCAGCTCCGCACCCGGCTGCCGGTGCCTTCCAGGTCCCCCAGTGGGATGTGCAGCTGCAGCATCGTGGCCTCGAGGTCATCCTGGTACTCAGCAGTCCGCCGCTGCCAGGCCTGTACATCGCTCCACAGTTCTTCTACTGCCGCGACGGCGAACAAGCTTAGGTCGTGTTTCCTGGATAGGTGCCACTGTACGATATCGATGTTGGTCTGAAGGAACTCGGCCAGTTTGAGAAAATGGCTGGCGACAATCTTGTCGACAAAGACGCGCAAGCTCGTGGGCACGATCGGGGTTTCCAGTGCTTTGCTGTGGTTCTTGAGATAGAATAGCAGATCGTCAAGCAGCGAGGACCTGGGAGGTCCGCACTGCGTGTTCATCTGGTATGACAGCGGTACAAAGTCCAGATATCCAGAGTTGTACGGAGAAACAGTGACATCGTATCTCAGATTGCCTGAGTAGTCGGTAAGAATGCGCCGAATCGGGGGGTCGCAGATAATCAAACCTGCTACAGTCAACGCCCGAACAACCTCAATGGTGAGTTATATGGGTTGGCGGCATATGAGGGCAAGGTATTTGTTGATCATGCTCTTTTCGTTTTCAATCCGTCTCCCCCCCTCCCCACCCCAAAAAAGGCAAGGTAATACTTACATGACCATCCTCCGCGTTGAGTCTCTTTGCTCCAAAAAGTACACTTGCGCCTGCTTATAACGACCTCGGAAAGCTGGCCCACTAGTCTCGTCACCGCGATATGCCTCCCCGATATCTCGCAGAGATTCCGGAAGCCTGTAGGCCTTGTAGGAAGGACAAGCGGCTCGTGGTACTTGAACGAAACATGGTCCCTCCCGCAGATTGAGGACGGCAGTAATGGGATACCGCCATTCTCTCCAGTGAGTCTCCCAGCGGCGGGCACGAGCCTGTCGTGGTCCATGAATAAAGATGGGTGAATCTGGAAGTGGCCCCCGAGGACTGAGACGAACTCTGGAGTGAGCCCCTCGATTAGGTACACTGAGCAAGAAGGACCTGGACGTGTGGCAACCTTTTCTTGGAGAAATTTAGCGAGGTCTGAAGCGCTGGTGTATTCAATGGGCTCTCCGAACGACCCGCTCGATCCAAGGTGAAGGGCGATGGCTCGTTCTCGTACTTGGCTCCAGGGCGTCCATGCACCTTTCGGAGGCGGTGTTGATGTCAGAATAGATGACTTCATCCTTGGGTCGCTCAAGTAAAGCGACTTCGTTAACTCTCTATAACCTCCCTCTTGCATTTCGTGTACCCAATTCGATTGTATCGTGGGATGCTTAACCAGTATATTTATTTCAGTTGGTGTTTGAGTGAGGATAGTGTTCAATCTGGTATAGTCGAAACCTGAGGAAAGAGGCCAACTTTTAACTTGTTCAAAGCCCAAATATTACCTTAATTCGACCACTTGCACGCCTTTACTGCCTCGGGCGTCGACTGTGACGCACAATTGGTGAAGTTTGCCCTAGGGTAGGTTGTTAAAAACGCCTAACGTAAGCCTATAAGGCTACTAGTATGGAGTAAAGTGACAAATCATTATGATGAGGCGTTAGATGCCTTTTGACGGAGCTTGTGTACATGTAGTGACTGGAAGGATTTAGTGAACGTCCAATGGCGAGGAGTTGCTGCCCTCCTGAACCCTCACCGACCGTTATGGCGCGCTCGGGGTAGTCAGACAGACTTCGCCTGCGCTGGGCTGAATCTGTGCGACACCAAGCAAAGTTCTTAATCCGGTCCTTGTAACCACATATTCTAGGCAGAATCCTTTCTTTTCACATCTCTTTCCATCCCATTACACGAAAACGTGCAACTCAACAACGTACCTAGCAAGCCTCATCCCACCGCCACCTGCAACAAGCCGATATGATAGGCGAAAAGGCCCTGCCATAGACATGGCTAGCCACCCACCACTTGATCCTCAGAAGAGCATTTGGAACCTGCCAGGGCTTGAAAAGACCTCCTTCTATGCAGCGGCGCTTTATCTTCATGTTGCAGCCAAAGGGCAGCTCCGCGACGCAGAGCATCACGGACAACACTACCAGCCCAAGACTAAGCGGGATCTCCGGGACTTCTTGGACCGTCTAGCTGACTGCTTTGCCCGGTCCAAAGACGAGGATGCGCAAGCACACGTGTCCGCCACAGGGATGGTGCTTGATGAGCAGCAGCGCCGAATAACCATCTACGTGGCGAAAAATGTCAGCGATAAGAATTTGGATCGTTCGTCCTTGTCTCCCACACAGACAGCCTTGATGGTGAGCGAGGACAAGGAGTTTGCAGGGAAGCTATGCCTCTGGTTCAACAAGCTATCCTGCAAAGACGAGAACGCGGCCGAGCCCCTCCAATGGGACATGTGGGATGTCATGCGCAAGTACAATGCGTCGCGCGTCGGGTATTACGCGCGCAAGGTCAGTAGCTGGAGTGGAGAGGGTGTCGAGGGGGTGGATACATCGCTATGGCCCGCTCTCACTCGGCGAACCATGACAGCCATCAATAACACCATCGAGGCGTGCATGGTATTTAGACAGGAACCTCCCCCTTCAGGCCAGGATCTTGACGAGTCCCTGGGGACATGCGCGTTGGCGGCCTCAGAGTGTCGGTCTGATCCAGAATTTCACCAATTCAGCCTTGAAGTGGATAAAATTATCAACAACGATGCCGACCAGATCGATGAGGCGTTCAAAGATTTTGCACGCGTCGCCAAGTGGATAGACTATCTTGGCCGGCTAGGGGACACATATACTACCTTCGGAGATTTTTGCAAATCTCCCGAGCAGCAGGGATACACATACGACATTGTGGTTCTCAAGTCGCCCCCCGAGGAACCGTGGGACGTAGCACCTTACAAGAACATGATCGGGTCTTGGGCCGGCAACCTCGGCCTCGATGAAGAACGCAACGGTCGCAAAACCATCAGACACGATCTGGACCAGTTCGTCGCCCGCGGTGCGAGCCGCGGCAGAGCCCGCGTGCACTGCGAGATCCAGCTGCTCCATTACTTCTCCCAGGAGAACCCCGAGAACTCCCCGAAGCCGCTCGACTACATCGGCTGCAGCAAGAAGTCATGTTGGCTGTGCTGGCAGCTGCTCGGCCACTTTGGGCAGTTCACGACAAAGGATACACATCGCATGATCTACCCCATGTGGGCATATCCCGCCCATTACCCCCCGCCGCACGTCGGGCTGGCCAGGGCACTAGCCGCCACCTACAGGGACATGGCGACGCTCATCCAGGACAGCGTGATGGGGATCCAGGCCTTCACCTCGAACTGGAACATCTCGCACACGTCGCGTCGGCATAACCAGAGCATGGCTGGTGAGGTCGGATCAGTGCCGGAGTTTTCGGTAGCGGCCCCTTCGTCCGCGGACAGCATCATGTCCTCGGACGTTGTACGCCACCATGGCCGTCTTCCAGTGGCCTCGATTCCCCTCATCCACCTTCCAGCAGCATCGGGCGAACCAGGCGAAGCGATTCCAAGCCCGCGGGTGGTACAGGTAGAATTGTTCACGTGCGATGAGTCTGATCCTCAAGAGCAAGAACTTTCCATGCTTATCCAAGCTGTCCAAGGGCTCTACCACCAAAGCAACGTCTTGTTCGCCTTCCAGATCAACACCAAGACGCTAAAGTCCAATACCCTGCGCGAGATCACCTTGGAGGACCTGGAGACGATGCTGTGGGGGGTGAGTGAAATTCTGTGTTCGGGGGACAATGGGGTATACACCATGATGTTTAGAATGAACAGGGACTTGAAGAATAACCCATGGCTTCTCAACATGACGCGGGAGTCTCAGGGAAACAAAGCCCGGGATGCCAAAAGCCCTTGGTGCGGAGACGTTTTCATCTACAATAAGAAGTGGCGCATAATGGATGACGAAAAGACAACAGTCAATCTCTGCATGGAATCTCTCAGACGTGAGTTTCAGAACGAGTTTAGATGTCTCCAAGATAGCGAGAAGCACGAGCAGATACAAAGGGACCTCTTGGGAAGGTTGAACTATAACATAAGGGAACGTTTGCAGCCTGGAAGCAGCTCTGACCCGGATGTAATATTCCAGTTGAAGACAGATTGAGAGTTAGCGGAGTTATATTTATCCAACTATCTACTTTCCAGTCGGGATACGGACCGTCATCAAAAGATTTTGAAATTGCTCAGTCTCGAACTCCCACTAAAAGAAGTTCGCATTAGGCAATAGGACCTCCCAGTCCCAGTCCATACCATACGCATCAAGCCCAATGTCGCCAGAAGCAAGCAACCCATCCATCTCGTCCTCCGCACGCCCAGCACCAAACACCCCCCCGTCAGCAACGTCCACAGCCCCCAGAGAGACGGCGTCCGCCCGGCTGCCCAGCATCTCGTGGCAGGCACGCAGGCTCTCCATCGCAGCCCGCGTGATGGCCAGCTCGACGCTGCCGGCGCCAGTGCTGCCCCCGGCCTCGACCGCCCCCACCTGCGCGAGGACCATGCTCATGAACATGTGCGCCTTGACGTTGGTCTCGCCGTGCCGGATGCGCCGCTCCGACAGGGCCAGCAGGTCGCGCGCGGCGCGCTTCAGCAGGTCGCGGTGCAGCGTGACGCGGTGCAGCGTGCCGTCCAGGCGCTGGGCGTCGACGTGGGCCAGCAGCTCGAGGCTGATGGCCGTGATGGCGCAGCGGACGCCCTCGCGGAACAGGCCGCCGCCCGTGGCCAGCAGGCGGGCGAACCTGTTGCTGTCGCCAGACACTGAGGCCTCGGGCTCGGGCTCGGGCTCGGGCGTGATGAGGGCCAGCGCGGCGTCGAGGCTGAGCCTGAGCGAGGAGTGGAACAGGGGGTTTGAGCGGGCCTGGTTGGAGAAGGCATAGTGCAGAGGGATCATGAAGCGGCGGATGAGGAAGTCGAGGAGGCTGCGCTGAAATGGGCCCATGGGTGGTGGGGAGGAGTCCGGCCCCGCCGCCCCTGCAGGACCTTGGCCTGTCTGGTGGCTGCTGGGGCTTGCTTCCGAGGGCCTTGTCGTCCTCGCAGCGCCTAGGCTGCTGGATGATGAGCGCAGGGCGTTGGTCAGCTCGGCGCTCAGGGAGAGGACGCGTGAGTAGGATGACTCTGAGTGCAGATCGTTTAGGTACTGGACGATACGCAGGCGGACTGGGAGCGAGTCGAGCAGTTCGAGCTGGACGGATGTCGCGGTGAATGTGGTCCTGGGGCGAGGGTCGATTCTGGTGCTTGACTCGTCTATATCGTCGTCGTCGATGTTGGACGGTGGCTCGACATCAAACTCATCTAGGGAGATTCTTGGTGGCATCCGCGCATCCAGAGAAGCCTGCACGACCATGTCGAGGATGGTAGCCCACAGCCTGCGACGAAGTTCCGCCTGGAAGACAGACATTGCTTGAAGCTTCAGATGTCTCGGCTCTCTGTGCAATCCGATCTGCATGGCCCGGTGGACCAGAGACCCCATTGACATCCACACCAAGTCCCCGCCGATGGAGAAGATCTGCCTGGCCACAACAGTGAGACAGTAGATCTGGAGCCCGCCGATGTCCAGACGGTCCTTCTCCAGTGGGCCGGCAAGCCACGCCTCAGCAGCATACACCCATGGGCGGACCATTTCCGAGTTGCGAAGCGCTGCGCTGCTGTCCTCGAAGTCGTGAAGGCTTGAGCCGATAGCAATGACGAGGAGGACCCTGAGACGGAGGCTATTCGAGGCGGCCTCTGGGCTGTCCCAGTATCTCCGGTAGTCGGCCCAAAACGTAGGGATGTGAAGGATGCGCCACGCCGACTCAAAGGACGCAAAGTAGAGGCTCGCCATGGTGTCAGCCACCTCCCGAGACGGAGGGACGAGCCGGAGGCCAAACTCAGGGGCTGTGAACGGGACCGGAAGACCCCTGCTAGGGCGCCCGACCTTGAGCCTCCTCGCGATGTTCTTGCACTTGAGGAGGAACTCGCCGGCCTGGTCGATGAGCGCCGCGATCTCGGGGTCGTGGGTGGGGAAGCCCTTGTCGCCCTTGCCCACCATGGCGCTGTAGCACGCGATGATGGCAGCAAAGTCCGGGGCCCCGCCGGACCAGCGGCTCCTGCCGAGATCCCGGGACTTGTCCAGCACGACCTGCCACTCGCTCGACGACGCTTCCTCGGGGTGGTCGTGGTCGGTGTCGTAGCGCGCAAGCGAATCGCCCCAGGCGGCCTCGGGGTGGTCGGACTGTGCCCTCAGAGAAGCAGCCAGCCTCTCAACACTGTCAGTGGTCCGTGAGACGGCGGGGCTGGAGCCCTCCAGCCTCTCGATCCGCTGAAGGAGAGCAGCGATGCGCACGTCGGTGCTGGCGGGTCCGTCCTTGCCGGTGCTGTTGGTGTTGCGATGCAGAAGTGGCGACGACGGGTGCCGAGAGCTGTTGCATGCGCAGGGCAAGGGCACGGGGGCAGCGTGCGACACGCTGTGATACGCCCCGTTTGCGCTTGAGGCCGGGGTGACTGCTGCTCCCGATATCTGGGACGAGGACTGGTGGCTGTTAAGGGCCGACGCCGCGCTGCTGTTGGCGAAGGAGGCTGCTGATGGAGCAAGCTGTTGTTCAGCCTGCTCGCAGGCGCGGATATCGCCGCGCGTGAGAGCATTTTCCCCAGCTGTAGTGGCGATTCCCACGGGCGAGGCACCACTGACTGATGCGCGAGACCCGCCTGATGGCACCGACGCAGCCGGGCTCACCAGCGAGGCCTGCGGTCCCGCACGCGCAGGCGGTCTTGGGAGAATAGTAGGTGCTCCGGGAAGCTCATGCTGGCCCTCAGGAAGCCGGCCAGGAGGTCGCACAATGACGGTGGCAGCAGCAGCGGCAGCGGGAACGGGAGCGGCAGCGGGAGCGGGAGCGGAACTGGGGGCGGTATCACTGGCATCTCCGTACGGGGTGTACATGCATTGTGTGCTCTGGCGGACACAGTGTGCGCATGGCTCGTTGCGGTCGCACTTGATCTTTCGACGCCGACATTCCCAGCACGCGAGGGCCGGCCTCCGGCGCCGGCGTTGCTGATGGCCTTGCAACTGCGGTTGCGGCCGATCCATCAGATGGCCGAGGTGATCTTGGCGGTGATGGATGGGGTTATGGGGCCCTGTTGAGCGAGTGCTCTCTGACAGCGCCTTCTGGGTCTAATGAGAAAGAAGGTGGGTGGGTTCTGGAGGCTGTCTGAGTTCTCGGCCGGGTCATCGCCGACGACTTCGGTAGACGGACAACTGCGGAATTAGGGAGGTTTTGAGCGGCCCAGGCAGCTGAGACGGGCTCAACTGGGCTGACTGAGCGACGTGCACGGAAAAGAAATATATTGTCCCAGATCTGACACATTATTCTGTAGATACGTGCCCAAGGTACGTAATACCAGGGTATCTTATATCCGGCCCGAAAGTTGCGCTAGGACTATTCACTTCTCGGCCGAGCCCTATGAGTGCCGACACGTGAAGTACCGATACAGTACTTGGCAAGCTGACGAGAGAGGGCGAAACTTCTAGGTACTTTTCTTGTACACTGCTACCCAGTCAGCCAGTGTCTACCCCCGACGGCCCGGAGTTAAGGATGTTCAGGTCATTGGCTATCAAAACATTTTGGCAGGCGTAATAAACAGGCCTGGTACACGGTTAGGTACCAGGGGAGGCGTTACCAACAGTGTTCAGTACTTAATCCGACCTCTGTACATAAGCAAACAGCGTGTGTGCATCTCTGTTTACCCAACAGCCAATCTTGACTCAGGACGCAGGTGAATAGCACGCAGTAATGGTTCGGGGTGTGCGTATACCTCGTTTTGTTTCCAGAGTCGTTCTGCCGTGTGTTGTTGCGTCCGTGGCTGTCATTTCATTCCTGCATCCTGTGCCCAACCTGGCCAGCTCCCTCGCCTTCTCTCGTACACTCAATCCCCAGTCCTCCAGCAACCTTGATCAAAGTGATAAACGCAGTCAGCTTGTGCAACACCATCAAGAGCATCAGCCGCATCAGCAGCGCGCACAACCACGACTGGTACATGCCGACGAACACAACATGGCGTCACGCGCGAGCCTGAGGGTTCTCATCAGCGGCGGTGGCATCGCCGGCAACGCCCTCGCCTTTTGGTTGACCAAACTCGGCCACAATGTCACCGTGGTGGAAAGGTTTCCCGGCCTGCGAGCCACAGGACTTCAGTACGTAATGCCTTGTCATCGCCCAAACCCAACATCATCTTGACAAACGGTGAAGATGTTGTTGATCCAGAGCACAACCCCCCCCCCAAAAAAAAAAAGACTGGAATCCGGCTAATCATTAAAACAGACTCGACCTTCGAGGCGCCGGCATCGAGGTCATGAGGCGCATGGGTCTCGAGCAGGCCTTCCAAGCAAAGCGGGCCCCGGAGGAGGGCATGCAGGTGGTCGACAGCACTGGGCGCCAGCGGGCGTGGTTCCCAGCAAGCAAGCCCAAGGTTGGGGAGCGCCAGGGCTTCACCACCGAGTTCGAGCTCATGCGCGGCGACATCTGCCGCATCCTCCACCATGCAGCCGCGGCGAGCACCACCCCGGCCGGCGCCCTCAAGACCAGCGCGCGCTACGTCTTTGGCACCGCGGTCGAGAGCTTTGAGCAGCACGCCGATGCCGTGGACGTGCGCTTCGAGGACGGCACCACTGCCTCGTTTGACCTGCTGGTCGGCGCCGACGGCCAATGGTCGCGCACCCGGCGGATGTTGCTCGCCGCAGGAGGGGCTGGAGGACATGCAAAGACGAGCAAGGCATCATCCTCCGCCGCCGCCGCCGTAGCACCCGAATCGGAGGGCCTGTACCTGATACCGGGGCTGTACTTCACCTATTTCACCATGAGGAAGCCCATCGAGGAGGGCGAGGGCTACATCGCGACGTCATACATGGCGCCACATCGGAGGGGCATCATGACGCGGAGGCATAGCCCGAACGAGCTGCAGGTCATGCTCTCGTGCCGCAACGACTCGCAGGAGCTCAGGGACATCCGGCGGGGCGACGTCGAGAAGGAGAAGGAGGCGATCGCTGGCATTTTCAAGGACGCCGGGTGGCAGGCCGAGGCCATACTGAAGGCGATGAAAGAGGCTCCAGACTTCTACTGCGAGCGCCTGGGCCTGGTCAAGGTGGCCCCCTGGTCGCGTGGCCGCGTTGCCCTGATAGGAGACGCGGCCCACTGCCCGACCGTGCTCACCGGCATGGGCACCACGTCCGCCATGGTCGGTGCTTACGTCCTGGCAGGAGAAATCAGCCGGCACGTGGGGAAGGTCGGCAATGGTGAGGGCGACGGCGACAACCACTCCGATGGTCTCGCAACAGCGCTCGAGTCTTACGAGACGAGGTTCAGGCCCTTTGTGGATCAGGTGCAGAAGGGAGTCCTGGAGCACTCGGCAGATAAGTGGATGATGGCCGACACCTCCATGCAGGTCGCCTTTATGAATTGGATGATGGGTGTTGCCTCGTTCTTTGCCAAGAGGGTTAACATTGTCGATGCCTTTGGCATACGGGAGACGGTCAAGGGATGGGACCTCCCCAGATACGAGGGGCTGGAAAAGACTGAAGAGTAATAAGTGTTGGGCGGGAATGCAACCAACATTTGAATGTAATTATCCATCAGACCAGTGGAAACTCGCCCTTACACAGGTAGTGTATATGTACGGCCATCTCAACTTCCAGTAGTCACATTCTGTTCAGACGCTCGATAGACTTCCAGGGTGTAGTTCACAAACAACGCACGCAGCAACATATCCCAAGGCATTTGCTAGTTGTCCAGCTTTCCTCCACGCCTGTCTGGTAATTATATTTTTCGATAATATATACTTGAACTGATTATATCACCGGTCTATCCAGGATTTGGGAGAACAGAAAAGACATTTACCTTACACATTCTATACTCTGTGAGGCCGACGACCGAAGTAAGCTGCGAGTGCAAACAAGACACCCCCGATGAAGCTACACAGGCCTGAAAATAATTCGATACCCATATAATTAGTCCTATGCTGTGAATTCAGAACAGCTCCTGTTATCGGCAAGCCAGTGAGGCAGCTACACGACTCGTTAGAGGTGATCTGTACAATGATTAATGGCACAAATACCAAGCACTTGACTTACCTCAGGGAGATAATGACCTGAAACGTGCCAAAGCGCTGACCCAGTGTATGCAAACTCCCAGCTTTTGCCGCACAGGGCATTAGCAAGGAGACCAAGGAACCACTGACGAGACCGTATGCTGCGGAAAAGCCTATAAACACAGCATGGGACGGGGTTTGGTTGGTATATGGTAGCCATAGTCCCATAATCAGTATCCCACTTAGTATGGTGGAGGCACTGATTACATGAAAGATCCCAACCCTGTCGGAAAAGATAGCAGGCAGTATTCGTCCAGGGGCTGTTCCGGCACTGCCGAGACCCTATGGTAAGTTTATGTTGAAGTTGAGAAGGTGATCTTATTCAGTCTGTTTTGAGCACAACGACTCGGTGACTGGGGTAGGGGAACTCGCGGTGACGTACTTGATAATCGAAATCAACTCGATGGAAGGGCTTTGTGCTAAGCCTGCGCCTAGTGCCATACTTGGGATGAAGTTTAAAGGGCCCCAGAATCCCCACCTACAAAGATGCATTAGACGAGTAGTCAGCCAAAGCACTTGTGATGTCCAATCGTCCGCGCGCAGTTGGGGTCATTGTTCCACTCACATGGCCAAAAACGCCCCCGCCGTGTAGACAGCAAACTGCCGTTCCTTGAAGAGAGCCACATCAAACCACTTCGAATTCGGATCCCATTTCGCACGAGGCAGGCGCGCCCGGACCAGAAACAGAGCCACCGCCAGACAAGCCCCGATCAAGAGGGCCGCGTAGCGCAGGGCGCCCCGGAAGCCGACGCGCCGCTTCATCCGGTCCAGGAAGAGCGGGAACACGACCCCGCCGAGGCTGCTCCCCGAGGCGGCCAGCCCGCCGGCGAGCCCCCGGCGGCCGACGAACCACTGCGCCATGCAGACCATCCCGCTCGTGAAGACGCCGCCCGCCCCGATGCCGTACACGACGCCCTGGGAGAGGAAGATCTGGTAGTAGCGGGTGGAGAGGCTCGTCATGCACAGGCCCAGGACGCAGAGGATCGAACCCGGGACGAGGATGGGGGTGGGGCCGTAGGTGTCGATTACCCGGCCGAAGAGGGCGCCGGGGGCCCATAGGAGAGCTATCTGGATGGAGAAGATCCATGCTATGGCGTCTGGGGTGTAGTCTTGTAGTATTGTCTCTTGGTAGTGGGTTTGGAAGACGCCGATGCTGGCGGGGGCGCGGTGGAATGTCAGCATGGTTGCGAAAGCCCGACGAAACACTGTGCAACTGCGCAGTGGAATGCATGCTCTTGCTACAGGAAAGACTCACGCAGCCAGAAAGCCGAAAGTGCAGAACAGGCATAGCCAGGCCCCTGCTACGGAGAGCCAGCCCCGGAGACCCTCCTCAGGAGGTAGCTCTGGCTCAGAAGGGCTGGTCGATTCTTCTTGAGCCGTGTATTCGAGTGTTTGTAGTACCGGATCCTCGCTCGCATCTGAGGCTGGGGCTCTTTCCATGGCAGCTTCACCCATGTGGAATATCAGTGCTCGGAGGACTCTGGAAGAGGTATGCGAGACGGATGAAGGGGGGGCGACTTCAACTTGATCAGCGACGGGCCGTAATGGTGGGCTTCCCGCTCGCCGCTTACCTCGTGGCGTTCAGGCGTTCAGGGTCGATCAAAGACTTCTGCTGCTGTGGGATAGACGACACCACGCTGATTCGTTGAGTGTCCGCGGTGTATTCGACGCATGTACCTCTCGTTACTTGAACACGCTATCTCTAAGTGACTACTATGTCAATGCCCCTATATATTAGAGGATACCAACCACAAGACAGCCGCTGCGAATTCCGTGGTAGCACCAATCCGAGTGATCTTGCTTGGTCATCTCGTGGAATCCTGTTTACCCAAGAAATACACCTTCCTCTGTCGCTCGGTCTCGGCTCTCGGCATTTGATTCCTGGGACAGCACAAGTAGCTACCACTTGATGATTACAGGTTGTTGCTCCTGCCTGTTCAATTGCTGTTGTATTCCTTTGCGAACAACGTAGTAGACAGCTGCCGGCTTAAGTTATCCCGACAACAAGTGAAGTTTAGGAAGCTAAACGTTATTTTTGACGACAACATGTTTAGTTTGAAAGCTAAAATGTTATCTTTTGGCCGATGACTACCCTAGGGTACCCATATCATGCCGGCAACATGTTAAGTTTGGAAAGCTAAATGTTATTCACCCCCCCCCTTGCTTAGCGGGCTTTTGTTGTGAATTACAAGGTCTCCGTTTGAACGAATGGGTCATGGTGAGCTGACAAATCGACTAATTCGGGAATTAAATAGGTATGTGCCGGAACCAATCGATTAGGTTTCCAATACAAGAAAGTAGCCGAAACTAGTGGGGTCATTTTTTATTACCTTGGTACCTAGGTATCTTTCAACAGCACTCACGTGTAAAAGCACAAAAAGATGACACCTGGTTACGCCCGAGGGGATAATCATGTGCAATGCTACCTAGGGACCTACCCTAGGGTAACGCAAGGGGGAGACCGTAGATGAGAGAGGATTCCCAAATTCATCTCTATTTGGCGAGACCGGCGCGGAAGCAGGTTGACGCATGACTATGCAAGTGCCATCCCGATGCCTCTATACTGTTGTTGGCACCGTATTTTTGTTATTTTTTTTTTTTGAAAAAGAAATCAATAAAATAAAAAATAAAACACTGTCTTGAGCTTTTGCCACTGTATGAAGGCACCCCATACGTTTTACATGTATGGGGATTAGAAACGAAACCACAAACCACCCAATGCCTCTCAGGCTGTCCTGAAGATGTCTTCAAGAAGCACAAAGCAGCAAAGCTCTATTGATAATTACTTTACACACCTCGGACGTATACGGAATAGAAGCGAAACCACACACAAGCAACATATCCTATCCGGGTTCGTCTATGTAGGAAATACCAATCTACAACGGGTTCGTCTGTGTAGGAAATATCAATCTACAACGTGTCTACGTAGAAAATACATACCAATCTAGAACTCTGAAAACAAAAATCCCGTCTTCTTCCAGCTCTGCACAAACAATCTGATCATGTCTTCGCTCACAGGCCCCGTCCTGGCGAGGGTTGAGGAATGCTCCCTCGCATGAGCCGTTCCCATCAGTAGACCGCCACAGCTCATTCGTAGAAAATGGTCCTCCAGAAAATCCACCATCAGATGCGCCGGGTTCGCGCCCTCCGGCGTGTTGTCCCCACGCCGCGGCCACTCTCGGACACGACACAGCCACTCCTGAAACGGGATAATACCACCTCCCCCATAGGCAGGAGATATCCCCATTTCGTCCGCGAGCACGGCTAGAGTGGTAGCCCAGGGTTGCCGGACAGGATTTTCAATGTGATAGATCGGGTAGAAGTCCACACGATTGTCGTTGCCGTCGGGCTGCGTCACAATCTCCACCGTCGCCCTGGCGATATCATCAGCCGGCGTCCAGCCCATGGTCCCAGGCAGGTCGGGCAGCGCGCCGATGGTCTGCGACGACTTCAGGAGGAACGAGACGTGCTCCATGGAGTTCCAGTGGCCGTTCAGCCTGCTCCCCGCGATCTGGCCGAGACGTATGGCCGTCGCCCTGAAGCTCGCCGGGTACCGGTGCAGCGTGGCATCCAGCATGCGCTCGCAGATGTATTTCGCCTCGCCGTAGCCCGTCGGCAGGACGCTTTCTATGGGCATCCGATCCTCGGGGACGACGGGGCTGCGGGTGTGCAGGGGGTGGTAGCCGATCGTGGCGATGGACGAGACGAAGGCGAAGGATACCACCCGTCGCTGGTGACGATGACGCGCTGAGATGTGGGCTGCCAAGTTGAGCATGTTGGCATGTATGCGCAGCTGGGGCATGAAGCGCTGGACTGGCCATTTGGAGTGCATCAGCCAGGCGTTGTGGATAATGTGAGTGGTATTGTCCAGAAGGAGGCGATAGTCGTCGTCGGAGAGGCCGAGGTTGCTCTGGGCGAGGTCGGTTTCGAGCACGGATATCTTGGCCAATACGTCTTCCGGGAGATGAAATCCTTTCTTTTCGAGGGCATCCATCTGTCTAGGCCATGCGCCTTGTTTCCTGCTTGGTCGGTTCAAGCAAATGACTCTGCTGACGTCGGGTCGGAGGGCAGCTTCTGCTACGAGGTGGGCGCCCAGGCCACCGGTGCCGCCTGTGATTAAAATGCATTTATCATGGTCTCCTGTTTGATATACGTGACTTGGTTGGGAGAAGTTTGCGTCTGCGTCCTGAGCCATAGCCTGGTCGAATCCTCTTGTCAAGTCTGAGACGTATCCGATAACCATTTCTTCGCGCGCCTTGCAGTCCGGGGTAGCTCGAGCATTGAGATATGTCGCCTTCACGATCTCCAACTGGCGGCGAAGGCTGGCTGGTGTAGGTAAACGCTGGGAACTAGTCACGAAGGAGAGAGATAGTTTCAGAATAGTATCCATATTGATGAACGGGAGAAATCAAAGAGGAAGTGGTGTTTCATATAGTAATAACAATCTTGTTCGACTCACCGGCTGTTCGAACTGGCCGCCGCCAAAATGACCTTTTGAATCTCACTTTCTCCCGTCTCCCCATCCGTCCAATCCACATAGCCATACCCAACCGCAGACAAGTCCTCATCCCAGCGAGCCTCATGCACCAGTGCATGCTCGCGCCCATCATCAAACTGCCACCACCCCTCAAACAGCCCAAAGATAAGGTCAACCCAGTACGGCGTGCGCGTCATCTCCATCATCATGAGGAACCCATCCTCGCGCAACGCCTTGCGCACGTTGTCCGTGCTCACGCGCAGCGACTTGGTGGCGTGGATGGCGTTGCTCGCGATGACAAAGTGGTACTGCTCCTCTGGCTTATCGGCGGCAGACGGCGTCTTCTCGATATTGTGGGCTTGGAACTGCATCCACGGGTACTCCTTCCCCCACTTCCTGCGCGCCGCTGCCACAAACGAAGGCGACAGGTCTGTAAACGTGTACACGACAGGCAGGCCCAGCCGCGCCAGCAGAGGCACCAGGCGCTTGGTCGTCCCGCCCGTGCCGGCGCCCATCTCCATGATGCGGAGGGGATTCTCGGCGCTGAAGCCCCCGTGCCCATGGGACTGCTGGATGATGGCGGCCAGCTGCGTGAAGAACTCCTCCATCTGCTCGATTAGCACCTTGTTCAGCGGCCACTCGGCGTACCACCGGCTGACGAGCTCCTGGCCCTTCTTGCTCCCGAAGATAACCTTCACGCCGTCCGTCTCCCCCGTGAGCACCCGCGCGAGGTGCTCACCCGCGTAGGCGATAAGCTCAACCGTCCCGACCTGGTCGGGATTGCTCCGGAGCATCTGCTCGCACAGGGCGTTGCTGCTATTCTTGTCCGGCACGGGCACGGCCGTCCTCGTGATCACGGCCTGCGGGCCCCGGCCGTCGATCTTGATGATCTGCGTCGCGGTCTCCAGCTGCTTGTACATGTATGTCACGAAGCGCTCGTGCTCGGGGGCATGGCCTATGCGCGTGAGCTGCTCGCCCGGTCTCGCGGAGCGGAACCCGGCCCCCAGCGCCTCGAGGGCCTCGACGGTCAACAACACCGCCAGCTCGTCCTGCCGGGGCAGCACGGTGGATGAGTAGCTCGCCTGGCCGGCTTCTGAGATGCGCGTGTCTGTCTGCTTTTTCATCTGTGCAAATGCTTTCTGTACGGTGTCGAAGGGGAGACGGGGCCGTCCGTCATCCTTGTCCAGATCAGACACGACCTCTGGGAACGGCGTGCTCAGGCTCGAGGTGTTGGTCAGAGCCACTGCGCCGTCCGAGCTGTAAGAGGTGACGCTGGGTGTATCGCTGTCTGAGCTCTGGTTCAACTCGTCCGTTTGGCCAGGTCCTTGAAAAGCGCTTGGCTGCGAGTCTGCTGTTGATGTGTTGGCTCCGGACATACTTAAACCCATGGCTCCGGCAACGCATTTCAGCAGTCCTTGCATGTCCACAACGGACACGATCTCGGATTCTGGAAGCTCCACTTTCAAGGTCGACTCGATCTCGTTCCTCATCTCCATTCCAGCCAGTGAGTCGATACCGAGGTCGGCGAGGTCGCTGTCGTCTTTGATCTCGGCTATTTCCAAGCCGGATAAGTCTGCAATCACAGCTTTGACTTTTGCAATGAGGTCTTCAAGCTCTCCACCTTGGTTCTTCGGCTTTGAAGACTGGATCTCTGAAGCTTCTTGGGGATGGGTTACTCCGTTGGGCTGCTGAGCGTTGCTTGTTGACCGTTGTGCGGTTGTCCGCGGTAACTCGTTCGCAGCACTGTGCATGTTGACATTCGTCGACGCGGACGCAGGTGCGACCTGGGTATCTGATGTCGAAGTAGGAGAAGACTTGGCCTTCCCAGCCGCTACCCACGAAGGCTCCGTCAAGCGGATCAGCAGCTTTTCCATGGAAGCCCTTGGGATCTTCACATATGCAATACCAAGAATCACCTCCACCAGCGTCCCGCCCGCCGCATCAAAGACAAAGACGTCAGTCAACAACAGCTGCTCCGAAGCTTGATGATTCACAGCGAAGACGTCGAAAGCTGCAGGCCTCTTTTCAGCCATGTCGCTGCTCGGAACATGCCTGCGGATCCACTGGTCGATCCCATTCGCGAGATAGACGTGGCTCCCGCCGCGCTCCGTCGACATACAGTTTGCGTAAAGACCACCGAGCTGGCAAAAGGTATCAGCCAGATGCGGGTCGAAGTACGTCCCGGAAAATTTCGTCCCCGTGGTCTCCGTCGTGTTCCCATGCTTGAGGTGGACGACGTGCCCTGCCATCTCGTCGCCCCGGCACACCATCTTCTGCATGCCGCGGAACTCGGCGCCGTAGTCCACGATCTCAGAAAAGATCCGGTAGATGCTCCGATTGCCCAGGATCTCGTCTACTGGCTTGGACGACGCGGTATTTTCCAAGAGGTCCAGCGCCCGGGCGTGGCTGAAGAGTCGCTCGTATCGCACCAGCTCACGCTTCAGGTCCACATCCTCGGGCTTCCTGAACGCCATGTAGCCCTTGGTATGCAGCATTCGCGTCGTATGCGAATCGCCCGTGGTGCTAAAGACTTCGAAATACCACTTGCTGGAGGCTGGTAGGCCGTCGCTGGCCTTGGTCACCTCGAGCCACGTGCTGCGTGCCGAGTTGTAGCAGACGGGCGACTGGTACTCGACGTCCTGGATCTGCGGCTGACAGTTCGAAGCGTCATACTCGTGATTAATGCCTGAAACAGCCTCAATCACAAGTCCTATTTGCAAAGTAGCGGACAAGATGGGTGCAGTCTGCAGGGTAAGATGGCCTTGCAGGAGTTGCTTGTACTTGTCCAGGGATGTGTTCACATGGAATCGGGCTTGTTTCTGCTCCACACCGTCTTGGAACCCTACGAAGGTTAGGATTTGATCTGGCCGCTTATCCGAGTCCTTCGAGGTTCCGTCCCTGGCATCCTCGCCGACTGGTGCAGGCAAAGCTTTGGGTGGCACCTTCAAATCCAACCAGTGCCGTGACTCTGGGTCAAATTGGTAGGGAGGCAGGAACAAAGGTTTGATATCTGTCTGGTATCTTGGCTGGGTGCCATGGTGTGCCCAGTGCTGGACCCGCACACCTGCTTTCCAGAGAGCCATGGTAGTATCAGTCAGCTTGTTCCAGCCGTCGTCGCAATTGGCCATGTTGAGGCCGTGGAACAGGAGAGAGGGGGCATTGGTGCCCAGATTCACGTTAGCCATAGCTCGAGCCGCCATGGTAGTGACCGTGGAATTGGTTCCCGCTTCGAGAAACACGCAGTCAGACAGTGCTTCAGAAGACAAGGAGCCGTCTGCACAGCGCCGCGCCAGTCGCTCCAAAGCGTGGTGGAAATACACGGGGTCGCGCATGTGGTCTGCAACAAAACGACCTGTCAGTTCGCTTGCGCTGGTGCTTCGCTCCGTGGTCAACTCGATGGGAATCGTGGGTTTGCGGAAGGTCACTCCAGAACTGGCAGCACATTGCGCCAGTTCGTCGTATAAAGGGTCGACGAGAACGGAGTGAAAAGCATTGGTGACGTGGAGTCTCTTGGCTTTCAAATTTCCGTACATGTTTTTACCCTTTTCCAGTTGCTCTGAAACGGCATCCATGGCAGCTACCGGGCCTGCAAGCGTGAAGCTCCTCGGGCCATTGTAACAAGCGATGGTAGCAGGCTTGTCTGCGTGGTTCTTGTTCGCGTCGTGGAGGAGCCGCTGTACGCTGTCGAGATCCGCTTCCACTGCCATCATGGCACCCTTGTCAGGGCCCCAGGTATCACGGACCAGTGTCGCGCGGCGCACGATGACCTTGAGTGTATCCTCGACTGAAAGTATGCCGGAAATACACAGCGCCGTGAGTGTGCCGAAACTGTGGCCAACCACCGCGGTAGGCTTCACACCTGAGTCCATCCAGCTCCGTGCGCAGGCATATTGTATGGAAAATAGCATTGTCTGGAGATGGACGGTGTCGACGTTTGATGGTGGCATGCGATCGAATATACCTGGGAAAATGCTAGGGAATCCCAAATTTTGTATGACCGCGTCGACTTGGTCGAGGTGGTGGCGCAGAAGTGCTATACTTTCATAGACTTGCCTGTCAAGGCCTATGTGGCTAGAAATCTGCCCACCAAAACATAAGATCACTTTTGCCGGGCCCTTGGAGGAAGTCGAAGTTGCTTTGGAGACAGACGTATCGCTGTCCGCCTCATAGCTAGACAGATTCTGTTCGAGCTCGCCTATAGACCTGGCAGTGAAGACCAGGCTAGCATCAAATGTACGATTGCTCTGATATGCGACATTGAACGAGAGACTAGGCAGCGACAGAGCTCTCGAGGAGCGTCTGATGAAACTTCGTAAAGCTCCTACGTAGCGGCTCAAGCTCTTCTTATCGGAGGCGGTAAGCCAAAAAGGGTATTTCACACCGTCTGGCGATCGGATAGCTGTGACGAGCTCGGGTTCTGGCGAAGGTGGCTGTACAATGACGGCAGAAGCATTCGATCCCGAGGCACCATAATTATTGATGAGGGCAGCGCGAAAGCCGCCTTGGGGCACCACCCACGGCTGAGGTCGGGTAGGGATGAACATGTGGTCAGCGGGCGTGGCGTGAAGAGCCGGGTTGATCGTTTCGAAGTTGGCCTGCGGCGGCAGCGTCCCCTTATTCACCATCAACAGTATCTTGATCAGACTGATGATCCCCGACGCGCACTCCATGTGGCCAACCAGCCCCTTGACGGAGCTCACCATGAGCGGCTTGTCTGGCCCGCGGTGCGCACTGCCCCCGAGGGCCTTCCGGATCCCGTCGTACTCGGCGGGGTCTCCCACCGCCGTCCCGGTGCCGTGAGCCTCGACGACGGAGATATGCGACGGCTTGACGCGGGCTTTTGCCATGACCTTGGTGAACAAGCTCTCCAGAGAAGGCCCGTTGGGGACGAAAATTGGCGTGCAGTTCTGGTTCTGCTGCACGCCCGTCGCAGCAATGACGCCGAAGATTTGGTCACCATCTGCCACGGCCTTGCTCATTTTCTTCAAATAAACAGCGCCGACGCCCTCTCCGCGACAGTACCCGTCGGCTCTAGCATCGAAGGGCTTACACGGGCCCGTGGGGCTCAAGAACGACCCCCCAGCCAGGTTCTGAAACCACGTGGCAGAAGTCATGATGTGCGTGCCACCCGCCAGCGCAGCCTCGCACTCGCCAGACAAGATGGCCTGGGACGCCTGGTGGACAGCGACCAGCGACGAGCTACAAGCCGTGTTGATCGTGACCGCAGGCCCCGTCCAGCCGAAGAAATGGGAGATCTTGCCCGAGATAAACCCTTGCAGGTTTCCCGTCGCCGTGAAGGCGTTGGCCGGGTGCGAGGCGACGTTGCTGTCGTAGTCTCCCAGACACAAACCCACAAAGCAGCCAATCTCCTTCTGCTCTCCACGTGGCTCGCGATGGGAGGATGAGGCCGGGCTGGGGCTGTTGAAGTAGCCGCTCTGCTCGACGGCCTGGTAGGCGACCTGGAGGATGTGGCGCTGCTGCGGGTCCATGGAGGCGCTCTCGCGCGCCGACTTCTTGAAGAATCGGTGGTCAAACTGGTCGTGGCCGTCGACGAGGTTGGCAAACCACCGCCTCCGGCCTTCGGCTTTCGCCGTCCCGTGCTCACCCCCGGAGGCACTTCGAAATAGAGTGTCTTCAAAGTTGAAACGATCCTCGGGCCCGCCGGTCGACGGGTTCCCGTTGAGGTCTCGGTGCTGCGACTGCCCTGAGAGGAGCAAGTCCCAGAAATCTTCGAGATTGTCGGCTCCCGGAACCTTGCAGGCCATGCCCACCACGGCGATGTCATTGTCTGACCATGGGCGGCTAAGTTCGGATCGACCAGACAGATCTGTAAGTGGCTTGATTGCTTTGGAGTTGCCAGTGCCTGTCGTGACATCAACCGTGGAGGCAAGGGAGGGCGGCACAGAACTCCTGGGGCCAAAGTCGACGATTTGAACTCGTCCGCCAGTCGACCCCAAGCTGGCTTGGGTCGTCGCAGCAGAGAACGTTTCGAACCACTCAGCCGGTTCGAGCAAGATGGATCGGAGCGCGTGGGCGTGCAACGGGCTCTGGGTGAGAAGACTTCCGGACTTGTCGTTGGCTCGGGTAGCGAGCGGGATGGAGGAAGCATCTGGGAGTCGAAACTTGGCGCCGGCGGCCGACTCGCAAAAGTCTAGGAGGTGGTCCACGAGGGCTCCCCGCGACTTGTTATTGCCCAGTGAGTGGAAACGACCGTAGAGACCAATTTCTGAGGCGGTGAGGCCTGCAATTTGGAGTTGGCGGGTCAGCTTGGAGGCGGTGTCGGCATTCGTAGTGATTGTAGCACGATCCCTATCGTAGTGCACCGAAATGTGTGCCTATGATTTCCACATGTTAGAATAAAAAGGATGCATGCCCTGTTGATGGCAGGTCTGAAGCTCACCTCGTCAAAGCTCTTCACGACGTTGAGCATAGCAGTATATTTATCTTCAGAATTCCACGCTGCGCTCACAGAACGGTATCTTCCTTTGTTTGCTGCGGCGTCTTCGCTGTCTACAACCAAGCCGACGAGCATGCCGAGGCGGGCGGCGGCGGCGCCATATTTGCGAAACTCTGCATCATTGTTCGTACTCGCCACGGCAAAGGCACCTAACAGACCCGTGCAAAGTCCAAGCGTCTCCTTCACTCCATCCAGACCTGTATCAGACTGTCGCTTGAAATTGGCATAGTGTGCCAGTTGTGTGATTACCGCAAGGGGGATGAGTACGGCATTGGGCAAGGGCAAGATGATATTTGCAAAAGACCCAGCCGAACAGAAATCTGAAACCACATCTGAAAGCGACCGGCGAATTGTTGATACTGTTGCTTGGTTAAGGAATGGCAACTGTGACAGGACCGTCTCACAGTCTTGTGGCAGCGTCCTAATCAAGTCGATCATCCACGTGTTGTCCTCGTGCTCTAGCACTACAGCACGTAGGTGGTTCAACGTCGAGGCATCGGTTGAGAGTGCGAGTGCCCCGAAAAGCAGCAGGGTATTGTCGCATGTCTTCTTGGTTTGGTCTTGAACTGCCATGTTGAAGAGAGTTCTGGGGGGAATGAAAGAGGCGGAAGATTATCACACTCTGAATCCTAGGCCCTCGTCCTAATTTCCCTTCACAGAGCCGAGCATCAGAACAAAGAACCTCACATGGACGACCGCGCGAGGACTATTTGAGTCTTCCTCTGTCATCACCTCGCTCATAACATATTGATATGACTTCCTCCCAGCTAACAACTATCCACCCTCCTGATAGTCAGCTTATTTCCGTATTCGGGAGGTCAAGTAACCTTCACCCACTCTCTAATCGATTTGTGGGGCCGTTGTGGGGCTCCTAAGTTTATCCCGGATTCTTTTTCTGTTCCTTCCGAGCATATGCTTTTCTGACTCATCCTCTTGCCATCGGATTACTAGTTGTTCTAGGGACACTTACTTCTTGGCTGGCCTTAGCGTCCTTCGGGCACTATTTTCTGAGACCGGAGATTTGCGCACCCTTTTTCCGAGGCTGCACACCTATAGACCCACCAAAGTTAAGTGCCTCCTGTTAACTCTATAAAAATCATAAAACGAAAAGAAAGCCTCGGGGTCGGTAGGGCAAAGAGAGTGAGCCCCGAAGTATAGCGCAGGGACGTAAGTAGGGCCGGTAGGCATGACACGAGCGTAGATAACGAACCTACCTCCTTCGTGTTGCTCTAGATTACGAAGAAGTCGGTACCTGTCTAGGCTCTAATTGGATGGAGAGTTTTGCTTACTCAGAAATGGGTTCGGGAATTTCTTACTCTAAGCGTGTGAGTGCCGTAGGTCAAGGATTACTGGGCTGGGGTGCTTCCATCCCATAACTTATTGATGGAGGCGCGATCGCCGCACCTTTTGCCAGGAAAGGAAAATGCCCAGTGCTAGTCAACTACTTTCCAAAAAAAATTGGCTTCGAAGGGGTACCGATGCGGAATTTGGAAAGTGTACTAGGACGGCGTGAAAATATACTCCGATAGCAATGTTGCTCCGAGAAAGGATTCTCGGAGACCAGAGACTGATTGTTTGCCCATTGATTCATAGCTACGTACCTTGTAGTAATAGAAGACAGAAGATCAACGTCTCTAGTCCAGCACCCAAATTAGTGCTAGGAAGAGTGATAGCTGAATATGCACTATTCGTCTTCATTTTCTTACAGATAGAGGCGTTTCAATTACCAGTGGCCATCTCTGCTATCACACAATGACATGATATTACGTGGAAAGCACCCACGTATATGAGTGTCGCAGACAACCTGCGATGGTTTCTATTCCCCGGATGGGCTAGGCTAGGATTCACTGTCACACCAATATCTGTGGAACATTCAAGCACGAGAACTGGTCTAAATGTCCGATGTCTCGGCCGTCCTCCAAGCTTGAACGAGTCTTGATCAACCACCTGGGCAGACCGGATGTTCTCAGTCTCCTAAATCTTCACCCACATTCTCTTTTTTACGATATTCTCTTTGTTGCGCCTTGATTATCCAGCAACCAGCTTGGAAGGATCCCTTATTGCGCCGCCATCATGCCCACCGAGCAAGTGATTAACGACAGCCCGGAAGGGAACCTGGAGATCGGTATCGTGGGAGGTGGTATAGTTGGCTTAATACTCGCGCTGGGCTTGACCCGACGGAAAACAGCCGTTCGTGTGTACGAGCAAGCGGCTGGATTCCGTGAAATTGGTGCAGGCATTGCCTTCTCCGCGTGCGCGCGTCACTGCAGTGCGTGATACAAAGCGCCATCTTGGCACAGATTCTGTCCCCTCCCCTACCTTTCGCCTTTTCCAGCGGAAACTCTTACCATGACCTGCCATGTCCCTCCTCTAACATTTTCGTATCTTGATGTAGTGGATCTTGTAAACCCCGCAATCTTACAGGCTCTCGGACGCTGCGGTGCAGTTCCAGTTTCTGACGCGGACGACGAGGATGATTACCTGCGGTGGATCGACGGCTTCAACCACCACCGCTCCGAGGATCCTGCCTACCAGCGACCGCTGGCCCAGATTGGGGGCGCTGGCTTCCGAGGGTTTCGACGTGACCAATTCCTTGAAGAGCTGGTTAAGGAGGTGCCCCCCGGCGTGATCGAGCTTGGCAAGCGTCTAAAGAAGATCGATGAGAATCCAGATAATGGGAGAGTTGTGCTCACATTTTGTGATGGGACAAGTGATGAACTTGATGCCGGTCCGTCTCTGCCCTAACTACATACATTTGTTACTTACCCAGCTGAGTATTTGTGATCTAACTTGAACGACTTCCAGTCATTGGCTGCGATGGGATAAAATCGACCACCCGAAAGCACATGCTCGGCCCGAAAAACCCGGCCTCATACGCACAGTACACCCATAAAGTAGCATACCGCGGTCTTGTCCCGATGGACCGCGCAACGGCCGTGCTGGGCGCCTGGAAAGCCAACAACTTCCACCACCACGTTGGGCCCGGAGCACACCTCACACACTACCCCGTCGCAAACAACACAGCCCTCAACGTCGTAGTCTTCCTCTCGGACGACGAGCCCTGGCCCTCCTCGGACGACAACAGCATGGTCTCCGAGGGCACGCGGGACGAGGTCCAGGCCGCGCTGAAGGACTGGCACCCGACAGTCCTGGGCCTTGTAGGGCTACTTCCCGAGAAGCTGATCAAGTGGGCGTTGTTTGATCTTGGCGACTTCCCTGTGCCGCGATATAATGATGGTACCGTTTGTCTTGCGGGCGATGCGGCGCATGCGTCAAGTCCTCACCATGGCGCGAGTGCCTGTCTGGGGGTGAGTAGAATCTTACCCACCACTTCGGCCTGTTTCTTGATTTGGATAGGGTGGCTGACGGTGTTTGCTTGCAAGGTCGAGGATGCACTCTGTTTAACTACACTCCTGAATCGAGTCGTCGAGACGGCCAACGCAAAAGGTTCCGCTGGCGAGCGCTCTGAGCTACGCGCCGCCCTGGAGACCGCCTTCGAAACTTTTGACAATCTCCGTCGAAAGCGTACGCAGTGGCTCGTAAATAGCAGCCGCCGTGTCTGTGATCTGTACCATCAAGCTGAGTGGGCAGATCCGAAAAGGTGGGCTAAGGCGGACACGTGTTTTGAGGAACTTAGGGATCGCTCGTATAAGATCTGGAACTTTGATGCCGACAATATGGTCCGACAGAGTGTGGCAGAGTATGACCTCCGGCTTGGTAAGGCGAATGGCTCCAACGGTCTCAACGGTATTTCGGGGGTGGTCGATGAGAAGGGTGGCTACGTCTTGTAGTTTTGATTGATCATTTTTTGAGATCTACACATGAAAACTCTCGGCCGTGCTTTAATGCGTGTCTATACGATCTGGTCTGAAGGCATGTCACGAATCAGGATAGGCTTGCTTGGGCCATATGTTGCTGCTCGTGTATGTAACGTTATTCATGCAGGCCCAGGGCAAATTAATCATGCGCTGTTCATACTCCGTTGGTCGACTCTCATTCAGAGGGCATTTGCATTACTGAATCCGTTTGACCGATGCTCATAAAAAATCAGAGAACTACACGAACTTAAAGCGACTTGACTCGGGATGATTATCATTTCTGTGAAGGGGGGTGGTACCCTTACCTTGGGCAGCGATTGGATGGAACCAGGCTGCCTGCTTATGACTGTTGATCTGTCAAGTTCCAACCTTGGAGCAATGTGCATACGAATCAACCATGGCCAGAGCATCAACGATATTTTTTGAGGCTGACGCTTAACACTCGGGACATGCAAAAAACTGTATGCAGATTGTTCGGCGAGTGAGAGAAACATTTATTGATTGTTTTGTTCCCCCTCCTACCAACTCAATCTCCGCAGACATTTAACCCCATCAGGCTAAAACTTAAGGTCCCGGCCTAGATGGCCTTCCTGAAGGCGCAAAGAAATGGTGAACAAGTCACCTTTTCGAGATCCCAAACCCCGCTAGTCGCATACGGATTATCGCCAAGCCATTGGTACATTTCCTCCTCGCTTTTGGCCTTCCAGACCATGATGCTCCCTGTCACTGTAGGAGGCGTTCCAGAGCCATCGGGGAGGGCCTCGACAGTGGGCCCAGCCAGAACCATGTTGCCGGCGTCGATATGCGTCTTGTTGTAAGCCAGGTGGGCACCCATGTGGTCCTTGCGCGCCTGAGCGGCCTGCGCGCCGGGCTTATCCGGGACTTGGATCAGCCAGTTTGGTTCGGGCGTGGTAGCCATCTCTAAGGAAATGCAGTGACTGATGCCTGATTTACCCCCTGAATAAATGGTTTGAGTATGGGATTATTGGAAAGAGTTTCCTTGTGGATGGATTGCAGCAGCACCGTGGTGAAGAGACTTGGTAAGTCCAGAAGACTATTAAATGCTGCTGACACCTTGGCAGCACAAGATACCTACCGAGTAAGTTATTACCCGCATCACAATGCCGAGCGGGCGTTCAAGACTTTATTGACCCTATAGGGTACGGAGCACCGCGCAGTGGCAAAGACATATTCCAGGCTTGGCTTATTCGGGCTCCAATCGGCCAATTCCAACTCAAAAAGTCTCCGAAAACGAGAAACATCACTAAATATTGATCTTCACGGCGAATAAATTTCAAAAGTAGATTATTAGTCCTATTACGCTAGGGTATGGTATCGCTTTTGATCATACGGGGATAGGCAAACACGGCCCATCTATAGAAGCAAACATAATTACTCCGGTGGAATTACTGTTTCGTACTGTTTCCACATTCGCGCATCCATTCCAGTTCACCCACCAGGAGGAGGTTTCCCAAAATGACATCGTCTCAGGACAAGATTGTCGTTCTCATCACCGGTGCTAACACCGGATTAGGTCAGGCTCCACATGCCACCCTGCTGCGAAAGTTCTGGCTCACTCACCACGCAGGCATACCCCAGGTTTTGAAATAGCGAAAGCGCTTTTTGCCCGTCCCAACTCTTACCATATTCTTGTTGGGTGCCGGGGTGACGTTAGCCGTGCGACTCATAGCATATCTAAGCTCAAGCAGATTTCGCCGAACAGCTCATCGACAGCTGAGCCGCTCTCCATAGATATCACGTCTGATGAATCCATCGCCACAGCTTTCCAACAGGTTGAGCAGAAAGTTGGTCATGTAGATGTGCTTGTGAATAATGCCGGTGGGTTTCCCCAAGCCCCTTCCGTATTTTACATTTTCTTGCATCCTCGTCATGAATCAACATTTCTCACAAGAGTACAACTAGGTGCCGATTTTGACAAGGCTACTGAGTCTGGTGAACTCACCGCTCGTGAGGGCTGGAACCAGACCTACGACGTCAATGTGACAGGAACGCACTTATTCACCGCCGCTTTTGCTCCGCTGCTCCTTCGCTCCACGGCCAAACCCCCGCGACTTCTGTTCATCACCAGTGGCCTGGCGTCAGTAGAAGAGCATTCGAATGGCACGAGTTCCAAGTATGCTCTTGCTCCAGCCGGCGAGTGGCCCAAACCAAAGTCGCTTTGGATCCCATACCGCGTCAGCAAGACTGCTTTGAATATGCTTGCGGTCGAGTGGGGTCGGCTACTACACAATGATGATGTAGCGGTGTTTAATATCTCCCCTGGGTTTCTGGACACGGGTTTAGGCCACAATCGCAGTACTGGTGAGAAGTGCGACAAAGGTGCTATGGGTGCCATTGACCCGGCGATAGGAGGTAGCTTCTGCGCGGATGTTGTTGAGGGGATCAGGGACGAGCGGGCGTGGCCTATGGCGACCATGAGAAGGGACAGTATCCAGCCGTGGTAGAGCGACTCAAGATTGTTCAGGTAGCTCAGAATTCATTCAAGACACTCCCTTCGAAATTTCCTCCATCCTCACTCGCTGTCGCTTCCTGATAGATGGCCATTTGTATCACTATGGCGATCGATGAAAAGATAGTGTTATCAAACCGTTTTCTGTGTATTTAGATAGTATTTTGATATTATAATATAATTGAAACACTATATTCTAAGATTTAGCTTCGGCCATATTATATTTTTCCTTTACACTATATAACTATCTTTTAGTTTAACTACTTATTTCTTCCCTAATAATCTAAAGCTTATATATAAAATTTTTAATAACTTTATATATAACCTTATAGTTCTTTTAAAAAGGAACTTTAAATCTACTCTTTTCTTTATTTTTATTATATTTTTTTATATTATTAAGGAGTTAGTAGTTATTAGTAATAAGAGTATAAATTTAAAAGAATAAGTTTATTATACTCTTTCTTTATCTTTTATAAATTATTTTTAAAACTTTCTTTAAAAGTTTTAATACTTTATTATAAAAGTCTTAAAAATAATATATTATAAATTATTTCTTTATTTTAAATTCTTTTAAAATTAATTATATACTTAAATAAAGATTATAATATTAAACTTTATAAACTTACTTAATAAAGGTTTTATTAATATATATATATATATATATATATATATATATATTTAAAGAGATAATTTTAGTTAAACTTCCTTAATATAATTTATTTATATAGTAATTATTTTTAAAACCTAATCTTATTATATAACTCCTTTATAATATTCTAATTAATATTATTATTAAAATAATACCTTTTAACCTTATTTATATATTATAAAGTTAAGACTATAAGTATCTATTATATTATAATTATTATTATTAATATTATATTCTTTTTAAGTATTAAGTTTTAAATACTTACTATTATATAAAGGTGCTATATATATCCTTAAATATATATAAAATAGAAGTAAAACTATATATTCTAAGATTTAAATTGGATTTAATATGCTAGGTTAGGAAGTAGATCTGTTTATACTGTGCACTAAAAAATCCATGGGCGGTCGGAATCAGGGGTGGTTCGGAATGTGGGCCGGGTACGTTACATAAGTGGACAAACGATTAGTGTTTGGTCTCCGAGAAGCCTTTCTCGGAGCAACTATCGGGGCATATTTTTGCAAGCACTAACATGAGGTGCTCTCAGCTTACGGGCTGGACAACGTCATGGGATTTGTAGGTACCATCTAGCTATTTTCGTCTCTCTTAATTTCACCTAGAGGCTATCGGGACACTGATTATTGCAGGGCGTGCAATTTTCAGAATCAAATCCAGGGCGTCCTTCGGTGATCTGATTCCTATCATCGCGTCATCACTGGTCTGGACCCAACCAGACTCGTCTGTATAAATCACGGGCTCTGAGAAGGAAACATGCCCTGCACTATTCGTCACCAAGACACCTAAGCCGCGATATATGCGCACCTTTTGGAAGTCACATTACTAGACACTAGAACAGACACTAATTAGTCAACATGGGTATCACTACGGAGACCGCGACAATCCCGACAGTCGACATCGGGCCCATCCTCGACCCCAAATCAACCAAAGAAGCCCGTCGCACGGTTGTTGAGGCCTTGTCCAATGCCTGTCATGTGTACGGATTCTTCAACCTGGTTGGACATGGGATTCCCAAAGAGTCGCTTCAGGAGGCCTTTGAGGTCAACAAGATGTTCTTCGCCCTTCCCGAAGACAAGAAGATGGAGGTGGCAATCTCTAAGTCCGTCGGCCGGTCTTTCCGGGGCTATGAGCCTGCCGGAATCCAGACGCACCATAAGGGCCTTCTACCTGACACCAAGGAGGTATGTACGGCTCACTCCCGCAGAAGGAGATGCTACTATTATCCATGTTATGAAAACTAACACACAGTGCCGCGAATCAGACCTTCATGGTCGGCCGCGAAGTGCCCCTCGATGACCCAGACTGCGGATCCTTCTCAACAGGCCCGAACCTCTGGCCTTCATGTCTGCCCAAAGAGAAATTCCAGGACAGGGTCATGGAGTACCAGGCAAAAATGCTCGACCTTGTGAGAATCATACTCGACATCCTGGCCCAAGGCCTTCCTTCGGAATGGGGATGCCCGCCCACCGTCTTCGACACCCTTCTTGAGGAGCCGTCGATCCCCATGCGATTCCTGCACTACGGCCCCGTACCGTCCCAGGACGCTCGTCAGTTCGGTGGTAAGTGCAAGTGCTAAACTACCCGCATAGATGAACGCCTTTGATGCGGGCTGGCTCCAAATGGCAAATGCGTGCGCGTTGAAATTGACCGTTTCAAATTTCTAGTCGCCGACCACACCGACTTCGGATGCGTCTCTATCCTCCTTCAGGAGCCCGGAACGACGGGGCTCGAGGTATACTACCCGCCTGCTGACCAATGGGTGCCCGTTCCCGTGCTAGACGATGGCTTCGTCATCAACATGGGCGACATGATGCAGAAATACACCGGTGGTTACTACCGCAGCGCCCGCCACCGCGTTCTGACCAACAAGGAGAAGCATCGACACAGCATCGCATTCTTCCTTAATGGAAACCTGAAGCTCAATGCCAAGGCGCTCGACGGATCTGGGGTCGAGACGGTGGTGGGTGACCATATACGCGGCCGCCTCATTGATACTATGGGCGAGACGGGCAAGTTACTCAAGCGTGAGGTTGCACCTGTTTCGACATGAGATGTGCCCATAGCCTCGATTTATGTTCATCTACGAAATAAAATAGATCACACAATTCCACTGTCACTCTCACTTTACCACCATCGTTTTTATTTCCTCTTGGTGACGCTCCAACGTGCTATAAAATGGAAGACAACGGTCCAACAGATATGACCGTCAGACTAATCATATTGAAAGTGGATTGGATTCTCGGATGGTACTTCAGTCAGGTAAACTTACAACTGCATAGGTACAGACGCTCGTCTCCTAAGCTTCAAATTTTAGCAGGAAGTAAAGGATACTCCACCTCGTAAAACTAGTGCCAGGGCTTTTTTTAGAATAAGGTTTGCGGGGGCCAGGGATTATTCGGAAAGAATGACATAGTAAAAACAGACGCTGATGGATTCGCGAGATAATCATTTCAACTTCTGCATTCTAGGAGCAAGCACTAGTGTCTTACCTGCAGACCCCTCAAACAGACACGGCAAGTTTATTCACCGGAAACTAACTTCGGATAATAATTTAAGTAACCGCGTGAATTGAGTGGTCGGAATGCTGAGTGAGACGAATTAAGCATCTGAAATCCCTTGTCCCAGGTCATCATCGAATGACTGTGGGGTTGCAACCGCAGGCTCCCCCCCCCCCTGCTTTTTTGAACTCGGGCACAGCAAAGTCGGGAGTCTATTGAAATTCCCCTCGCATTCGTTGATGGAGAAATGACCTCGGGAACCATTCGAAAACCATGTAGAAGCGTAGAAGCATATCTTTGACTTCCCTATGAGAACAACTCATTCTAAATATTCTCCTTTCTACCACAGAGCGCACTTGGAACATTGAAGCCCGTCTCAGCAGGCATAATGGTGACCCTAACTACAGCCCTCGCCTCACCGTGGGAGACCATCATCATCTTTGCCACAATGCTTGGCATTGTGTGTCACCAGACGATACGTCCCTTTGAGGTCGACAGCCATGGATGGGAGATGATAATTACCTTCCTGAGTGTGCTAAGCGGGCTTGTCGTGGGCTACGTTGTGTCCGCAGAATTCGATCTTGCGGATGCCCTTTTACGCGCTAGTTGCGCTGCCCTGGCGTTCCTCACAGGCTTGTACGGTAGCATCCTCATTTACCGGGCATTCTTCCATCGACTCCGTGGATTTTCTGGTCCTTTCACGGCGCGTCTGTCCAAGTTGTATCAGTAAGTTGGAGACAGCATCAAATACAGATACTCTGTAGTTTTCTCAAAGAGACACAATGATTTACTAATTACAAATGTTAATTAGCTTTGTGTACATGTCGGGCACAAACATGCAATATCATCTGCATCTTCAAGGGCTGAACACTCGCTACGGAGACTTTGTTCGCACCGGACCACGCGAGCTCACCATCATGCGCGCATCGGCCGTGGATCTCATTTACGGTCCAACCTCAAAATGCACAAAGAGCACCTGGTATGATCAGAACTCTGGAAACGCCGACAAGGTTGGCATCGAAAATGTCCGTGACAAAGCGAAGCACGGAACCCGGAGGCGTGTGTGGGATAAGGCGCTTGGTTTTCGAGGTATAGTGAAGTCGACTCCTCTAAACTTGGCGGTCCTGACTTTCCGACATCTGACCTCTCTCTTGTAGCTCTTCCAACGTATGAGAGCCGTGTTAAAGACAAGGTGGACCGGTTGATGACGAGATTCAGCACCGGGAAGCCTCTAAACGTGACCCAGGAGAATGTTTTCTACGCCTGGGATGTCATGGGCGACATCGCTTTCTCAACTCAGTTTGATATGCTCAGGTAAAGTAATACTCAGTGTCCTATTGCAACCAGTAAATTCACGTCATAGTGGCTAAGATATAAATTTATCACAGCACTGGGGTCCAGCACTCTGCCGTAGATGGTCTACACTGGGCCATGGCAACAGCAGGTTTGATTACAACCCTGCCATGGCTCATGAACATGCTTCGGGTTATCCCAGGGGCAACAGGAAAGTTTGAACAATTTGCCTCATGGTGCTACGAACAACTCAGGCTCAAACAACATCAATTGGCCTCAGAAAAGTCCACAGGTGAAACAGAACAGCGCGACGTCATGTCTTGGCTTATCCAGGCACAACAAAGAGGTGACCGCGCCGCGCCTCCGACAGAGTCAGCGATTCGGGAAGATGCCCGCACCCTGATATCTGCGGGGAGGTCAGTTCAGTTCCGTTCCGTCGTCTGTCCCTGGCCCGTCTTGTCTTATGGATTACATTGAGCCGATCATGCTAATATTCTCATACTCATGTAGCGACACCGTGGCAATTGCCTTTACAAATTGGTAAGTGGGGCTTTCACCCCCATGCCTTTCCCTGATGAGATTTATCGGATTGGGGCTTACAAAAGGATCTCCCATGCAGCCTCTACTTTCTGGCAAAGAACCCTCCAGCATACAGCAAACTCCGACACGTGGTGTCAGATGAATTTCCCTCCGGATATAGCTCCTGGACCTACGAAAAGGCCAAAGGTATCCGCTACATAGACCATCTCATCCACGAGACACTTCGACTCCGGCCCCCGGTCCCAATGGGGTTTCTACGGGAGACCCCACCCGAGGGCTTGCAGATTGATGAGGTCTTCGTCCCCGGCAATGTCAACGTCAACGTGCCCATATGGGCCATTCACAGAGATGAGCGTTATTTTCCCCGCGCAGCCGAATTCATTCCCGAGAGGTGGCAGACCCTGTCGCCCGAGTCGTCAGCCTCGGCGTACATGCCGTTCCAGAGGGGTGGGTTTGCGTGCGTTGGTAAGGCCATGGCGATGATGCAGTTGCGGATGCTGATCAGCTGCCTTGCTCTTCGGTATCAGGCTATTAGCTTTGCGCCGGGGGACGACGGCGAGGGGTTTTGGAACGAGGCAAAGGAGACAATGACGCTGTGGCTTCCGCCGCTGCAGCTTGCTTTTGAGTCCGTGGACCAGGGAACGACTGCTGCCACAACTTAGACAAGATCGTTAACGGCGATATGCCTAGTTTCGCTTCTATCAGTATACGTCCCAGGACATAACGGCGATATGAGTTGGGAAGTTAAATGTGGTAGTTAGCGCAATGAATCGCGCACTTGCTCGTCTTCAATCCTACGCAGTTCTGGCTTGTCAAAAGTCCAAACACTCCCTCTATGGTCATCTATGCTGAAATGGAACTCCGTTTCTCGCTTATGTGTGAGCGAAAGAAAATTAAGAAGGGTCTGTACAAGGAGAATGTTGAAGGCTTTCTTAGATATACACTCAGCAACCATTTTCTATCGATCGTGTGTCTCCGAGCAGGAACCGGATGTCATTATTGTTTGTATTCCAGGGCTGATATGTGAGCCAGCCAGGCGGAATTCAGGATAATATCTCAAAAAACGTATTCCCCGGGCTCAAAGTTCACTATAGGAGATCAAGCAGATCACCTTTCGTCAGAGGTGTTGGAAATGAGAGCTGAAAATAGAGTCGGATTAAAGGGCCTTTTCTGAGGTTCTCAAGACATCACTAAACAGGCAAGGAATGTGAGTGTGTCATGCTTTAATTTTTTCCTCTACCTAGGTAGCTGGTAAGATTTCTTCCGATATCGCCATGAATCTTGGGTTGACCTGCAGTCTAATAGACCTGCTTAGGCGGGGGGAAGAAGGGGAGCTGCCAATTAAATTCGTTATACAAAGGAAAAGTTAAAGTGACCACTGAAGTTCACAGGTATAAAACATGTTCAAGTTCATAAAAGAATGCAATACCAGTCAATCCGCATACTCTTGTGCGTCAAACCCCAAGGCCACAATGATGCTCACAACTTCCTCTTCCCCTTGGGCATCCTGGCAACCCAGTACAACAACATAGCCGCCGCAATGTTGAAAACCACGTAGGCCCACATGATGCCGAAGTTCCTCCAGCGCGTGGAGTAGTCCGCACCGATGCCAGACAAGTATGTATTTGTCTCCTTGACCTTGCAATACTGGCAGTTGCTGGTAGCGTTATTATCGAGCAAATACCCACCAGCCTGGGAGATATATTCCCCCAGATACTCGCCACAGGTCTGACTGTCAGGCGGATGCAGCGTGGTAAACTCGTTGGACGCACAGGTTACGTCAACGTTTGCGAGACCAGTCGATAATACCGCCGAAACGTAATACGACAAGGGCGACGCACGATACAAGAAGATCCAGAAGCGAGGCATCTGTTCCGGCGAGGCGAGCACGCCGCAGAAGAAGAAGGCGAGCACGAACATGAAGTTCGCCACGTTCCCGCCGTCGTCTGCCGAGGACACAAAGGAGATGCAGAAATGCCCAAACGTTGAGACCCAGAGCAGAAATACCAGGAAAAGCAGCCACGCGAGGGCGCCGCGCTCAGTGCCCTGGTCGGCGGCCTCGGCATTTTTGTAAAAGCCCACGGGGAAATAGAAGAGAGCCCACATGAAGACTGAGGCGACGGCGTAGTAGGGGATTTCCGAGAGGATCTGGGACATCATGAACACCTTCCAACTATAGGTCTTGGCGGGCCGCTCGCGCACTTCATAGAGGGAGCGCTGTTCAATGAAATGGGGCATCTGCTGGTCAACAAGTTGGCCAACAATGCTCATGAGCTCAAATATTGCGAACATCTGGTTCTGGAGCCCCTGGATGCTGAGGGGAGAGTCGAGGAACACCAGGCCGATGAACAAGCTTGTCGCTACGCAGAGTGCCATCTTTGAGTAAATGTACGAGGGCGTCCGCCACCCTTGCTCAAACGTTCTCTTTGACACGATGAGAAACTGATCCCACAACGGGACCGCGAACTCTTCGTATGACGCCGCTTCAACCTCTCCGTTGTCCATGTCTTTGTTCCGGTCCTTTTTGCCAGACTTTGAATTTTGTGACCGGAGATGGTCCAATTCGTCTTGCACATGGAGGTACTCGGGACTGGCCCGCCATATCTTGTGCCAGTCGACCTCTGAGGTGCTGCCAGGGCTGGCACCAATGGCGTCGAGCATCCATTCTGCTGGATTGGCGCTTTTTGGACAGGGATCGGCACCATTTCTCTCGAAATAGTCCACAAGGATGTTGGAGTTGTCGCCGATCTCACCTATAGTACGGTTAGTAAATTTGAACTCGTGAGTGTCCGGCATCGCAGGCGATCCCGTCAATCCAGAGACGTTTCGACGAGTAGAAGGGGGGGAAGGGGAAGGGGAAGAAAGCTCATAGACTTACCAAAATAAACCGTCTTGCCTCCTTCCGCGAGAAGAAGCAAGCGATCGAACCGCTGGAAAAGCACCGCAGAAGGTTGATGTATAGTGCATAGAATAGACTGGCCGGCCTTGGATAGCTTTTCAAGCAAATCTAGAACAGCCCAGCTGGTTTGCGAGTCCAGCCCTGATGTTGGCTCGTCTACAAATAGTAGTAGCGGCGGCTTAGCAGCTAATTCGACGCCGATAGTCAAGCGCTTACGCTGCTCGACGTTCAGACCTTCACCAAGCACGCCGACAACGGCATCAGCGTAGTCCTGCATATCGAGCAGCTGGATGACCTCTTCAACGTAGGCCAGTTTTTCCGCTCTAGGCACGTGACGCGGTTGACGCAGAAGAGCGGAGAAGTTCAAAGCCTATTTAGTTGACATCGACATCAGTAAAATATTCGACTCGAAATGGTATCTCGAGACTGAACATACCTCCCGAACAGTGGTTGTCTGTAGGTGCAAGTCCTGCTGCTGCGCGTAGCCCGTCTTGCGCTGGAAACTCTGATCACGGATCTTCCCATCAACCAACATTTCACCAGTGAGGATGCCAACGCCCGTGCGGCGGTCAGCAAGGCAGTCAAGCAACGTAGTCTTGCCGGCACCCGAGACGCCCATAAGTGCTGTCAGCGTGCCGGGCTTAACCCAGCCGTCGACATTATCAAGAATTCGCCGAGGATTCTTCTTGATCTTGATGTCGTAGCACACATTCCGCCAGTGGAAGACGCTCGAGGATCCCTGGAAGCCGCCTGCCTTCCCCCCCTTGGACTCATACCCGCCCGGTGTCTCCAAGATTGTGGCGACGGGGCCGGAGGGGGCGTGAGCCTCGAGATCATTGCCAGGCATGGTGGCGTGCTTGGGGACGAACCCGCGGCGGAATACGAGGATCTCGCCTTTGGATTTCTTGGCCGTGACATACTCGCTAGCGAGAAAGTATATCATGTGGTTGAACAGGGTCATCGCGATGATGATGGCAATGTTCCGCCACTTGTGGGAGTGGTAGTAGCTATATGCCGAGTTGATATAGGCATCACCGTTGACAAAACTCTGGCCAGGCACAGCACCCACAGCATCGCACGCTACATTGGCGCTTCCAGGAGTCCCGTACGTTGGGATATAGGCGGAGCAGGTGAAGTTGCGGCCATGATACTCATTAACCATGATTGCCTCGTATCCATAGGCCACTGGGTTGACGTAGTTGATCCATCTGCACCAAGGAAGCATGTAGTCCACGGGGACCACAAAGCCGGTGAAGACCAGGAGAGCGAGCATGAGGATAGAGGCTGGAACCATTGCTTGCTGCTCGGTTCGAGACAGAGCGCCACTGTGAAAGTGCACGTCAGCCTTCCAGGACTAGCTCATAAATGATCAAAGATAGTGCAAGGCTTACATGAATCGAAAGATACCAGACATGGCCAAAACGATTAGAAAGACCGTCAGCAGGTAGAAAAAAAAGTTGCCTGGGTTTCGATTGAGGTTTGTCATGAAGTAGAAGACTAAATTGAAGGATATACAACTGGTAACTTTGACGGGCAAGTCGACCAGTACGGAGGCATACGATTCGGCAGAAGGATGGTAGAAGGCGTAGCGGGATTGCTTTTCTGAATTACTTGGGATTAGCAACTAGATGGCATAGAAAAAATTGAAAACATGTATAGGGAACCAGGTCACTACCTGGCCAGAACTTGTCTGTATACGATGTGTCTCTAGACAGAGAAGCAGTGGAGCAACTACCCGTCGTGACAGATGCTCCACACAAACGGGTCAAGAGAGACTTCAAAGGTTGCTTACCGACAATCGGTCGCTGAGCATACAGCGTCATGACCTCCAGGATAGAGGCAAATGCATTAAACAGGATAGCCATGAACAGAACCACTGCACGACCATAGAACGAAGCCGTGGTCTGCTGCAAGTTGTAGAAAAGCGACGACATGATGAGAGCCAACATGACGTTGCCCACCATAACCCACACAGTTGGGCCCGGGTCAGCCCAGAACCGCCGCCAGCCGCGCCACATGCACACCTGCACCTGCTGCATGTACGTCAAGGTGAACGGCGACTTGAGCCGCTGGCCCCGAGCCTGGTGCGCCCTCTTAAGCTGGCGGAACTCCTGGGCGTCCGGCCCGTCGATGGGGTGCTGCGCCTTGTACTCGTCAATGTCCACCTGGAGGGCGTTGTACTCCCGACTCGACCGCCACGCGGCCGCGAACTCGTCTGCAGTGCGGGGTGGGTTGAACCCGGGGCGGACAATCCTCTCGGCGGGGAAGGTCATGGAGGTGAGGAAGTCGGGCGTGGTCTGCCGAGGGGGGCACTCGAAGCCTAGGCTCTCGAAATAGGACTTGGCCTGGGACGCCGGGCCGAAGTAGATCTGGCGGCCCTTGTAGAGGACCATGGCCTTGTCGAACAGGTCGTAAGCGGTCTGGGGAGCCTGGTACATTGAGACGGCACAGGTCTGGCCGAAGAGCTCGGACTGGATGCGCAGGGTTCTGCAGAATTCTACTGCGTTGGCTGCGTCCAGACCACGGGTTGAGCTTGTATTGGGAGACGGTCAGTGTCATGACAAGTTGCATACAGCGAGCCACTGTGAAGAACCGAGTTGGGAGACTTACTTGTCCCAGCATTGAAAAGGTGCGTTTGACAGCGTGGCTTCAGCGATCGTGACACGCTTGCGTTCTCCTCCTGAGACGCCACGTATAAAATCATCTCCCACCTTGGTATGGATCGTATGACTGATTCCATACATCGCCATCACAACATCGCGGAGATGCTCACAGTACCTATGGTGGTCACAGTTTATGTTAACATCTTGGTCTTAGCTCGAAAGGAATAGCACGCGCATGCGCAGGAAATGACACTTCCTGTTTAAATAACTTACTGATTGCGTGAAATTCCCTGTGGCAGCTCTCTCTGGCAGCGAGCACGCGCCGCGAAGGTCAACGTCTCTCCCACGGTCAAGTTGGGAAAATGAACGTCGACTTCAGCCGTGTAGATGGCATCACCGCGATGCGCAGAGCGCATCTCCTTGTCAGAAATACCATGGTAGTTGAAGTAGCTGTTCCCGCCAATGTAAAGGCCATTGCGGTCCCCAGAGATGGTCTTCAGAAATGTCGAGCAGCCAGAACCCGGTGGGCCGAGGACTACACACATCTCCCCAGGGCGAATAAGCCCGTCGGCACCGTGCAGGATATCGAGCCGCCTCCGGCCGGGGACATTTCCACTGGAGCCCGGCAAGCTTGAGAGCAGGCGCCGCACAAACATTCCTGGCAGGGCCAGCCAGATATTCGCGACGTCCTTCTGGAAGTCCGCAGGTGTGCCATAGCCGAACACGCTCAGATCTTGAAAGCACAAGCCGGTGCGGCGGAAGTCCTGGCCGGCATCCCGCGCGACACTCGCAAAGTTCTTGGCCCATACCCTCGCGTTGAACTTGGTGCTCGATGGGTTCAGGGGCGAATCCGGATTCTCGCTGCCGAAAATGGGTCTTGCGTCGGAATTGGTGACATCGAAACTGCTGCGGGACAACCTCTTAGCGAGCTCTTGGACGGTGGAGTGCCGTGAATCCATCGACTCAGGGGTGGCGCTGATGACGGCTTCCGGAGCTGGCACCTTGCTCGACTTGGGTTCAATGCGAGGATTCTCCGGTCCCGGTGCCGTAAACTGGCCAGGAGCCGTGGCCATCGCCATTTCTCGTTTGTTGTCCTTCCTGGATTCAGTCTCCTCGGGCTAGGTGTGAGTAGAAAGTCAGGCCGGGTTGTCGTTCTGTTTGAAATAAGGCAAACACCAGAACGCATTCCACTTTGTAGTCCACAGCTCTTTTTAATGGACTTCATCAACAACTTGCCCCTGGAATATTTGTGGCTGTATCGTAATTTCAGAAGCAATGTTGTTCGGCCGACGGGCTGAACCACCATCATTACAGTGCACCTCACGGCCGAGACGGCCGAGACGATCATAGTCCGAGACGGGGCTGTTGTCTCGGCCGAGAGACATCGGACAATTACGGACAATTGTTGCGAACTTTTGAACTTCGGCCGAGATGGGAGAATAACGCACGCTTCCCGTGCATGTGCCTACGCTAATAATGCACGTCTGCGGCCCGAATCCTCGCAGGCACCTAGTGGCGTTGTCTAAGACCACTTGACATGAGGCTGTCTCCTCGGAGATCCAAGCTTGGATCAAGAGCTGAAGATCATCCCTATAACAGACATCGAGGCGCCAGCCACCATGCAGGCTCGGGCTCAATGCTCAGCTGATACAACGGTGGGCTTGCTTACGCAGTACCCTATTCCTGCTTCCCATGCGAACAAACTGTCCCATCAGAGCCTGATATCCATCGCAATGCTGCGACTTAGTCACCACTACTAGCAGGAAACGGTAAGCCGTAATATCCATGCCGTGCAAGTGTGGGAAGAACCGACATCACCCCACTACTTAAGTAGCATGCGAGTGTGAGTCAGCTGATACTTAGGTACTCTACGGTAGTGCGCCTCCTCGTGCCTGACTCTCCAGCAAACTAGAGGGTCCTTTTATCCGCCAAAATCCCACGAGTAGTTAGGGGTCATCATTACTAGCAGCAGGAAGAGGCAAGCTGTTTATCCATGAACATGGTTGGCTAGCTAATGACTGTCCTTTATGACTGCTCATTAGTAAATGGTTACGTTCCTATTCCATATGTATACGAGGTCATGCACGGTGCCTTCATACAAAGGTACTGGTTAGGTACCTCTGCCGTTTTCCTACCTAGGTAACGTAAGATATTTAATTCCTTCTGATAACTCAGATGCCCGAGTGGCTTGCTTACCTAGGTATCTGATCCTATGGGAATCGCCCCCGCAAATAAACTATCCGGCACCCTCTCAAGGCGGCTGGCTCATATTTTGCCCGGGAAAGAGCAGATTAAAAGGAGAAAGCTTATTTCAAAAGGCTTGTTGTCTTACTAGTGCATTGGAGTCTCGGGTCTTACGGTTGGGTTGATTCATTACGCGAATGTTGTAGCTGGAGAGCCACGCACCGCATACCCGTGGGTTTCGGTTCTGCTTACTGAACACCGGGGCCAACCGGAAAGTCTCACCCCCCGTGTACCGTACCAGTCATACCTTGTCATTGAGAGTGGAGCCTTATGTGCCATATCAATCAATTCTTGCGGAGATGTTGCTCAAGTTTTCTCCGGAGTGTTTTGCTTCGCGGAGAGCTCGACAGGACGAGGACAAGGACAGCTCTGGCGACCCACGGATAAACATGTCCTTTGAACCACCAGGTCAGGGGCCGAACGGAGCCGACGACGGTACCAGCGAGGAAGAGCGGACCGCATCTGGCACAGGGCGTACACGTTACCCCCCGTCTCCCTCTGCGCGTGCCTGTGCTACAACCACACCGACCGAGCGGGTACAGCTGCGTTCTGCTTGTGATGCATGTCATCAGTCCAAGATCAAGTGTCCGGGGGGGCATCCATGCTTCCCCTGCCAGAGTTCCAGGAATCGTTGCAACTATAGCCCGGGAAACCGACTTGGTCGACCAAAAGGTAGCAAGAACAAGCGCACGTTGATGCGGGAGGGCCTGGGAGACGGCAACCTGAAGAGACAACGAGGCCATTCTCAGACAGGCAGCTCGGCCCACGGGTACGATGCTGCCATAAACCCAGGACGGAACAATGAGGCTTCCCTGCAGTGGGCAAACCGTGGTCATCACCAACAACAGCAGCAGCAGCAGCAGCAACTCGACCAACAACTGCTGCCGGCGGCTGCGATGTATCAGATGGACTTCGAGGTTGAATTTGACCAGGGCTTCCACGCCGCGGCGGCAGCCGGTGACATGGATGATGAAGATCATGCAAGAGACAACCACTCAGACATACTGAGAATGCTTGATCCGGATCTCGTGGTAACCTCGACGGGAGGAGATGCCTCAAGCCTGAGCCATGCAGTGCAAAATACAACACTGGCGCCACAAATTAGTGTAAGCATGTCGTCCCAAGCTTTCAACCAAGCCGACTAAAAGTCTTTGCCTTCTCGGCATCGTCCGCCAATTCTCACTGACCCCACTCCCGTCCCTCAGATCCCGCCAGCTGCTTCATTATCACTCGGTCAGCAGCCCGGGTCGGCTGGTGCTGGACAAACTGGCGCATTCCACAACAGTTCACTTCCGGAATCACCCCGGCACCCTGGCAGGCCCAAGACCGGCTTCAGTCTCGGCAGTGAAAATGGCTCCGTCAGTCCATCCAACATGGGATTCGCCGACCCGCTGTCGTCGAGCCCCTACAGCGTCAACGCCGTTTTCTCTGCTGCTGGCAGTCTCGGCACTCGCACGTCTGACGGTTCGGGAACAGGACCTCGCTCCATGGCTGACACCTGGTCGACGTCGTCGCTCGTCTCCGCGCCCTCGGTGCAACCACGCTCATGTGGAGACTGCACGTGTCTCCCGCGCCTGGTCAAGCTCGTCTATCAGCTCGAGGGCCTGCGCTACTCGGACCAGTCCTACCCTGTCCGTCAGTGTCATCAGGCACGTCGGCCAGACAAGAGCGTGTCCTCCATCAACTTGATCCTCCGTGGGGTGCAGCTGGCTGAGGCTCCCTGGAGGGGCCTGATGCACTGCCCAAATGTGAGCACCAGCACAAGCAGCATCCGGCAGGGCCAGGGCGCGGGGCAGCAGGGGATCGACGATAACCACAATCAGGCGCTGCTCCTGTTCGCCACGAGCATCCGCATCCTCCTGTGTTCGGTCCAGGCTTTCAATAGCAGCAGCACCACCACTGCTGCAACGCTCAACCACGATTCCACCATCTCAGCCCTCGCCACCGATGACGACCCTGCCACCACCGCTGACACTGTCAGAGGCGGCGGGAACAGGAGCCCCACCCATGTCGACGATGCCGATATCCCCGTCTCCGTAGGCGGCGTGGAGCTCTCTGGCGAGGCCAGGGCCGAGATCATAGGCGCCTCGGTGCGGCGGTCCCTACGCGTCATCACCGCCGCGCTGGTCCACCTGTGGGAGCATACCGGGCGGCCGTCGAATAAGCCTCACTCTCAGACGGCATTCCCGTTCCCGACCTTGGGCGTTGGTGGCAATAGTAATGGAGTTGGTACAAACGGCAGCATGAGTTTGAGTGCATCTAATACGCACGCACTGACGACTGCGACTGGGGGGGAGAGGAGTGAGAATGTTTCATCGCTTCTGAATACCTTGCAGTTCGCGATGGATGCTCTGGGGGAATAGTGAAGGTGCGGCTTGTTGAAGGTCAGACGATGTATGAGATCAATGACGGTGTTAACCTTACGAGATTCTTTCAGGGATGCAGTACTGAGATCACAACAGACGATGCGAGATCGTAACTTTATGACAGATCTTCAAGATATTGGGGTGGGGGTTGAGAGACGTCACCGCCATACCTAGGCCCCCACAGCCAAATAGACGATAATGAAACAAACGATAAAATGCTGCTGCTCCGTGCCTTTCATTCGATTTCCAAAGTATAAGTATTCCTCTTCATTAATTTGAAGCCGCTTGAGACCTCGGATTTGTCGGGATTACCGCAGCTTGCGCGTACTCGAGACACAAAATGAACTGGCCATGACGATGTTGCAAGGAGAATTTTTCGTGCCCTAAAATGCCGAAGAGTGTGTCACCAATCGGATATTTGACGTTTGTCTCCTCTTACCCTTGCATTGTATGCCCTATGACTCTGATACGACCGTACTTGTCATCTCGTGGCCTACTAAGCTTTCGCATTTCTCCGACGGACGACCCCATGTCCTGCAGACGTGGCTCGGCCGAGCTCACACAGGGAATTCTCTGCACCTGTCGGACTGTTCCGGGTTCAATTCGGACACAAGTTCCTTGGAGTTTTAACCATGGCCGTTGTGAAACAACATTCCGAACGGGGTTTGCAAAGCCTTGGGAACCCTGCAAGAATACGACGTGTCAAACAGCTGTCTACTTGATTTCTTTCAGTAGGAATGAGCACAAGTATACGGGGATAGTCATTTGTGAGACAATGATTTTAGGTGGCAGAAATAAGTAATCAAGCCCTATTGCCAGTTGTTTGGCGCCTCAAACACAGACTAGCTTGACGTCGACTATGTGAGAAATGAGAAATCCGACGGACCCGAATCGTAGCTTGAGGACCTCGGACATTGCACGAACTTATGTGGTTTCACTTCTATTCCGTATACGTCCACGAACTTATATAACCTATGTCAGATATGGGTAGAGCATATTTCGATTTCAATTCTTGATGACAAGTAAAAGCAGTACTTCATTTAATTTTTCCGAACTTTGGATTCTGAGGTAAACATGTCTCAAGAGCCGACTCGAATGGGTTTCTTTTAAACATTGTATCAACCAGGCCTGCCCATGATGCTTGCCTAGCCGAGAAGAATCGAAATTTCTGCTCCTATCACGACCACGTATGCCGACCAGAAGCCGACGGCAAGCACACGTCTAGAAGTGGAAACCAGTCGTGTCAACAGCACGCACCCAACCGCCAAGCACAACGTCAAGAAGGGAGACAGGGACCTCCAGAAGATTCCCCGTCACGTACAGTATGTTCGAATCCTTGGAGGTCCGGCCGAACTGGGCGGCCGTGGGTCCGGGGAACGTGAGGTTGTCACTGGTGCCGACCCCAGTCACAATGACCGAGGTGCCATTCTCGGGGCTCACGGCCCACACGTTGTTCAGACCCGTGGACCAGATGGTGTCTGCACCGTTGGGGCCGAAGTCAAAATCATCCCAAAGGGTTTCGACGATGGAGACAGTCTCGGGGACAGCATCCCGGGGCACTGGGTAGCCGTCCTCGTCGATCTTCAAGCGATACACGCCGCCCGTGTCTTGGTTGACCCAGTAGAGCTGGTCGCCACGGATCTTGATGCCATTGATGCCGACGTCCGGCCCATGGGCGTACGTGGTGTTCATCTCGGCGTAGTTTGTCATGACCACCTCGTGCTCGCCCGTGACGGTGTCGAGTCTCCATATCTGGCCCGGGGCAGGCGTCCAGTCGACCTGCTGGTAGCGGCCGCGCAGCACGTACTGGTCCGAGATGAGCACCTTGGAACGGTCCCAGGGCAGCGCGGCCACGCTCTGGAGCAGGGCGGCCTCGGGGAACCAGGCGATCAGGCGCGCCGAGGGCGAATCGCCCCCGGCGGTGAAGTCGAGCTCCATGGCGCAGAAGGTGCGGTCGACCTGGCTCGACTGGGCGTCGGGCGAGTAGAAGCGAGAGCCAACCACAACGTACTTGTCAGGGGTGGTCTCGCCGATGCCAATCAGGCGGTCCACCCACTCGTCAAAGTTGTAAGCCAACTCCACCTCGGGATTCTCGGCCCAGGGCTCCTTGACGTGCCAGACCGTGCCGTTCGGCGTCGACGTGGTCAGCAGCAGGTTGCCATTCGGCCGGACGGAGATGTTCTCAACCCATGTTCCGTTGGGCCAATGGTGAAGCAGGCGGCTGGGAAGGGGTACCGTCCCACTATCGTCGGCGGTGGTATTGCGCGGCAGAATGAGGGATAAGGCCGGCGTGTAAGCCAAAAAGCCGAGAGCGGCCGATAGGACCAATGAGCGCATTGTGCACGGAGTTAATGCAGGTGATATGTGATGTTACTGATAGTCTCGGCCGAAAGGTACTATGAGGTGCTCGTGCAGATTGGGCAGGCTCATGGTTGTACCGAGAGAGTGGAAGCTTTCAAGTTCATGCATGTTCATGTCGAATATATATAATTAAGGTTATGTCTATCACACTGGATTCATCCAAGCTGGACGGATCAGGCAGCCTTTGGCAGCTGGATTCGAAGACCATCGGGGATGATTAAACTGGCCGATTCCTAAAGTTTTGAAATCAGCTTACCGCTGAAGACTATGCAACGAGCCCGATTACTCAGGGCAAAGGATAAAATATGGGTCCACGGCTCATCGGAACATATCTTGACGTAGTTACATGCGTGGCTAACTGTCTGGAACCTATTAGCCCTACTAATCACCCTGGGGCACCCATTTTCTCTGTGATTACGTGTGACAACCTTGGAACATAAAGGATTCACCTAGTGATGTCTCTATATTCTTCTACTTTTTTCCCTCTTAAAAGATGGAAAAAAACTTGCCGATATACTCGCCGAATACTAAGTCTACTTCGGTGTGTTCTGGACTCTTTCAACTTTTGTTCTGATATCCATCTTAGTTACCTTTCTGACACCTCGGGCAAAAGCCGAAAGATAGTTCTGCCAGGCTCTGACCGTGAGAAGTACTTTACCCGACCGATATTTTGAAGCCCGCAAACCTCGCATGGCTCGAAAAAAAAATAACAATGTTTTTGAACAACCAAGAAGCACTTGTATCATATAGATACCCTCAAATTAAGTGAGACTGTGATCCTGATTCCAACTCGTCCATTGGCAACTGCTGCTGTGCTCTGTCTCTTTTTTTCAGTCCGGAGCTCAATATGGAATCTCCAACTTCAACCAATATGTCTGGTTTAACAACGAAGGAGATGTGGCAAGTCATCAAAAGATACTTCGGAGAAGGTCATGTCCCCGGGTCTGCTCCCATTCGCTACAACATGCATATGTGCGAGATGTCGCCAGCCAGGTCTCCAAACGACGAGGCCAGCAAGCGGTACGGCATAGAGATCAGCGAGGATGCGATGCCCCTGTATTCCATCCTCGGAGACACATGCCCACCGCCATGCACATGCTTCGACATGGCCGGCGTGGTCGAGCACATCGACGCATGGCTCGAGACCGCGCCTGAGACCTTCGAGGACGACTACGCCATCACCAGTGGCAAAAACGACACCTCTATCGACGAGGCCGGCCTGTACATCATGCGCGACACACTCAGCTGGTGGGTCCACTGGGGAGGCTCCCTGAGCCCCAAGGACTACTGGAAGCAGATCTACGTGGCCTTCGCGGCCATCCCGGACGACGTGCAGCTGAGCCCCCGCGACTTTCTGGATGGCACCTACCGCTTCCTGGGCCATAGCTGGGCCGACTGCCGCGAGGGCCTGCTCGGGGAAGGCCTCGCGCCCGACGAGGTCGAGTTCGTCGAGATGTGCCTGTGGCGCCAGATGCTCACGCAGTACTTTGAAAAGGTCATCCCCACTCTCTACCCGCTGCTGAGGGCCAAAACGACACTGATGACGCAGTACCGCGTCCTGACTGGCAACACGCTTGGCTGCGCGGCGCTGATGCTCGCAGCCGAGGGGGCAGGCGGCGTGGGACGCGACGTCGGAGTGACCGACAGGGCCTTGGAGGCTGCGGCTATCGCACAGTGCATGAGCATGGACATGGCCAAGGAGGCGCTGGGCATCCTGAAGGGCGAGAAGACTGAGACCGTGGCCGGCGACCGCGCCCAGCTCAAGAGGGAACTCCGGTGGGTTTACGTCCGCTGCATGCAGTACCTCGAGGAGGGGCCAAACGCGCACATCCTGCGCCGCTTTGCCTCGGCCGGTCTGCACTACGTCCCCATGATGGACAGGTATCTGGAGCGGGTGCGTGGCAATGTGCGCTTCCCGATCACGGGGGCCAAGGCCCGCATCCTCGAGCGCTTCATCAACCGGTCGGCGCTTGCGCCCGGGTCGGAATGGCTGAATGCGGATGGGCTTGCGATGAGTGGTGTGCGTGTGAATGGCACTGGGAAAAGCAATGGCCACCAAGCTCATCACCAGGTTGCCTCATCTGAGACGAACGGATTCACTCGACAGTCGAAGGTTGAAACAGTCGTGGGTTAGCTCCTGTGTTTGGTGTCGTCTATTGATCTTCCGTTTACCACTGCACCCTATGAAGGTGTCGTGTATGGCTTCGGACTTATACGGCATAGAAATGAAACCAGCCAGTTAGATACTTTGTAATTCTTATAGATGAAGCCGCCTGCATCGCCTGAGCAAATCGACGGGTGAACTGGCTTTGAAACCATTCTGGCCGACGGTTTAGATACCTAGGTATCGGATTAAATGTACGGGGTGCGATCCCAACGAAGCTTCCACGACACCTATTACATTACCCGATCAGGAATTCCATCGATATTATTCTTTATTACTAGTGCATCTACAGCGAGCTGCACTCGTTTTCTCATTTGTTGGCTCACTAGAGTCTGATATGATCAAGTTCCAGTTCATGCATGTGCTTTTAGCATCCGCAAAAGACATCATCTGCTGCAAGCAATATTCAATAAGTTCCTTGTCCATAATATTCGATTCCTTGGAATTTCAAAGAGCGAATGCATCTCAATCTGGCAGTAACCTTTAGCTATAAGTGGAGCTCAAAACAAAACCCGCCTGGCTTTTTGAATCCCCTTCACATCCCAAATCCTTGGCGCTGTCCGCTCCATCATCAACCTCCACTCATCCTCATCCCCCTGGCCGCCAAATCTCATCATCTCTGCAAATTCCCAGTACTCAGGGAAGAAGCCGGCCGACTCGAAGTCCACCAATCCTACTATCCATACTTGGCCCCTATTACTGTCCTCCTCACCCTCCTTGACAAGGATGTTCCCAGGGTGAATGTCTCCGTGCGTAAATACTGACGTCTCCGACCTTGGCAGCATATCCTTCACATCATGGCCATCCGGGTATGACAGTCCATTATATTCGACATAGCGCTCCCATATACGTGTACGTAGGGCCTCGTCATCGAGAAGAGGAGGTGGCTGATCATATAAATCCCCTAGGAGCGGATGAACTATATGCGAAGTCCCATCGGGTGCACAGTAAAGCAACTGCACCTGCTCTTCGCCGGGATTTCCGATATTCGTTGTCTTCTCAGGTCGCGGGATCTGCCTCAGCCTCTCTATCAAACCCCACGTTTCTTGGCAGATTTGCTTTTTATCGTCCTCACTCAGTCTTGGCCAGACCGATTCAAGACTCTTGCCAGGGATGTACTCCATATATAGCATACCAGTACTGATGACACCAGTGGCATCACGATTATAGATGGCATGGTAGACAGTCGGAACTGGAATATCGGCGGTGTGAGCTTGTATGAGCTTGATTGCGGCCTCTTCACTTGGCCATACGGAAGATCCCTGCTTGAGGACTACGTCCTCCTCAATCTGGGTGACGTTGTTGCGCCCGAACTGACTGCTTATAACCCTTGGGTATCCGCTGGTTTCCGTGTCTGCCCGGGCGATAAGATCAGTAAAAATTGCCGACTTCGGATATGGGGTTGGAGATGGCTTGCCTGACTTCGAACTCATTTTGGGTTTGCAGAACGAGTCGCAATGTTCAAAGTTCGCGTGAGAAATACTGTCGCTCTCACATTTGACTGCGCATGATTCTTTGGGTGGATAGGGAAGCGGAGATGGAGGTTGTAGTCAATTGGTAGCTCTGTAGTAATATCGAGTATGTGAGTGGTAAGACGAAATTTCAACTCGTAATCCGGGCTAAAATTCACCTGTTCCCCTTAGGCTGGTAGGCGCGCTTACGCCATAAATGGAGATGATGGAATCCGTCGAACCACCGCCCAGAGCAGAACTAAAAAGGATCCCAAAGAGCCCTGGAGGATCCCCACTCAGAATATTGTCCAAGTTCGTACAGAACCCTTGGGAAGGAATTCGGGATTGTTACCGGCGTAAAGCGGGCGGAATGCCAGAACCTTTAAGGACCGATCAATGAATAAGTACTTAATTAGGCTGCATTGGACCAAAATAAAGCTTGAGGCGGCCCATGACACCGGTGTCCGTTCTCTACGTCGTTAAGTAACATTTGCTTCAAAACAACTAATGAAAGTTCTTACAACCTGATATCTAGGAGGCAAAAATACTGTGTGTTTCACAAATTGAATGGTATATTGAGTGCTTTGCATAGTACCTAGTGTAACACGCTGGGAGCGTAAGATCCCATTTGTATCATTACTCGTAGCAATCATGAGTGCTCTCAGTCCTCCTTTTTTGGCCAACTGGGTCACCACCCAACACTGCGACAATGTGCAGCTGAGCTTGAAGTCTGCTCTGTAGTTAAATAGTCTGTAGTTGTAGCATCGAGTCGCACCTGTATGTCATATCCATAGCTGAAGACCAACATCAGCACTCCACTGCTCTGGAGTCTGTGCGACCATGTGACGGTATTTCAGATGACAATCCAGGCCGCAGGTTTGATTTGTCAAATGTGTCTGTCCCTTGGTCCGCGACAACCCTTGTCTCAATACACGGTTTCGTACAAATCGCAGATCTGTCTCTAATCAGACGTTGCTGTCCCATGCATTGGACTTCGGTTTCGTTAATCGTCGCAGCCCCATCCAAGGGGTATTGATGGGACTCTTTCCCTTGTAGAGGAAAACGTCGTAAAGCATGGCCCCGAATAAACACCCTGGGAAAGGTGCTACCATGGGAATCTGCCGGTAGTCAGCACAAGATCATGCCCACTTGAGAGAATCAGTGAGAGGAAATATCTTGCACGACACGTACCCAGAAGTAGTAGCCACCGGCTGACCAGACGTCACTGCCGTAGCCTAGGATGAAAGACACGAGCCTGGGCCCAAAGTCCCTCGCCAGGTTGATGGCATAGCCTGTCTGCCAACCAAAGCAGGCGCCAATGCCAAAGATGAGGAAGAAGAGGCAGAGGGGAATCAAGTCCCCAGCACCAGCGTCAACGAAGGCAAAGATGTTGAACATGAGTATAGCGCTGGCCACAAACTCGCTCACGAACATTTGACCTCTTGTCATGAAAGGGGCCGGGTATGTGCAAAAGACACCAGCGCTCGAGGTGTTGCCGCCAACTGTACGCACGCCCGGACCGCCCTCGAAGTTGTCTATAGCCAGCCTGTAGTTGAAATATACTATGAATGCCCCGGCCATGGCACCAAGAAGCTGCGCCATGAAGTAGATGGGGAATTTGTGGAAGGGAAATCCGCGGAAGACACAGTTGGACAGTGTGACGGCCGGGTTGAGGTGACCTCCGCTCTTCTTTGCGACGTATACTCCGATCATGACGGCCAACCTGTTAAAATATGATTAGGGAGATGCCATCCAAAGGTCAATGCAAAGACAAAGACAAGACACAAGTTGCACTTACCCCCAGCCCCAGGAGATGCTCTGATAATCGCCTCTTGTTTGACCACTAAGAATGACTTGTGCGACGACACCATCGCCAAACAAGATCATGACCATTGTGCCAAAGAACTCTGCGAAAGGGTCCTGTAGATGCCGCCTAATCTTGACCCATTGCAATTCCGGCTCGTGGTGGACGTACTCGACAGGTGTTTCTGGTGGAGTAAGATGTTCCTTGTGCTCCACCATCTGGCCGTTCGAGCTCAGGCTGGCCTTGAAGCGCAAGTCTGGACTCTTGTCAAAGACTGGCATAATATCATCCTTGACTTCCACAATCTCGGTATCTGTCTGTGTGGACATTGTTGCTGATGATAGTGTCCTTGGGAGGAATTATACCTAGTAAGGCATGAATATTAAACTATAGAATAAAGTGTAACGGAGCGGGCTTCTCATTTTAAGAAAGAAACCGAAACATCCAGGACTAGCCAGTGGCGGCGACCAACTGCCGTGTATATAATGGCCAGGGAATACGACCGTGTCCTCCCCGTCATCCCCTAACCTCGACTAAAGACGGAAACAGAGGACCTGGTACAACGCTGCCCTGAACTTTGGTACGAGCATGGGACCAAGGATGTCGTTCATTACTGTAGAGGGTTTCAAGTTCTAGAAGCCGGCTCCATGCCCTTCCGCAGCGACGGTAGGCTCGTCCTACGTAGCATGCCGCCAGGTAGGATTGTTGGCCAAGGGAAGGAGGGGGCACAACAAGGACGTTGACATCAGGCCACGGCACTCAGCTCGGTTGGCAGGTGCCACCATGTCAATGCGTCACTTAGACCGAGTCTACGAGGGAGACGAGCCATCTAATCCCAACTCTATCATCATGAGAAAGCGCTACGATGCGCCCGTCCCATCTATCAATGCCCTACCCGACAGAACCGTCGATGCTTAGGCCAGGTCCGATCCACGACCGTCGCGACAAGAGGATCTGGGAATGACTTCGCACCTGAGCGGTCCTCCAACTTACGTCCGGATTCTGCGGAACAGCTTGCAACCTCGGCTGCGCCCCAAGACAGCTGGGCACCAAGACGCTACCAAGCTACCAAGTGATGGGATGGCAGTGCAAGTCTGGTTTGGTTCGTCCACCTCGGTATCCCTATTCGTAGGTCGTATTTCGGCGGCCGACGAAGGAATGAGGGGGAGGTAGGTAGCAAGAACCAACTGCTCGGGGAAACGGCGGTGTTAAACAGCTCGAAGTTATGCAATGATCATGTAACATTGCCGCGTCGGCTGAGGCTACCGATTGAAGAAGGTTCACCCAGATTCACCCATTGGGTGGCGAGGCTATAGTGCTACTCGAAGTATAAGAATCCCAAGAGCCGAAGCTAGTGAACACCAACAGTCTGACATGATGGTCAGGGGAGGGGAGGGGTTGGGACATGGATAGGTGAGCTGAAGCAACTACCATCCTGTATGGCCTCGCCAGGTCACATGAGTGCTCGAGATCGGGATTCGGAGAGGCTCAGTGGTTGGAAGGCTGGGATGGCCTCGCCATGGCCACCCCTCTTTCTTATCACGAACCACGCTACGGAGTATTGCCGTCTGCGATCTAGTACGACTAGGCCGATTCCCACATGGTTCCCCAGAATCATCCTTGACAATACGACGTACCCCATGGGGCACGCGAACCAGGGGCCATTGAGTTTGGCATCGCGCTCCAATCTTGGCTCAGTCACACTTTGCCCTCCCTTGGCCCCGATTTCAAACGCCAATAGGGCGGGGGAGCGCGCGGAGTTTCTTTCACTTGGCTCCAGGGCTGGCCGCCAGACATACCCGCTATATGCGTGCACTTATTCCAAGGAACCGTGGCCGGTTCGCAGCACGCTGCTCACTTGCATCCAGAGTCGGATGCTCCCCACCATTTCCCAATCGCCAACCATTTTCAAAGCCCGCCGTGACTTACGTAGGTCCTTCGACAAGTGCACCTTGTAACCAGAATTTCACAACTGCGCAACGGATCCGCAAACACACCCGAGGCATCATGAATGGGACAAACGGTACAAACGGCGGGACGAACGGAACCAATGGGAGTACGAACGGTACAAATGGGAGCGCCGCCCAGGTCTTTGTCGGGGCCATAGACCAAGGCACGACAAGCTCTCGGTTTCTGATCTTCAACGAACGTGGCGAGGTTGTAGTGACCCACCAGATTGAGTTCACTCAGATCTACCCTGAGCCTGGGTGAGTCATGACTCTGCACCTGTCACCCCTTAGAATGGCTTTCACTCACAGACGTGCAGATGGCATGAGCACGACCCTCAGGAGATAGTCACTTCTGTAGAGGAGTGCATCGATGCTGCTGTGAAGTCCTTCGTGGATCTTGGCCACTCAGCTTCAGACATCAAGGCTGTCGGCATCACCAACCAGCGTGAGACGACTGTGGTCTGGGACAAACAGACCGGCGAGCCTCTGCACAACGCAATAGTATGGACGGACACCCGCGCCGCCGAGTTGGTGAGGGAGCTGAAGCGACGCCCCGGCGCCGATGAGATCACCCAGCTGTGCGGGCTGCCGCTGTCGACGTACCCATCAGTGGCCAAGCTCCTCTGGATGCTGGAGAACGTGCCCAAGGTCAAGGAGGCCTACGACGCCGGCAACCTCGCCTTCGGCACCGTGGACACCTGGCTCATCTTCAAGCTCAACGGAGGGACGGAGAAGAACCTGCTCGTCACTGATGCATCGAACGCCTCGCGGACCATGTTCATGAACCTCGAGACGCTCGAGTATGACGAGAAACTGCTTAGCTTCTTCCGCTTGGACCGTGAGAAGATCCGCCTCCCGGAGATCGTGCGCTCATCCGATGCATCTGCATATGGCACACTCACGTCGACCTCACTCAAGGGATTGCCAATCACAGGAAATCTAGGCGATCAGTCCGCGGCGCTGGTGTAAGCATTATCCGCACCCGCCCTTTGATCCGCACAACCTACTTCGCATCTCTCCAGGGCTGAGCTTCCCGTCCGCATGATCTCAAACTGAGGCTGTCGCTGACCAACCCCACCCCCTCCCGCACGTTTCTTGTCTCTACACCCGCTTGTTGGTTGATGGGCAGCTGACCTCCAGTCTCGTAGTGGGCAGAAGGGGTTCACACCGGGCCTTGCCAAAAACACGTACGGCACCGGCTGTTTCCTCCTGTACAACGTGGGGCCCAAGCCCGTCCTCTCCACCCATGGTCTTCTAACCACAGTTGCCTTCGACTTCGGTCCGGACTCGCGCATGTACGCGCTTGAGGGCAGTATTGCCGTTGCAGGCTCCAGCGTCAAATTCCTCGTTGACAACCTCAAGTTCGTGGACACGAGTAAGAAGATCTCCGAGCTGGCCGAGACCGTCCCCGACAATGGCGGCTGCACCTTCGTCACCGCGTTCAGCGGACTGTATGCGCCATACTGGTACGATGATGCGCGTGGGACACTGTTCGGCATCACTTCCTACACGAACCAGGGCCACATCGCCCGCGCGACCCTCGAGGCAACCTGCTTCCAGACCAAGGCGATCTTGGAAGCCATGGAGAAGGACAGTGGTCATGCCTTGACAGAGTTGGCCGTCGACGGAGGCATGTGTGATTCTGACATTACGATGCAGGTCAGTTGAAATGGGATACAGGTCTACCTGTGCGGAACAAAAAGACTGACTGACGCCTTGTAGACCCAGGCAGATCTCATCGGCATCCCTGTCAACAGGCCAGCCATGCGCGAGACAACGGCCTTGGGGGCCGCCATCGCCGCCGGACTTGCAGTCGGGGTTTGGAAGAGCTTCGACGACCTTGCTGCGGTGAACACCGAGGGCAAAACAACCTTCGAGCCCAAAAAGGAGAAGCAGGAAAGCCAGAAGATGTTCGCCCGGTGGCAAAAGGCCGTGGAGATGAGCAAAGGGTGGTTGTGAACTGAAACTCCTGTCCCGCGATGTTTCACGATTCGGTCCGACTCTTCCCAATGTCTGGGTGGCTTTCCTTTCTTCCTATGTCAATATTCTCTTTCATATCTCCTCAAGCTAAAGTAACAAGGGTATTCGAATAATTGAGCCAGGTTTGGCCAGAAACGTGTCATATTATCGGTTATGGGCCGGAGAGTACGCTACACAGTCAGTTGTGGTAGAATCACACACCATTTTGTGGCGAGAGAGATACTTATCCAGATTCCAATCGATGAATTTTTAGGCCCGCTCCGGTGATCATGTGAAACGATACACAACGTCCTCGAAACTGCCCTCAGGAAACACATAAAGCCACCTCAAATGCTCGCCGTCGCCACAGAAAACGCCGTGCTCAGCATCTCCCGGAATCCAGATCAACATGCCATCACGTACGCGATGTCTCTTTCCATCGACCTCCACCTCCCCCCTGCCGGATAAGATGTAGTACATCTCGGCCTGCTTGTGTCTGTGCAGGGCGAGGAAGCCGTTGGCCGGGCACTCCGCGATGCCGGCGCTCAGGGATGAGCTTGCAGTGGTCGGTGCAGACAGGAGCGTGTGCCATGTTGCGTTTCCCCTGTCTGGCTCTGCGAACGAAGACGGTGGTTGTCTCAGTGCCTCTTTTTCCAGGAAGACGGGCTGTTTAGACTGGTGATCTGGCCGAATGCTCATTGTGACATGCGTCCATTCTTCGACTTTCCAAATCAGTTGAAGGAGAAAACAAAACACTTTTTTCTTCACGTTTTCAACTACGGAGGACAGTCTCCGTGCCTGGAGGGATTCAGCTATTTCGATACAGAAGTCGATGTCATTATGACTGCTAGTTCTTTCATAACCCCTCACTCCACGGCCCCTCTAAATACAATTTCTTGATTTACTGGTGAGGTGCATCTGCATCCCTGTTCACGCCATGTCGAGGGCTAGGCTACAATTGACGGCTCTGGCTGCACGAGGTCTAAGTACTTAAGTATGCACCATCGTGATAAGATTCTACACGCCACTAGCAGCAAATATGGCACCAAGGCGTTCCGCTTGACTGTGTTGTAACGTTGGCCCTCGGCCGAGTGCCGTGCCATCTTATCTGACGAGAGTTTCGTCGATGCCGTCTTATAGGAAGCAGCCAGTGACACGATTAAACCACGCAATGGCGTTTTTGGATCAATCATTTTATGACATCAGCTTTAGAGTGACACCAGGGGCTGGTCTTGGGAGTCCCATTCACCGTCACCACGTGAGTTTCGTGATCTCGAGACCCGAAGTTTTACATGTATGGGGATTAAAAACGAAACCACCTAGCTTCATAACTTGCATTCAACTTACTTCAAACTTTCTAGGATTATGAGAGCCTCCGACAACAAGCGAAGCGCTTGTTACCGTACCAGCCATTGTGTAGCATTGTGCAGCTGTCTGATAAGCACTTGGGAATCTTCCACACAAAGGCATGATCACGTCATACGAAATCGGCAGTGACCATATCCGTGAGCACAGCTTCAAGTGACCCTCTCATGCCATCAAGAGAAAATTGTCTCTGCATATTTGTAACACAAACTCGTGTTAACTGTTAGTGGGAGACCACCATGATGTGCTTCAGACCGAGCGTGCTCTGGATAAGCTTCGAAGCCATGGCCAAAGTGGTTGCACATGCGGCCGCAACAATATATTCGGTGAGACACATGAACAAATCTTAAGAGCGAGATGGCCTGCACTTGACCGCTGTCGAGTGTTGGCTCAAGTGACCGAGCAAAATGAAGGCGATTTCTCCTGCTGGGTCTTGTAATTTCTCGTTCCGGTTAGGTAGCAAGACATCTGCTCTTACATTATATGAGAGGCGAAATGCTTAGGCTAATAAGCATTGGGCGGTCGACTGTCGGAGTTCATGTTAGATGCGACGAGGAGAGCTCCGGATGTCTCCCAAAAGGAGGCGTCGCAGGCTCGTTGCATTTCCGTCCTTGATCTGCGATCCACGAAAGAGAAGCCAATTCGGCTCATAAGGGGCTTATTTCCCTAGAACCACTCCACTCGTAACTCTATTCTCAGCGCAGGCGGTCGACAGGTTGCTCCTCGTATGTGCCAGAGAGCTCCACGTGCGCGTAAAAGGGTTCAGGAGAAGGTGCTGTTCCCAGATGCACCGGTGTGTGATCAGCTTGACGTCGATGGTTGTTGGCAAAATACACTTTTACACGGGGTTCTGAATTCTCAGGGGATGCGGAGTTGACTTGTCAGAGGATGTAGGTCACGTAGGCAGTGTATCCATCGCACGCGTTCTGAGTTTACCCCGTATGTCCTCTACGTGTAGGCTAGGAGCCCACTTTCTCAGGGGTTAGCCCGGGCCCAACCGCCCGCCCTTGGCGAGTGCCGGACAATCGAGTCAGTGGGCTGGACCGAATTGTGGGTATCCTGGGCAGGCTTTGAGCGGTACTGGCGGACACTCACCCTTGGTGTCCTCCCGCAAAAGCATCAAGGGGAAAAGGACGTTTTCGACAAGGCGCATTGCTAGCCAATGCAAAAGTACGCTTGGTCTCCAAATTTGTCACTAGGCCCCTTGGACAGCCAGGGGCAGCCAGGCCTGCCAGGGCTGCTATTCCCGGTGTACGGTCAACCCGGCCGGACGGGCCAAGTCGAAGGATTCCACAATACTGGCACGGGACGCGTGACGGAGTCTCACGGCAGCACGCTTGCCCGTCTGCGTGTCACGACGATGCACACGCCCTCGCCAAGGGGTAACTAAGTTCTGGGCACGGTCTGCTAGTCTGTCATCTCACCTGGGTGTTCAGAGCAGAAATATTCGATCAGGGGGAGGGGGGCAAGGGCAGCGCGAATTCCATGTTGACAGAGGGAAAAAAAGGTACAAGGCGGGCCGTACCGACACAGGTGAAGCTCAAAATAAACCTGACCCATTGCCAAACAGGATGGATACCAGAGATTCGCCCACGTTTCCAGCATCCGGGGCAGCTGGGGCAGCAACAGAATAGTGTAGAAGGGCTTGCATCGGTTTCGAAAGGCAAGGAAGGCCTCGAACATTGCAGAAGGCCTGTACAAATTGCGAATGACACGCAAGACTGGAGTCATCCGGGTCCATTACCCCAGAATTACCCCAATATTACCCCAGAGAAACCGGCCCAAACGGCTATAACGTAATTGCAACTGCGCCGCCGTCCCAAGCCGGGAGCCCTTTGGAGAAGCTCGCCGTGTCACATGAATTGACCCCAGTCTCGAATGCTTGAACTCATTCCGTCACGTTGCCAGAACCTGCAACACACTGGCCAAAGACGAGGCTCATTTACGTAAATCTTCGTCGATTATGCACTCGATCTGGTTCTCGCGTGCTTCAGCGCTGATGCTGCCCCGGACGTCCATTGCCGCACGCTGATGAAACCGGGCTCGACATCACGATCTCCTCAACGCCAATGCCGCCAACAGCCACGATATATAAGATGGCCGCGCCGGGTGCCTCTGTCAGCGGCCCAGACGCCACACACTGCAGATCACGATAACTTCACTTTCATCCAGTACAACACACAGCACGCATCTTCCCTCATACTAGTAGCTTCTCAGATATCACCCCCAGCAAGTAGCCCATAACATGACCGTCGTTCAAGCTCCCAGCATCGACAACATGATCCCCATCCACTCCAAGGGGCGGTACTTCTTCAAGGGAGACCAGAGGGTGAGTAATTGCTCATGCCGACCTCATTTTCTGTGGCTAACTCAGCTGTTAGTTCCTCATCAAGGGCGTCGTCTACCGCTTGCATGGCGAAGGCCCCATTGACCCCCTTGTCGATGACCGCTTGAGCGACCTCCAGAGAGATATCACCCTGTTCAAGGAATTGGGCCTCAACACTCTTTTCATCTGTGAGTGACCTCGGAGCCCCGGTATCTGTTAACCACGGGACATCCTCTAACACAGGTACCAGATCACATTGATCCCTCAAGGAACCACAATGCTGCCATGCGGCTCCTGGCAGAAGCCGGCATATACGTCCTCATCGTGAGTCTCCAACGTGCACAGAGTGTGCATTTATGAGCAATAGGCTAACCACAGACGGCAGAGCCTCCCCACATCGGCATGCACAGGTGACAACTTTGGCAGCACCACGACATTCCGCCCTTACAACTCGGAGCTGCTAGCCGACTGTTTCGCCACAATAGACTGCATGGCACAATACGCCAACACTCTCGGCATACTCGTGGCCAATGGCGCAATGAGCACAATCTATTCAACTTCCCTCGCGCCCATGATCAAGACGGTAATTAGGGACGTCAAGAAGTACATGGCCACAGCGAACGAGGTCGCCGGACAGCGACAACTGCCCGTTGGGTACAGCGCATCAACAGGCAGGCTGATCCTGAGGACGACCTTTGACTACTTCACGGCTGGGAAGGAAGACGAGACGGTGGACTTTTTCTGCGTATGTCATCTCCCCCGCAGCCCCAGACGTCACAGGGTATTGCTTGGCTAACATGCAGCTTCAGTATGCAAACTTCAACTGGTGCGGCCAGTCCACCCTGCACATCTCAGGCTACAAGCAGGAGCTCAAGACCTTCGACGACGCACACATCCCCGTCTTCTTCTCGCAGTACGGCTGCAACCTGGGCGCGTGCGGCAAGCGCATCTTCCAGGAGACATCCGCCATCTATTCGTCAGCCATGACGCGTGTGTTCTCCGGCGGCGTCGCGTACGAGTTCTATGACTCGCCAGACATCAGGTCGGGTCTCTGGGGCTACGGGCTGGTGAGGCAGGAGGACGCGGTGGTGGGCAGGGGCCTGACCCAGCTCCCTGACTTCGAGAGCCTGAGGAAGAGGCTTGAGAACTGCCAGGACGCGAGCATCGTGGAGGAGGAGATGGAGGAGGGGAACTTCAAGCCGTCGTCAGGGGACATCCCACCCCTGTCGGCTCACTGGAAGGCGGGTCATCCCTTGCCATACAGCATGGCCAACTGGAACGAGGTAAGACAGAGTCTCGAGGGAAAGGCGTGGATGGAGGTTGGAGTTGAGGAGCTGACCACGAAGGATTTCCAGTTGAGCCACCAGCCAAAGTTTATCAGGGCATAGGATTGTTTGGATTCTTGTTTTTGTTTTGGGCATGGGAAAGTTTGATTATCATTAATATTGAAAGCACAAGGCATTGCGGGTGGGGTTTAAGGAGTTTAAAACTGTTTCGGGCTATTTACCAGTAGTAACATCTTACACAACAGCATTCTTGCCATGACAAATTCTGGACAGTTTCCTGACGGTGAAATGAAGGGACTAGAAGGCCGGCCGACTTCCTACGTCCTGCCGAGTCGGCAGGTCGGCTCAGCTTACACAATCTCGGCTCTCCTTGCCGGGCCCGGCTATCTTCCTCTCATTTGTCACCGCTCTTCAGCCAGGATCTGCGACCCAAGTTACGTACGATTTCCGTGATCATAGAGTCTCTCTTTGTTTTGAAGAAGTCCTTTTTCTCTTGGCTAAGAATGATGGGCTGACTGGCCACAGAAGAGCAACCACTCGCAAAAATATTCGTCCCCTACCCTGCAACAACAGGCCAAGACGCGCGGGCAACGGCCATCATCCGGTTGATCCGTAGAGCATATTCCCGCCCAAGCTTCTGCCCCGAGCTGGGCAGCCGGCGTGCCAAGCCGGCGACCGCAGAGTCCTGCTCCACCGGCTGGATATCAAGTCATCCGACACTGCTTGGTATGCTGGGATGATATGTGGGCCACCCATGGCTGCTCACCTCGAAGTGGGCAAGCGCGGCAACTTCAAGGTAACGGGTCCTCCAGGTAGAAGTCATTGTCGCCGATTTATTCCTTGGAAGAACGGGAAGGAATTACAGGAGCAGAAGGTCAACTTATACCAGGAACCGTTCGCCCGCCAGGATAGGATCAGCACCTCACCCACGTGGCTGTGATGGGCTACGCGAAGTCGAGTCCAGCAGTTGAAGGATTGTTGGCCCAGTCCAGCCAGCACAGTATGCCTGTGTGTAGTCAGACGGCGCCCGCCATTGCCAGGGCCCTTGAGCTCGCACGAGCCTGGAGAAGAAGGTGAGCACGGTTGGGGGGGAGGGATTCTCGGAGAAAGGCCGACAGCAGGAGTCCGTTTGCAGATGCAGATACAGTAATATGCATAATCTAGTAGGGATATTCCGCATCAGGGAAACCGCCAGTGCTCAGGCGCACCGGTCTCATGGTGTGCTGAGCAGCCCCAACGAGAATGCGAGAATGCGAAACCGAGAGACTGCGAGACTGCAGGACACTGATGACAACACTCTTGGCCTTGGGTCCTGTGAGGGCGATGGTAACGTCGAAGTCAGGTCACTTTCCACGCGTGCCAGCGTGCCAGCGTGCCAAACAGGCCCGTCTACGTCTGTCTCGAGCCGGTTCGCCAGTCCCCATCATCAGGCCCGAGATGCTCCACTGATCAGCTCAGACCAGACCGCGTCAATGACTAAAGCAAAATTGCTGTTCCGGTACAAATACGCATGTGAAGGGAAAATCCATCGACGTGACTGATTGATCAACAGGGGCGGCTGCTACTGGTCGCGTTGGGATGTCTACCTGTAGACCCATGAATACCTAGGTACCCACGACAGGGACCTAACCGGCCCTCTGGGCCCATCGTGTGGTCCATCCATTGCAAAAGCGCCACCGAGTGACCGAGGCCAGTGACCCGGCTGCTCGGCAGGCTGGCACGGAGAGAGGAAGAGCCATGCATACGGCCTGACACCACACACAGGGAGAGAGGAATAAGGCCGGCGAGAAATGCTTGTACAGCCTTGGTTTTCTAGCCAACAGCCGGCCAAGAAGGACAAGATGATGATCGATATGAGCCGGCTTGACAAAAAGGGTATACCGGCGCAGAACAAGCACCTCAACCGCCGTGAACCGAAGGCAGGCAGGACGGCAGGACGGATGGCCGGAATTTACGGGAGGATTGCCCAGACCGGGATAAGCCCTGCGAGACCCTGCAGACTGGGCAACGAGCGGGCAGAGGCGGCAAAAGTGGGCACATGATATTGTATTTCAGAACCAACATGCCAACATCTACACAGTAGTAAGTAGTACTGTGGAAGTTGAAGTTGTGGCAGACCAAAACTCTGATCTTGGGGGCCCTGGAGGGGACCTGGAGGGGCCCTTTGAGTGCCCAATCAGACACGGCAAGCGGAACACAGACGGGCAACAGGCCCTCCTTGCCCTGCCCAGAAATGCCCAGTCGGCTTCGCATGTGCTAGAGCAAGGGCCTGGCGCCGAGCAGCGGGAATGACGCAACTGCGGCTCTCCTACGATTGAACCTCAAATCAAATCCTGCGGGCCGGGCTTGGTCATCATAGACAAGAGTTTTTTTAGATTTTTTTCTTCCTCATCTTGGCCTTTTCTCACGAGCCGCACGCCGGACCATGCCCAGAGTAGGCAAGATGCAACGATGATGATCAGGTATCAGGGCAGATGCCCCAGGACCGTGTCGCTCATTCACGTGGGTTTGGGGATCCTCAAACAACACTGGCAGGGATCACGACCAGAACCCAGCAGACTCGGCGAGCATTTCAACGATTCAACGAGAACTGCGAGACCTTGCAGGCCCAGAGGCCCTGACGACTTGGATCTGACTTGTGCATGCATCCACGATGTGCTGATGAGTGGACGAACGACAATCGACGGGATATACATAGCATATTGTGCAGCCAATATACCTACGTAGGTACTCCGTACGTACCGCCGTACAGTGTATCACAGTATGTGCAATGCACATGCAGATCCCTCCTCGCAGGACGCAGCGAACGGAATTATTAGCAAGCAAGCAAATTTCTGCATCCGCGCGAATCCTGAAGCGTTCGCCTCTGCCTCTGGGCCTTGCCTCTTGAGTCTCCTGGCGCATCTTCACATGAATCAGGTCAACACCCTCAGGCAAGTGTCTAAAAGGACGTTGGCACGCGTTAGCACAAAGTTGAACCGGCACCCCTTGGCAACTTGTGGGCCACGACGTCACTGTCCGAATTCCCTCAGCAGCTACTGTAACGTGCTGGGACGTCTGCCCTGCATCATGTAAAGGGCCTGCATTATCGTACATACCGCCTTCCTTGCGTGCTGCACTCATACTGTACCGTCCCTGCTGTCCTGGGCCGTCTGACTGTGCAATCAGGACAGTACGCACTCCTCCTGGAGCAAAAGGACATCCAAAAAGCGGATCTGCTCCAGATAACTCTCGTCCCCCAGCCATTGATAAGCCTTGCTGAGCTTCCCGAGGTCGTCTACCCGCGCAAACCAGCACAGGCTTTCAACACCGGGGCCCCAACATCATATCCCCATATCTAGTAGCGCCGAACAACAACCGAGGGGCGCCCGTGTCCAGTTCCCAGACACAGGAAGGGAACTTGGGGTCCTTGGCGTACCGCGGCCAAAACCGAGCGGTCGTTAACATTCGGTGGCCAACATCGTCACTCGCACACCTGACCCCGTCACGCTCACCTGTGCTTTTTGGCGGCGGCCAAAACTGCCCACACAGCCCTCGGCACCGCCTACTCTGGGATAGTCTTAGGCTGGCTACAGACCTCTAGGTGTGGCGTCGTGAGCCACTGCTCGGCGGGCAAGTGGTAGGATGTTGACAGAAGCAAACCAGCCCTCGATGTCACTCGCCTGCCCCTTCAAACTTGGCTCGCCGGGAAGATCTGCGCTCGTGGGGCCCACATGTAGGGCGGTCTGGAGTAATAAATGTCCAAAAATTTAAATTTTTATTTTACCCACCCCCTTACCCGCACCTACCCCCCGCCCCACCTAAGCCCAAGCCACACCTATTATAGCTGCCTAACTTTATTTATAAACTATTTTTCTACTATTATTAAACTTTCTAACTAGCTTACCCTATAATATATATATCTTTTTATTATTATACTATTTTAAATATTATAACCTTAATAAATATATAATTATTATAATAGCTTTTTAACTTTTAATTAACTTTACCTTTAATAGCTATTATCTTTTAAGGGTTAAGGCTATTTAAAAAAACTATTATATTATAAAGTAGCTAATTATTTAAATTATTAATTATTTCCACTAATATAATTATAATAATATATATATTTTATTTAATAAAATTTAAATAAATAATTAATTAATTATTATATTTTTATTATTTTTATTATTATATATTAATATTAATTATAAAAGTTATATATTTATTTAATATTAAAAGTTTTATTATAATAGTAAAAAGTAATACCTTTATTAATTTTAACTTTTATAATATTTATATATTAATAGTAGCCCTTTTTACAAATTAGGCCTTAATAATACCTATAAAGCCTATAAGTTTATTATATTTAAAGAACCTTTAAAGTAATATTACTACTTTAAGGAAAATCTATTAAAGAAAGCTATATTAATTATTATTATAATAATTATAATAATATATATTTTATTAAATTAATAAATATAATATAGTAATATATTAAAATATATTAAACTAATAATAATAAAGATTAAATAAAAGGAATAATTAGAAGGTAAAAATAAAAGAAACTTTTATTAATTTTATAAAAGTATATAATATTTATTATAATTAAAAATTTAAAAATAATATAATATTATTAAGTTATAGCTTTTAGGTTATAAAAATTAAATAAAGCTTAATAATTAAAAGTAAAAAGCTTAAAAATATAATATAAAAATAAGGGTATTAAAAATAATATAAAAGAAAAAAGAGTTTTAAAAGAGTATTATAATAAATAATATATTAATATTTAATATTTAAAATATTTATAATACCTTTAAAATATAATTAAAATTAAATTAAAATTAAATATTTAGGTTAAGGGCTATTTTAATAAATATATAATATATATAATAATAAAGGGTAATAAGATATAAAATAGCTATTAATTAAAGAAAATTAAATTTATAATTTGCTTTTAAAATGCTAATATTTAAGTTTAAATATATATATTTTAGTATAAAATAATATATTAAAGTGGAAAAACATTAAATAGAGATTAAATCTTATTTTTATAGTAATATAATAGCTTTATATTTAGCTTTTAAAATAATAAGCTAGTTTATACTATTTACTTATAATAAACTATATTTCCTTTTAAAATTTATTAAAATAAATAATAAAATATTTAATTAAATTAATTAAATTTTATTATTTTTAATTAAATTTATAATTTTAAATATTAATATAATTTTTTAAATAAAAATTTATTTATTAAAAATAAATTATTAAAATATATATATAA